GTGTCTCGAGCCGGAGCGTATCGTCCCCAAGGCCGTGCTGGTAACCGTCGTAATCGGCTTCCTCACTGCGTTCCCTTTTTCCATCGCTACCATCTACAGTTACCGCGACGTGGAGTCATCCCTGTCCTCGCCAACAGGGTGCGTTTGTTGCCCTCTTCCCTCCATAAATCACAAACACAGCCACTTTACTGATGGACGCTCTGTCTAGATTCCCCATCTACTTCATCTGGGAAAAAGCCACCCGCTCCCCAACTGCCGCCACAATCTTCATGGCCGCCCTCGTCGTCGTCTCTTCCATCGCCCTCAACGCAGTCCACCAGACAGCATCCAGACTCACTTGGTCCTTTGCCCGGGACAACGCCCTCTTCTTCTCGCGCCGCCTCGCATCCGTCCATCCATCCCTCAACGTCCCGTCTACGCCCTCCTCCTGAACGGTCTCCTCGTCCTGCTGATCGGGATTGTATACGTCTGCTCGACGACCGGTATGTCTCCTCAGCAGCTCCCACTTCAATTATTCGGAGATAGAAAACTGATAGATGCCAGCCTTCAACGCCTTCATAGGCACAACCGTCATCGTCGCGCAGATCTCCTTCGCTGTCCCCGCCGCATTGCTCATCTACCGCCGTCGCTCGGCGGAGTATCTTCCACCGTCGAGGCCGTTCAAGGTCCCGCGTACGGTGGGCTACGCGTGTAATGTCATGACGATTGTGTGGGCGGTGGTGACTACGGTTTTCTTTACGTTTCCGACGACATTTCCGGTTACTGGGGGGAATATGAGTACGTCTCTTTTTCCATTTTCGTTGTGGTATTTGTTGCTGTCGATGAAGGTTGGGGCTAACGGGTGGTAGATTATGCGTCTGTTGTGTTGGCTGTAATGTTGGTTATAGGGTTGGTGAATTGGTTCGTGTATGCGAAGAGGCATTACCATGGGCCGAGGTTGGAGATGTAAATTTCAATGCAGGGGCACAATTTGTTAAGTTCCCTGGAGGGATCTGTTCTAGTACCCACTATCTACATCATAGTACTCCTCACACATTCCCCTTTCAATATGCTGAGTAGCAAATCATTTATTACCCTTGGTCTTCAGGACAGCCACGCTCAGGTTCGGCAAGCTGAATTTGAAAACACCCTCTTTGCCAGCCCGCAGGGTCGACACCTTGCTGTGGACCTGGTTGGCACCGCCAACCTCGTTCATGGAGAATGGGTCAGGCGCAGTCAGCACGGTTAGTTCAGCGGCGGAGCCGGCCTTGACGCCGTCAAATGTCAGCGAGACCGGCACGTCGGCGGTGCTGTTGTACACGGCCGCCTTGAAGATATGGCTGTTGGTGCTGTTGTCGAGACCGGCGACGTAGTAGAGGGGACCATACTTGTCGGAGGATTTGGTGGGGAGGGTGTTGGTCATGTGGGTGTGAGAGAAGAGCTATGCTTATTAGTATTATGGTGTAGAATAAAGATGGCGAATGAGGAAGGGCATACATCATAAACGTGCCAGCTGGTGGAGCGGGCTGTCTGATCAGGGTCGGAATTAAAGCCCAGGAACGTGGGGGACCACTCGTAGTTGTCCAGGTTCATGAGCATGGGTGCCTATTTGGTTTAGTTTCGGTCATTTTTCAACAAAGCATGGCAAACCTACGTAGGTCGTCCCGATAATCTTGTTGGCGTTTCTTTCGGCACCCAGAAGGAACACGGCTTCCGCGACGCTTCCAATCCACCATGGGTAGAGGGAGAATTGTCTGTTGGCCCAGTTGATTTCGACTCCGTTATACTGCACCGCGGCGATTTCGCCTATCAAGCGTTAGTCACAGGTATAGGCTGGGCTTTGTTATACTTACCAAGCAGAATTGGGTGATCCTCGGACATGTTGTCGAAGAAGCCGAAGCGAGTGATAAAATTGTCGGGAATATCGTACAAATGATAGTCCCCACCAGCGTCACCAGGGAGGGTCATATCAATGGTCGATGCCAGGACAGTAATGCCAGGGTACTTGGCCTTGATCGCATCGTAGAAGGCTTTAAACCGGTAGGATGTGTAGGAGGCCAGTCCGTTGTTCAGGTTATCCTCGTTGCCAACTTCGACATATCTGATGACCCAGGGTTCGGGGTGGCCCACGGAAGCGCGCAATGCCCCATATTTGGTGTCCACGGAGCCGGTAAGGAACTCAAGCTCGTCGAGGGCGTCCTGCACATACACGTGGAGTTCGTCTTCGGGTACAAGGTCGCCGTTCAGCGCGAGACCGGCCCACACCGCAAGGACTTGGACTTGGTTAGCGAGTTGCCATGTCCCTGACAGTATAACTCACTAGGCTCAATTCCAAGATCATCACACCACTCCATGTACTCAACCAGACCCATTCCACCAGTCTCCTGGTATCCCCAAGTAGTGGCACGGCCAGGACGGTCCTTGAGGGGCCCAATGGTCTCGTTCCACTTCCAGCGGCCGTCAATGGTTTCACCTTCAAGATTGTTGCCACCAGGGAAGCGTAAGAATTTCTGTGTCGTTAGCAACTAGCGTCATAAAACACACAAGAATTCTTACCGGACCAAGGTCCTTCATTGCTTGCATCAGATCTCTCCGAAATCCGTTCGGGCGGTTGTTCCAGGTAGGCGGGAACAGGCTAATGAGGTTGAAGTCCAATGCACCGTCTTCGGCTTTCTATATATACACAGGGTCAGAAAGTCTTTTGGTCTTATATTTTTTGATCTACTAACCGATGTATCAAAAGTGAGGGAGAAAGTATTGTTAGTATCCGGAGCAGCGCTATGAGGAACAAGGGTAAAGCTGTGCTGCACCCATTTATCCTCAACGCTATGCGACGCAATCTTAGCGCTGGCAAAGACCTTGCCTGTACGTGTAGACTGAAGGGAAGCCGTGAAGCTGCCATTGTAGGCACCCTTCACATAAAAAGAGCCGGTATATTTCTGGGGCTTGACATCAATGCCCCACCAGCCCAGGTTGGTGAGACCAGCTTGGCCCTTGCTACCCTTGACGTTGACCGAGGTAGGTAACGCAGATGACAGTGGATCACTGAGGTTCTTGAGAGACAACGTAGCTCCGTTGACAGCGGTCCACGCGTCCAGGTTGGATGGGTACTTGGAACTTCCCTGGAAGGCACGATTGCGGATCAACTCCGCATAGAGACCACCTTCGCCGCAGTGGTTGATTTCCTGCACTTATCATTAGCATCTGTGCAAAAGGTTCACTGGTGCTCGATGAGGACTCACCTCTTCCATGATACCGTACTGCAAGTTAGTCGTGACATTGCCCCCGGACGACGCAACAGAGATCTCAACGGCGGCAGTGCACGCTGCCAGAAGCGGCAGGAGAAGAGACTTGGACAACAGCATGGTATTCCGCTCTGCAGGAAGACACGCTGTGGTAGTTCTCTGCAGGTCCTATACCTGGTCAATTGGCAGGGTTATGAGGCAGATCCTGCAGATCGCAGTGACATTATATATGCGTCCATGGCGGGCCAGGGAAGGATGTCTCCTTGCTGAAGCGTAAGTCTACCCCTCAATTGAAGCTGTATTTGCGGGGTTAACTTGAGCAAAGGATCTGTCTAATTAAAGCTTGCATGAATTGCAAGGGACGAGAACGAGAGGCCCACAAGCGACTGTTTTCAAGCTTCCCGTTCTGGCAAAATCCCATGAGGGGGACATGGGTGATCGTCAGGGCATTTCCAAGTTCATAGCGGCAATTAGCCGGGTTGCATGATTAGATGCTAAATCATCTCGAGCACGTAGATTCGTCACAGACTGCCAACTCGGTCCAGTCAAGTATCTCTTGAGATGATTCAGCAAAGACGTGAATTGCTCGAACATCGAGGAGAGTCCCATTGGACTTATGCCCAATACTTCCTGTAAACAAGAGCCGTGGCTGAATATTGGCTGAAAATAAACTCTCGTCATCCCCAGTAGTCTAAATGGTCGTTGACCATGGGAGGAGTTTAGGCAAAGACACGGACGGAAGTTCCCCGCATCGACGGCCCAGTTTGCTTGCCATGGAACGTGCGAGACAAGAATCAAAAGCTAAATAGGTGCCGCTGGAGCCTGGAGAAACACCGGAGACTGCGTGTTTAGATGATGGCTAGTCTGAATATGAGCAATGCATGAAGAAATGAGGAGATTAGATGTGGGGTTGACGGACTCCATTTCTCCGTCCGAAGCCCCCGGAAGCCCCTCGCATTTCAACTTGATGGTTGTGGTTTAAGTCCATAAGAGGCCTCCGAGGTATTGATAAAAGTTTAGCTTCGTGTCCTGAGAGTCAGACCTTCATGTTCTGATCAGTCTGAGCGGCGTGACCTCATTGATGATCTGTGTGTACAATGTACACAGTGCTTGACCAAGGATGTCTCAAGGAAGGCAAAACGCGACAAAAGCACAACTAAGGGCCCCCGTCTCTTGGTTTCTTCTTCTCTCTTGTCCTATGCTTGACGGTGTGTTGACAAACTATCAGGACGACCATGCCTACAATACCGCTCAATACAAACCATCACAGATTGCTCTTTGACTGGCGTCACCTTGGAATCGACTCTGGAGACCATTGAATCAGTACTTATGCTATGACGAGGCTGTAGCCACCACTTGGCAGCGCCACAAGAGTCGGCTCTGCCATGCAAGATGTCCTGTTCATGCGCGATGAAAGACCGTCCAAACTGTCACATTTGATCGTTGCAGGTGGTTGTTCTCCGAGAGAATAACTCAAGAATCGAAGTCAGATTATAAACTGCGTAGTACTAAAGGAATAGTATCTCCATTTGCAAGCACCGATTCCTCAAAAGTCGTATTTCATGAACAAAACAAGGGGCATACACAAAAATGTATAGAAACGAAAACCACCGAGCAGGACATCCCAAGTATAGATCGTAATAGATAAAAGGACCGGATGAGTGTATGAACAGGGAGGGTATCTCTCCCGGCGTGTCCACATTTCCAGCGGCACGCGATTTGGGGATATTATCGAGGTAATCGATCGTGAGGCTTAGCACATTTCGCAGCATTCGATACAATCAAAGCAGCACTCGCAGGTCTCTTCGCAAAGGAAACAGCAGCAGAGGGTAGCAAGACTAGCAGAAAAAAGAGCAGCGTTAGTGACTGCATCCAAACATCATATCCAACGCGATTCAGGTCAAGAGAGGAAAACGAGTAGAGCTCACCAAGCACCTAGACATCCACGGTCCTTCTTCTGACGAGGCTGTTCTTGGTAAGGCATTTGCTGCTGCCGAGTCTATTAGTTCTTTGTTCTTTGTAGTAATGCGACTTTGTTGTAACGTACTGGAGGTTGATACGGCTGCTGCGGTGGAGCATAGCCTTGCGGCTGTTGGGGAGGATAGCCTGGCGGATATTGTCCCTGTTGAGGAGGGTAATAACCTTGGGGAGGTTGTTGGGGGTAACTATATCCACAAAAAAACAGATTAGACACCACCTTCAAGCGCAAAATCCAAGCACAACATGAGAACGAAATCGTTTTGTCTTCGTTCTTCCCGGCCGCTAATTGCTCCAGCACCCCCTTCAGCAGCGTGTCCTTCGTGGGACAAAAGGCATGATGACAGCGGCTGGTTTCAGCCAAAGCGATCTCTGACTGCCTTGAGTCCAAGAAGGAAGGCGCGGCGAAGTTCGAAACCCCAAGCCGGAAAGGAACGAACGAAAAGGTCCATAGGAGGCTGGAAGTATAGAGGTAAAGGAGTCCAACATCACTTACTGAGGCTGATGGCCTTGATTGTAGTAGTCCTGGGAACTCATGATGGCGATAAAGAATGTGCTATAACGTTGAGAGAGTGGAACAGTCAGTATGGATAGTAAAAATCAAAATGGCGGACATAGAGGAGGAGAATTGACGCGATCGTTTGCGAGAAAAGAATCTACGCAGCGGAGAGCCAATAACAAGGGAGAAAGCGTACCTAAGCAAATGCCAAGTGCCAACGGTTCGTGGATGGGCAATAAGGGGATGGGAAAGGGGTCAAATAAGAGTAGAAGATGAGGGCTCAAACAGTGGCTGGGGGTTTTGAAAACTGAAAAGGGACGAAGAAGCGGAGAAGGAGGAGAAGGGATCGGAGGAGCTAGGCAAGCTAAGATTCCGACTAAGTGCCTCCAGATGACAAGTTTGACAACCCAATGATTTCTATTATTATTAGCTCTCTCTGAATCCTTCCACAATTCGACTGACTTCTCAAACAACTCATCCAGGGATCGGACTTTAAAATTGCCCATCCTCTCTTAGGCCCGAATCGCCCGAATCCTTTGGTGTTCCGGACCGCGGAACTGGGTCGCCTTCCCACGAGCCATCTACTGTTAACCCCTTCAATCGTGGTTCTGGTAACAAGGATGCCTAGAACCTCCTTAGAGAATCCGCTTTTCATGCCTAAACATACGGAGTACAATCAATCCTTTGGTTTACAAGGTGCCAATGAATTCGAAACAACAGCCGCCCTTCGTTGAGCTGAGCCACAGCAATATTCCTAATAATACTACCAGCCTGGTCACAGCCCTACTATCTACAACAAAAACTAAGCCACGGCCGGCGGTCCGAAATGAGGTCATGGTTGGCCGAAACCTCTCACCTACCAGACTGATTGGCTGCCCGCGGCCCACAATCGGCCGCCCGTGCTGCTTGATTGCGCTGGTGTGCCACTAGAACAGCTTTTAGTGGCTCCAGCTGAACATGATCATGAAATGATAACCAATGAAATATATGATCTGACAGACTATCTGGTTCGCAAGTTTGAACTATCATCATATCAACCAATAGTCGCTGGATTTTCTTGAGATTAATGCGGCACTCGTGGCTGGTGTCCAACTGAGCCACTCTGTGGCCAGACTCACCATCCCAATTCGCCAATAATTAAAGTGGAACATGTCTCGTTGCTGCCTAAATACCTACATACGTACTCTATTGACGAGTACGGAGTACGGAGTACCTAGGTCCTAGGTACCCTCACCATAAATTGTCCCTGGTTCACACAAGTCCCACGGCAACATATCGGGACACAGCCACCTATGTGGACGATCCATTGTCGCCAATATCGACAAGGCTCCCTATTGCCTAATTGGGAAGACCTGAAGATATTCGAGGAGGAATGCAACCAGGTCACTAGAAGTAACCATATCGTCACACTTCAATTGATCGGCGCTTCTGTATCATTAAAACCCAACATTTGCTAGGATACGATGCATACTTTGTTCGGCCTCTTTTTAACCTGCCTTCGATTATGCTTTTTCTGTAGTGTGTCAAAGTGAGGTCGCGGTAGAGCAAATAAGAAGGAACTACCGCAAGATACCTTCCATTTGTTCAGCTCAATCTTAGAAGACTTAGTTTGCGGGTGTTCTGCACCCAAAGACTGACATTGGAGTCGAACAACCCGTTGAAGGAGTTCTATTGCTTCAATATCTCGGCCTTGTGTGCTTCCAGTTATCGGAGAGATGCCTCATGGACACCAGCGTGTCAGGATGTTCGGTTCCTAGGAATTTCTGTCTCATTGCCAGTGCTCGCTGATGCATCGTCTCAGCATCCTTGTATTTCCCAAGGCCAGCGAGCGCAAAGCCCAGCTTGTCAACGGATGTCAAGATGCCAGGATGGTTGGCCCCCAAACACTTCTTGACTGCCTGTTAGTATCTGCTGAAGTAGTCCTTGAGCTTCCTCATATTTCCGTTGCCCCATGAGCGAAGAGGCTAGGTTGTTCATAGCTGCCAACTTCATTGGATGGTTGGCCCTCAGCCTCTTCTCATAGCTTGATAGCACCTGTCGATTCGACACTTCCGCCTCCTGGTACTTTCCCTGGTACCCGAGCACCGAGCCTAGTTCGCTAGTAGTCATTAGCATATCGGGATACGGAACTGTCCATAGAGTATCGTACAAACAAAAGCACACGAGAAATTGCTAGCATGGGAAGTGTGATCCTGTCCGCCTAGCCGTCCGGGTACCATATTCCAGATAGTCAATCCATGGCAGTTTGCCTAAGCCAATGCCAGACCAACACCTTTCAACAGTAGGGTATCGGCTTGGTCATACTCCCAATATTGGCCATAAATTGTATTAGACTGCGCGTTTACTTGTTAATACAGGACATAAGAAGAATTGGTACATTAGTAGTATATGGTGGAGCAAGATGACTCGAGCTCATTCATCACTCCGAGCTGGGAGACCTGTATAGAGGAACGTAGAGCTGAAGAAGAGATATACAGCTATGAAGAGAAATTGAGATCAAGTCAATGTGTAAAATCACATGAAAATAGAAAAGTGATCATGATGGTTACCAAAGTCGAAATGATGAATGAAGAATTGAAGGAAAGAGCAAAGTCATTACAAGTCATCATCATACATACGAGTCGATCTCAGGCGGTAGAGTCTGAGAATCGAAATAACACGCCGTCTCAAGAGACGGGCCCACAGTCATCGTGTGGAGGTCAGAATAGCCGTCGTACCCGTGGGCCATATCGGCCTCCATGCCTACTTGAGGGTGGCTGTCAGCTGGTGCCGAAGGCAACCCGTTGAAGACCACCTCATCCGCAGATACTGACAATGGCGCAGCAGCCACATCTTCCCCTATTGTGTCCTGGTCAACAGCATTCTGGGCATTCTCAAGAACAAATTCCTCTTGCTGCACCATCCAGTGCTTCAATACTTCCATCGGCGGGTGATTGCCGCCACCCTTACCACCTCGCTTCTCACTGTCTTTCCCACGTCCTCCCCGTCCGCGTTGGCACGGGTTGAAGTGAGTACGACGGAGATGGGCAGCGGCGTTGTAATTAGCACCATACCGTTTCCCATTCCGACAAGCCTTGCAGTTGGCCAGGAAGGTCTTGCCGGGAGATATATCCACACAGACCCAAACCTTACGGACCACTGAGTGCACCCGTTCAATGTGTCTTCGCAGCTCGTGCTCCCCGTGGAAGCCATCTGGCTGGTCATTGCACATGTGGCAGTACGTTTTCGGGCGCGGAGGCCGTTGTATCGAGGCCTTAGGGATGGCCGCAACTTCTTTCGAAGTGCCGTCGGACGATGAGATACGAATCATCTTGTGCTGCTCCACCAGCTTCGCTGGAGAGGTATTGCGCGACTCAAGTTTCGGTGCAATAGGTCGCGTACCCTGCACAATTTGTTCTTGAGTCCTTCGCACCGCTCTTGACTGCTGAGAGGCAGCCGAACTGTTGCTTTCAGCAGACATGGAAGGCTTCATCTCTGTAGCAGGGGTTTCTGGCACATTTGAGGAGAGAGGGGGGTAGAATGAAGTCGAGGAGGGTGCTGAGCAGGAAAATGGAAGAGGAGCAGAGTCAGTGAAGGGAAAGGTGACGGGTTGCAAGGCTTGCTGACTTGAGTAGTCATGGATTGGAACAGTAATAGGGGAAACAGAGGGCATGAATTCAGTAGAAGGCATGGAGAAGGGGAAGCTGGGGTTTAGATTTGGTCCGGTGGAGTCAAATCTGATCATGCCCAATCCACCACATATGGAGTCGGTAGTAGTACTCCTGGTCATCTCAACTGCTGCTGATGGCAGTGGCGCCGGTTGATTGGCCAGAGATTGATTCGACAAATCAGTAGGGTCTGTCGGAAACTCCGGTATTGATGCTTGCAGTTGATGCTGGAGTCCATTCGAAGCAGGATCCGCAGAAAGGGCCAGCGACAGCGTAGATACGTTTGACCGGTCCTGAAAGTCGTCCAAGCACTGCCTAGCATATTCGGATGGCGAATATTCGTTGACATGGTCAAGTCGAAGCTGCGAATGCTGAGGTCCGTAGGATTGCCGATGTCCCAAAACACCTGGGGCCAGTGGTTTTCGGTGAGAGACCGGAGTCTGCTGACTCTGCGATCTAACCATGGCTGTGTGCCGGACAGAGGACCCAGTAACCGATGGAGGGAGGGAGAAGTCGTCCGTCCGAGAAGCCATTCCAGTAGATTTCAGATCGGTTTCGGGAGCCGCTGGCGAAGACACGTGAGAAAGCTCACGAGTCAGGTCAACGGTCACTGGTGGCTCCGGAGTCTGCCAAGTGTCAATCCATGGACTGCCGGGCGGGGAGTCAAGAGAAAGAGGGTGGAGTAGCGCAAGAGAAACATGGTGGGTTATGAACGGAAGGTGGAGAAGAGGCGGGAGCAGGAGACCAAGATAGATCACATACGGTGACTCGTCGTTTTGTCGGAGGAAGACCAGAACCAGGGAGAGTCCGAGGAGTATCCTGTCGAGTCCGTTTCCCAGATTTCTCGAGAGATGAACCAGTGTCGGGAATGCCAGAGCCGGGAACTGGACGGTAACTGGATGACGCCGTTGCCGGTAAGAACTGGCTCAACCGCTGACTCCAAAGATGATTGCGCTCTGATTCCGGAAGGTGAGAGTGTCGATCCAAAAAAGCGTCCCGATACCCGGAGATGGCCCTTGTGAAGAGTTCGTCGTCGGCCATGGTGACTGCCATGGCAGGGGGATGCTCCTTTGCAAGCGCCTCTCCAACAGAGCTCATGGGGGGATAGCTGCTATCAGTATCACACAAGGTTGAGGAAGAGGGAATTAATCTATATGATGAGCAATTAGCACCACAAATAAAACAAAGAATGAGCAATGTGAAATGTGGACGAGACAGGGCAGACGCTTGACGGGGTTCGGGGAAGTAGGAAAGGCTAAATGTACCGATAGATAGACAAAGGCTATGAACAGGCAATTTGGTATCCAGGCGCGGCGATGAGGGATCAGTGGCTGTGAGGAAGAGAAGACAATAATGGATTGCCAAAGATGCGATAATGCTCGAGATGTATACCAGGACTGAGTCGGGGATGGTTATCGCCAAGATGAAAGAAAGGGTATTGAGTATTGAGTATTGAATGAGAAGAAGATGGCGAAGGGGAGGGATGGAACTTAAATGAGAACAGAAATGGGAGGGTAAGATCGATTTGATGGCGAACTATCCCCACGGCTCGGAGGTGCAGTAATGGAATCTTCTGAAAAGTCAAAAGGGACGGAAGATCTGTCAGAAGAGAAGGTCTGAATCTGGACGTTGAAACTTGGGGAGCGACCAGGGTGGAGATCCTAGCTCAACCTGGGTGGGATGGGATGGACTATGGATGGAGTAATTCGATAGATGGTTTATCTGGATTTATTTTCGAGATAACAGACTAAAGAGCATACTAGAACAATAATAGATAGGTACCTAGTTAGTTGGTTGGTATTATGGACTACTACTGCTACTACTCCCTACTAAGGAGCAAGCTACGATACTTACTTGGGTGATAGATCATATGGATCATGTGTCGGTGGATCAGAGGCAATCATCGATGGAGATTGACGATGAGGTCCACGAACTTTGGCAGAATCGAAGGTCTGGAACACTTCTGGCTTCTTTGGCTTCATACAATTGGGTTAGAGAAGAAGCCAAAAGTTTCGCGTATTTTTCTTTTTTTTTCCTTTTCCCCATTATTTTCCAAATTACTACTATGCAGATATCGGTTTGACGTCGTCACTTCACATTAACTCGTCCAAGCCAACCGATGAGCAGGACGCCATCGAAAGGTGGATAAGGTAAGCTTGGGAGTTACAGAAGAAGGAAAGCTCAACTCCTAACTATAGTTAGTTGATAGTTGATCGCTACTTTATCAGGGCAAGGTACCCAAGAGCCTAAGGCACTAACTTGCTTGGTCTAGTTCAGGTCAAATGGATTCAGGATCTAGGACGGAGTACGGAGCACTACAGATATGGAGTGTGAATTGTCCCGTCCTCGATCGGCGGAAAAGGGGAGTGTGACCTGTTAGGTAAACTCACAGTACCTGATCACTGCTAACTGGCCAACGTCCATAGCGCAGGGATCCAGAAAAAGAAAGCTCCAGTTGTTCGCGGTGAAATGATTAGGTCCCCTTTTAGGCTTAGAGTGTCTAACCTATCTTGAAAGACCCAGGTGGTGACGACAGTGGTCAGAAAATGTTATCCTCGAAAAATACAGGGTGAACACGGTGTCTTTCAAAAGTGAGGCAGCCAAACGGATTACGCCAACCAAACCCGGGCCACCAGGACAGCAGGAAAGGAAACAGGATGCATTACAGAGTATTGTCCAATCCTCCAACTCTCAAAAATCAGTTCTTGAAATGAAGAAATACAATAAGAGACATTTACTGCTACTATCATCAGTGTGATTGGTTGTCATCACTATTATGGTGTCCTGAGACCACCAAAAGATCCAGCAAGATTTGTTGTTGTTGTAGTGGCCAGGATTACTTGTTAGATACATTTTGTGTAGTCTTCGATTCATGTGCCCTATCAAAGTGTTAACAGATGATGATGAAAGTGTGTTATATCCCCTTCATGATTCTTTCTGGCTATCCCCTTCAGCGGATAGCCGTCATGGCTGGAAATACTTCCATTGTCCCTGAGCGCGCCTACAGCGGTACCAACGAGATCGCAAAGTATCGCAGAGCCTTTGGGTTAAGTCCTTTCCATGGCCACCTCCGAGCCAGCGTAGTTAGGCTCAGCAGTGTCAGCAACCCTTCGAGCACATAGTACTGCCACAGTTTGCAGACCAGCCGGAAGTGACTTGACTGTACCCTTCGACTCGAGGTCTGCCACGTTGCTAGACTACACCGTATCGGGATCCGTCATTATCCTGCTGCCAGTCGCCGGGCATTTTAGGCCAACTCTGCGTTCAGATGACGCTCTAGCCGGTGGGCAGACATGGTAATCATACCCTGAGTATTTTCGGGCGCTTGAAGTCAAGCCAGGAGCGGTATTGCGAAGTGTTGTTCCTCGAAAGGACTAAGATGGCGACGATGCGAAAGTTGACTTAAACGAGAATTTAGTTCCTGAGGCATCAATTGTTCTGGCTGCCCAAATGACCCTTGTGTGCAAGGCACAGCAGTCTCCAAAAATGACTCCACCCTTGAGTTTGCATCATTTACCTGTCGTCACCCATGCCTTTACAGCGGTGAGATGTCATCTTGAGCGGTCGCGAGAATAAACCCGTTCCGACCACGGAACTTTCCCGTGTACCATTCGGAAGGCTCCCAAGGGTCATATGCCTGGCTACGCGTGGCGGCCGTCCCCAACTTCAGGCCATTTCCAAGGACATTTTGGGAGACTCTCTACTAAATTACGGGGTATGTGCTCGGTGCTCACGATGTCCCTGGAACTTGGAAGTCGCATCTATCGCTTCTTTCTTGACAAGCACATCGGATGGCGATCCTGCCACTATTGACCGACTGACAATTCTAGGTTTGAAGTGGAGATCCTGAGCAGCAAACATTCTCACGTGTTGCACGTGATCAGGTCCATCTGCTGTCATGGTCTCCGTGGTCCATATTTCTGTTTTTTCGTACTCGGTAGTATGCCGTCTCGGAGATGCTTTGCAACAACCACAACCTAACTGCGACTACTCTAATCGGCCAAAGGGGCTCGATACTTCACTATTTGGCCGAGTTCTTAGTACTACCTGTTCTCTAGTAAACCGTCTTGCTTTCCTCACAGTCACCGCTATCCAAGTGGGTGTATGGTCTGCAAGTCTTTCTCCTTTTCTGATGGATACTGTTTCGGCTACCGGGGAATTTCGTTTCATCTTCCAGATCTCAAATATGGAGCACAAAGCCAAGCCACGAGCCAGGTAGATGAGGTCACCGTTGGCCTTGATTCGGCCTGACGGCTACGTAACGACCATGATCGGGGGAGCGTCGTATGAATGGAGTCAGTAGTACAGCGTTGTAATTTGTTGCTGACAGTGGTGCAACATGGTACACACTCTCCCGTGTTGGTATCTAGAACAAAAGGGTCCCAGTCAACAAGGGGTATCTACGGAGCGCCTACTTTCTAGAGATAGCCAAAAATAGGCTCGACGGTGACGCTATTCTCTACCTACTTTCGTGGTGGCTTTGCTAAACTTCTGTACATTGGACCAGAAGTGACTTCCTTGGCCAAGTGGGGCCACCATCCGGCGTAGATCACACACATGTATCAGAAACCCTTTGTAGACGGAAATCAGTTGGCCATCGCATCCCCTTTCACATTTGGCTACTTACTCTATGGCTACTACCATCCATCAATCATAGCAGTTTCAAGTGCGCATGCCCATACAATGATCATTTTGCTAGAAATCTTTGCAAACACGGAGAGGTAAAGCCACGGCGGCAGGGGGCTTATGACACATCTTGCTCGAATCAACTACTGAGCAGGGCGCACGAGATAATTGAGTATTATGTTCACAAGAGCGAAGCCTCATCTTACCTCAGGACACTGGGTTAGACAAAGAACAAACTCAGATCTTGCTCATAATGTCGTGGGCTGTAAAGTGCCTCAGCCAGCCTCCAGCTTGAGCATGTGCAAAGCCAAATGCCCGAACCAGAACTTTCTGCCTGAAGGCCTCAAAGTACAAGGTTGAACAGGTCATCATCAACATGGAACTAATCCTCCATGTCTACATGATATCAATAAGTTAGAGTTCCTCGCCTAGTTTGGCTATGCTGGTGTCCCAATCTGTCGACCATCTTCTTTTGGCGAAGTACATAAGGTGTAGGATTTCTGTTCTCTGATGAACTGGTCAACTTTCGCCTTCGTCTAGGTTCATCTCTGACTTAGCAGGCTATGTCGGCAGACAGATTTGGAAGGCTGACATATGGCTCAGCTCTGGCCTTGTCGCAAAGTTCGCCTTCATATAAGAAGTGGCAAGGCACCATTTTTTCATGTTTGCCCAATGGGTATCTACAGGGTCAGGTGTCGACAGACACCTCTTCAGCCCGTCTCGTCTTGGTGAGGCTCAGGCTACCGTGTTATCGATGACGCGTCTAACTGAGGGTTGAGAGGCAATCCGGCGAGGGCTCGAGCATTAAGACAACATCCTTGCAATAGCAGGGCGTGATGCAAAGTGACACCGTGCTAAGGAGCCCAGGGTTTTGCGCTCAGGCCTGTGGAGAGTCGGTTTGTGATGTTTCCGACTCTCCCTGAAGACTTGCTATTACTTGAGTGAACAGGTAGAGCTTTGGCAAATTCCGTTTTTGAGAAGGTAGCATTTTCGTCTAAGCATCGTGGTCTTTCCATTGTCGGGACTAAGCGACCGGTTGATGCTTGGACTCTTTCGCGCTTTTCATTCATTGGTCAAACTTGGGTTGCGGCGATATTGCAATCAGCCCATGAATACCTAGACAATATTCAAATCAAGTCATCTCTTTTTCGGACTCAGGCAGTACAGAGTGAAGTACCTTCGTTCGGCTATACAAATTCTCGTGGTCATCTGAAACCCCTGCGAATTCGTCTTTGTGCGGATACGTCAAATTTACAACTTCATCATGAGTTGGCTTGGTCAGACTCGTCTAGGACGAAAAACCCCTCGACTGTCGACTCGCCCTTATAACCGTGATGGGATGCTCAAAGATGTCCTTGATCCTGTGATAGATCTTCTGCCATCGTCGCTTCGCATGACGGACGAATGACTGAGCATCCATACAGAGGAGTTTATTTGACAACGCATCCATCGCGGATACAAATCCCCGATGAGTGGATCTCGGAGGGATCAACGCGGAGAAGGTTGCCATTTTATCTGATGGCTAATGGTGCCGACTTTTCTCGTGCTTTGTGTTATGTGCAGGGGAGTGCCTCTCCTTCGACTGTATAACATTTTCCATAAGCCTCTCTGCCGTCGATGAACGATTTTGACAGGAGTTATGCCCGTACAGTGTCAATATAACAACTTCCAGCATCCCCAGTACTCACTCCATAGCGGAGCAGATAGATTGCGTCATATTATAGGACCTATGGGGCACTCCCCGCGGCCAGTTCCCTGTACAAACGACTCCAGTTCATCACAACATTCGGAACTCAAATATAGATCGTCAACGGTACCCGAAATCAGATTATTAAGAATGGGACACGAAGTAGCGAAAAAAGTAGGACTCATTTTCGAAGGGCCAAATGGGATTCAGAGTTGACAGTTGAATGATACGGGTATGTAAGTCAAATTATATACTTCTGGCGGGCCGATCTCAGTTGGCCACCAGGACAAGGGTGCCTGTCTTTTAAGACAATCGCCTTCAATCCAAACCACGAGCGACTATAAGGTGTACCAGAAAGAGCAATCCAAGGATAGATACCCAGACGTCCATCATGCTGGAAATGGGTGGAACTGTCTGCCTGACGTCAGATCGCCACGCCTTAAGTTTGGGTCTTCCATACAATCGCAGTTTCCGCTGGAGATTAACTCGGGAGGGAACTACGGATAGCAGCAGCTTGGGTCCTTCGCAGGCAATATTTAAGAGAACCATCGCTCTTTCATTCTGATCATCACTTCTTCATCTATCGCAGCTGGGATAATTCCGATGGTAATTACGATTTGACCTCAGTTGAGGATCAACTGTCGCATTTGCAAACAGCACAGAAACACGTGATAAATTTAAGGCGTTGCGGGCTCCAGCCACGTCATAGGCCCTTTTCCGCTCCGCTTCTGAAAAGGAGATAACGGATTCTTGGAGAAAAGGAGGAGCAACATTTCGCCTCGATACCACCAGATACCAAATTCTCAACATCCCCTTTCGTATCGACCATCACTTTCCCCTCTTTCTCTTACACATTGCGACCTCGACATGTCCGACTCTACTCTCTATCTCTACACCTCCCTCACTGCGGGGTCATCCCACATTGTCACCGCCACTGCACGGTTGGAGACGATTCTGAAGGCCAACAAAATTCCCTTTCGCGCAATTGACGTGGCTACTGATGAGGCCGCTCGTAAACTGTGGGGCCGTCGTTCCAAGGGTAAAAAATTGCCTGGACTGGTGAAGTTTGGCACTGTTGTCGGTGTAGGTCATTCTGATACCCCCTGATGAAAGGAGACACAGCTATCGACGGAGCTACGTGACTAATAGTCTTCGCTCATGTAGGATCTAGAGGACATCGAGGAGTGGAATGAGTACGGTGAGCTGAGGATGCACATTGATAGCGTGGAAGACTTCGACAGCATTCCTGCCACCAGCTACCCTGTCTCTACCTCCCAGACGAACACTGGATCTACCACCCCTGCTACCCCACAGCCTCCAGCACAGAGCGCAACCCCGAAGCAAAGCACAATCAAAATTCAGAGCCCACCGGCGAAGGAGAAAAAGGATGATTCCGTGACGCTCGCCTTGCGACAGGCGGGCGAGGAGGCTGCGGCAAAGGCCAAAGGCAACACGGGCGCAGAAGTCAAGAAGGACAACACCGCCGCAGATTCTGAACAGCAGAAGGGGCAATCCTCGAGCAGCGTGGAGAACAAAGGAGGAGAAGAAACTGTACGTCGGCGATCGGTGGTTCCTGCGGAAATTGTCGGCGGCGTTGGAGGCCGTCCACCTTTGAGGGTGCCCGAGTGCGCCGCAGAATCATCTGCCAATTTCCATGCTGATAATGCTGAAGCTCTAGGATTGGTTCAACATCACCGCGGCTCCATTGTCTCCGCAACTTCCCCAGAGGAAATGGAGAAGGTGGCTCAGGACTTGCGCAAATCTATATCTGGCGGGCACGAGGAAATATTGGCGGCTTTGAAGAACGAACATGCGGAGCGAGCAGGACAGGACGAGACAATCGTGGAAGAGTCAGATGGCGAGGATGACAAGCCTGATGAGAAGAGTCATCGCAAGGAAACCCAAAATCAGGATATTAAGGATGCACCTAAGGCGACAGTGACCGTTGAAGATTAGGGCATGGTTACAGTCTCTTCGAACATGGTTCAACCTCAAAAGAATTTTCCTTGCGTGATTCCTTCGTGTATGATACCAAGTTGCATTTCTTACTCGCTGTCTGTCTCATACAATGCGTGATAATATCCATGAATGCTTCAAATTTAGATTATCTTATGCCGAGTTTACCGGCTTTTTTTTTCCCAGCCCGACCACTGCGCCCCAATCACATCGGAATTGCACACTGTACCCCTCTAGAGAATGTAAACAATATTGAAAATAAAAAATTATGATCTTTCTATATAAAGGTTTATGTTCATGTCTGGCGGCGCTTGTCAACAGCTTCGCGCAGTTTCGCAATGACGTCGGCGGGGTCCTGAGCGCCAAACACCGCCGAACCAGCGACGATAACATTGGCACCAGCATCCGCAGCCTGGTCAATTGTTCCCAGCCCCAAGCCACCATCAACCTCAATGTTCAGATCCGGGTACCGCTCACGGAGAGCCTTCACCTTGGGAAGCTCGGAGGCCATGAACTTCTGACCTCCGAAACCGGGGTGTACTGTCATAACGAGAACCATCTAAAGCAACAATAACTCGTTAGTATGAAGTACAGTAGCCTATGCGTATCCGAACAATGGAAGCTTACATCTGGCCGTTCCTTCTCATCCTTATTCTCCAGGATATCCCATAGGACGTCGACAGGGGTATCGGGCTTGATGGCAATGCCCGCCTGCATGCCCTGGTCGTGGATATAGCGGATGAGTTCCTTCGGGCTTGTCGGACGAGTGGTCTCTTTGTCTTCCGGGGTCGTAGCGGCGACGGAGGAGACGGCGGCCTCGTAGTGGAAGCAGTATAGATCGCATCCGGCGGATTTGAACTCCTTGACCCATTTATGGGGCTGTCGAGGCATGTCAGCATGTTTCTCTCGCGAGATTGAAAGCATTGGGGTGAACTTCATTACGAAGGGTGCTCGCTCACCTCCATGATCATCATGTGGCAGTCAAAGGTACCCTTTCCAAGGGCCTGGGTTGGGCGGTCCACATGGGACCGGATCTTGGTGACAACGGGGGCGCCAAAAGTTATGTTGGGGACGAAGTGGCCGTCCATGATATCAACGTGCAACCAATCGGCCCCTGCGCGATCTTCGTTGAGCACTCATTGCCCAGGACTGCAAAGTCCGCGCTCAGGATGGAGGGAGCTATGATCGCTGGAGGAGACATGGTGGGGTAAGTGATAGAGGGGCTGTAGATGCTACTGAGCAGTTGGGAGAGGGAAGATGCGTAGTAGCAGTGTATGGGGAAATTGTAGTAGAGGTAAAGCTGTACAGAGTGATTTACAGCAGGGAGAGCTTTCTGGAAAGTTGCAGTCCTAGCTAGCTAAACAAGAAGGGAAAAATAACATAAGTAGCGTTGATATCACCGCCGGTCGACGTCAGTCCGACGATGGCAATCTGGTCGCCGATAAGGGCTAGGGTCGTGACCTTCACGTGGGACGTGGGATAGATCCGCCCGTGGGGGTTTCCAGCCTGGATGCCTGAACCGGGGTTGAGACTTAAACCATATCAACAAATGATCACGGGAAAGCATCACGATGGAACGTCGACTGCCACTTCATCTCGAAGTCGATAGTTTCTATCCATCATTGGCTCTTCATTAGGATTATGGCCCAATGAGCTGGTATTGTTGTTGTCTTCTTGGAGTCAATAGCTCCGATTTTAACCGCCCTTTCAGACTATGATGAGGGGAAAGGATAATTCAAGCAGAAAACCTGCGGTAGACCACTGGAAGGAATTAATATCAGGGAACAATTTCCATCAGGGAGGCATTGATTGTTGAGTCGTCATTCTGCCTGTCCGTCTGCTCGAAGCCTTCTAAACATAGCCACTCGGCGCTTGCGTCGCACCAATCAGTGCCCTTCCTCATGTGAACAATATGCAAGTTCACCTTGAGCGCTTCGTTGCAGAGCACTCGAACTTTATCATCATCCTAATTGGTGTGCTCAAGGTTCAATAGCTCCGAGATCCTCCCTGATTCGGTCAAAGATGCCTGGGCTGTTGTTATCGGCGACGCGCCTGCTACACAACCACCAATAGTGGTACTTCTACCAAGCCTTTCTCAGGGATTCCCTGTCCCAAGGTGCGCGATGGTGCAGTAGTTTCTGCACGGGTTACTACTGGTGTGAAATGATGATGAGATCCTCAGATCCCCGCGCCTGCCTCCGGGTATGTGGTTCTATTTATCAGCGTCGTTCGCTACAACCTCATGTTCTGCGCCTGGTCCTCAGTCGTGTTGCGCTCTTCTTCTTTTCTGCGTGTTTTGATCGTGCCTTGAGCTCTGGAAGCTTGGGCTCCGTTCGTTGACATCCTCCTTTGATTTATTAATACTGGGCAGACCCGTTGATCGGTGTCGCCTGTGATTGAGATACCCTAGAAGTACCGGTTGATTTCTCTCACTTCCGCGGATTATAATCATTGAAAGGAGGAGTTTAATCTGATAGCGGAATCAACAGTCAATACTGCAGCACGAGATGGCTGACGCTTCTCGGGCTTCAGCGAGATGCCCGCCCTCTCGGCAGGTCCGAGGGACGAAACTTAATACCATAATCGAGGAAGTAAGCGAGGGTCCGGACTCGGACAAAGTTGAGAACAATGGTGCTGGGTTTCATTCGATCACCTCAGGTCCGCAGCTGAAGCTCGTGACCGCGGGTCTTTCTAGCCTTTCCCTCTCAAGGCTGAATCGTCTTCGCTCGCCGTTATCTGCAGGGACGATGTCATCTTGCTCGGACACGGAATGGCAGCGACAGATGCAGAGCTTGGATGATCTGTATGATGTTACGGATGAGGACTCCGAGTTGAGCGACGAGTGCACTTCATTCTCAAGCTCCCGACCGACGAGCCTCACAACTCCCACTACAAGGAATTCAATGACCTCTCCACTGAATCGGAATCGGTACCCAAGCCTCACAATACCCTCATCGACCACGTGGCCCTCGCTGCATACTGCGCCAAAGAGTTCTCCAGTTCCCCAACGCCGCCGCCGAAGATACCAGTCTCACCTGCTGCTCTGTCCATGCTTGCGAGAACTGTACCGGCTCTGAATGCGCCCCCATCTTTGGATGGCAGTGTATCTTCGGACCAGGTCTCCAATAGCAGCGAGCCAGTAACTCCAGACTTGCAGTCCCTTCCAGATACCGACTGGGACGCAGACGTGCAGGTGCGGCCGGAAATGATAGACAGTCGACATGCGGACATTGACACCGATGGGATCGACCCCGAAGTTCAAAGCATTGAGATAGCCATTGAGAACCCGGATGAAGATTGGCAACACGTTCTCGGCAGCTTTCCACCCATTCCCAGCCAGGCTACATTGCCGTCGGATGGTGGCGTTTTCCTCCCTGAAGATGCCCTCGCAACTTTGAGGCACATCCCACTGGGTGGTACACCGGAGCCCTGGTCAGAAACATCTGCGCAGAACGAAGAGATGTGGCAGCTCGAGCTACATGTCGAGCGTCCTCGCAGCGCTGATGATGCGACTCCAGCCTCAGCCCTCTCCGGATACAGCTTCAGTGGGCTCAGTATACCTTCTCCCGGAGGATTCTTTGCGTCGCTTGGTGCTCGAGCTCGTCACACTTGGTCGATTCCTAGAACTGCTATGCCGCCCTCTTCTGCCATCGCGGAAAGTTTCTACAACTTGCCCTTTGGCCGCGATGATGGAGAAGTAGTCGAACAAATCATTGAATGTCCCGAGCGATGCACCGAGGAGCAATTAACTGCGACCTATGTACCCGAGGGACCTCCAACTGCAATCAAGATACCGTCGGAGGCGTCATCGTTCCCCTTGGACCATCGAGACAGCCCTGTGAGCCCAGTAGCGGATGCAGTACACGAGATTTCAAGACCCGTCACCTATTGCGAAAGCCAGGATCGGGACGAAGACTACGAGGAAGAACTGAAAAGAAAGGCAATGTCGAGTCTGGATCGGACGAGTGTCTGGTTGGCGGCGCAGCAGACCTATCTTGCTGCGCTCCGCGAAACTAATCCTGTCAACTCCTTGGAGAATGAAGACTCGGACGCACTCGAAGGGGTTCGAGATGATGGTGAGCAGAACGACCCTGGATTATGTCGCAAAAAATCTGTCCGCTTCGCCGAGTCCGTATCTGAAGCAGCCAGACCACCTTCTGCCCTGGCGAGTAAAGACTCGATCTATTGGCGAGGCTTCCAATCGGTGCTTGGGCTTTCGACTCGTCGAGACAGTTTCATTCATCGGAGCACGCGCTTTGACGCTGCGCAGTCAATTCGATCAGGTTTGCTCAGCATGCATATCAACTGTTTGTTGGGGAATTATGAGCTTGTGCGCCCTCAACGACCTCCCTACAAGGGTCCATTCTCACAGGCTCCTCGCAATTCTGTACTTACGTCGGTATTGGCAGAAAAGGCGCAATTCTCCATCCTGGAGAAGGAGCAATTGGTCTTATCTCAGCTTCGTCCGCCCATGTGGGCCATGGATGCTCTCAGGTACCTGAATGGCGGCCACCTGGTCACCAGTCCCGCCAGAAGGCGTCTTTCCACAGCAACTGCACAACCCGCGCCTCCCCAAAGACCTAGAGGACGCCGGGTGAGGGTTTTGGACCTGGGCGGACACGCCTCCTGCGAATGGGCATGGCAGCTTGCTCATGATTATCCCAACGTTAAAGTCTATACTGTGTTTACTGAGCACCAAGCAGTAAACCAAGGCATCAAAGGCCCGCCTAATCATTGTCAGATTCCTGTGTCGCAACTTTGGAAACTACCGTTCGCGGACAACAAGTTTGACCTGATCTCGGCCCGGTCACTGCCTGCCTTGCTGAAGAACGAGCGCCCGGTCGGGGAGACGCAAGATGAGTACGACCTTTGCCTACAGGAATGCCGCCGCTGCCTCAAGCCGGGCGGCTATCTGGAGTTTTTCGTCATGGACGCCGAGATTTCCCGCGCAGGACCGTATGCCACGGCTGCTTCGGTTGAGTTCGCCTTCAACCTCAAAACTAGGGGCTATGACCCGTTGCCAACAAAGAGCTTCCTCGGGCGCTTGCGCACCGGGGGCTTTGTAGGCATGAAGAGGGCATGGATGTTTCTGCCTATGGGAATGGAGCCTGTAAAAGCACAACTTCCCAGAGAGACGCCAGACCCCCGAGTCAAGAGCTGGGTCGACGAATACGAAGCTGTGCACGGGCCTGTGGGCAGCACGGCCGACATCGCCAGCGTGACAGGTCTCTTTGGAGGCTGGATGTGGGAGCAATGGCTTCTCAAGTTGCAAGTCGAGATGGGTCGTGAGCGACACCGGTTGCTCGAAGGTATCGGTAGTGTTTTTGATGAGGGCCGCAAGAACGGCGCAGGCTGGACCTGCCTGTCTGGATGGGCGATGAAGCCGAAACGCAAGACGCCGCCCTCGCATCTTCGAACCGGTTAACTGTTTTGTTTGATCTGAGAACTGGTTTCTCGGACTACACTCCCTTTGATGATGATTTATGTTAGTTGGATCGGTCTTATAGTTGATACCCCTACTGCCCTGGTGGCGGTCTATAATGTAATAATGATTGAGGACTTCCTGTAACACATGTCTGATACATCTTGTCCCGCGGGATCTGTTCTAGCTCAATTGAATATTTATGCCACCTGCTACGTATATCATCAGCGCAGAGATGTAGACACGCTTGCTGTGTAAGACCTCAGCCATATGTTTTTGCTGATAAAAATTTCCATTGTACAACTAGTCGTCATATAAGTCCTAATCACCATGTCGAATTGGCTGTTACCCATCGACAAATACCTTTGGTGTTATTCGTGTGCCTGCTGCTAAACCAGAGATACAATCACGTGATGCGACTGCTGAGTTCAACCCGACCAACGCAATGCGACATGAAATTCAAATCCCCAACTTCAGAACATTTCACCCTTCGCGTTTCTGGTCCTCATCAAAGAGGGACACGGGAGGCAGTATACCACCCATTAACAAAGCCTGTCAAGCAATGCGATAGCGCCTGGTTTTTCCCTTGACTACCCCTCCATCGCCTTAACATCGCAACCATGCTTTTCTTCAGGTATGCCACTAAGAGCTATACCTGGCTCGTCACCACCTTTTGGCTGGACCTATAGCTCACATTATATGGCTCTATAGTTTTTTCAAGACCCTCACCAACCAGACCGTCACCATCGAGCTCAAGAATGACATTCGTATCCGCGGAACCTTGAAGTCGGTCGATCAATACCTCAACATTAAGCTCGACGATGTCGACGTCCTCGATTTGGACAAATACCCTCATCTCTCCTCGGTGAAGAACATGTTCATCCGTGGTAGCGTGGTCCGATATGTCATGCTGCCTCGGTCAGAGGTCGATGTTGGTCTTTTAGAAGACGCTACGCGGAGAGGTACGTCGTGAGATACTGCGGGTTCGGCATAGCTGAGGCGATTTCTTTGCACTGCTGGGCTCTGGGGTTCTAGCCTGGGTGAACCATATCATCTCTGTTAAACGGATGCTAACTGGTAATCTCTCAACAGAGGCCGCGAACCAAGCCGGAAAAGCTCGGTGATCGGTGATTGAAGTCTGCTTTTCTTCGAGGCTATCTGTCTATGATGATGCATATCACACAATTAACTCTTGCATGATCGCTCACGATGCGATCTCACTTATGTTCCACGAACGAATCGATTGCGGGCGAGTGCTACAAGTTGGACCGGTGATAGTGGTTGAGAAATATGATACCACACGAGGGCGTATTAATGATTTCAACGGGCGAAAGAGCGGTTATTATATGCTTCAGTTGCCTTCTGACAGCTGGCTTATATCCTCAATGGTGATCGGACGTTAGAACAGCTCTCAGACTTTGGAAGGGAGTCCGAAATGCCCCAACAAGATTAAATCTGTTAATCAGGTTCATTAACCCACGAAACACATATGCTTATTGTACACTTTCTGTCAAATGGTAGCAAATGTAGTTGGATCTGAGGGTGTCTTGTAGAACGTACAGAAACCGGCACTCAAGCCCATATATGCACGTGACCTCGCGTCGCGAGAATCAGGATTCGCCGCGCCGGCCGCGCCCTTCTGCTTTGGCTCCTTCAACCGCCAATTTCATGACTGATGACGAGACGAATTTGTGTCTTTCCTGAACAAGAGTGACGGGAAAATTCCCTGCTTTATGTGAATACGGAAGGCATGCCCCTGGAGCGAGATAAACGAATTGTCATCGTTATACCGACGACGACGTGCCCGCAAGACCCCGCCAATTTTCCCCGAAGTCCTCTCAAGTATCCGTTTGAAGATCGACAATGGCGGGCACCCAGGGGCGAAAAGGATCTACTCCGTCGAAGACACCATCTGGCTCAAAGCAGAAAACGCAGGTGAAACGGAATGCCAGTCTGTTGAGTTTCTTCCAGAAAGCCGACGGACCCCCGCAAGCTACCTCTCGCCAGCCTCGAATCACGCAGTTTACAACCAAGGTCGAGCGTTCGAATGGCAGCGGTAATAGTCCCATTTCCTTACGCAGGCAAGGTAGCTCTCAAGCAAGTAATACGGCTGGGAGTCTCTTTCTGGAAGATAAGAATGGTTCGAGGTCATTGAAGACGGGAGCTGGTATTCTGGACTCTCGCGAGTCTAGGTCGAGGACACCGGATGATATCTGGGGAGATGAGGACGGAAAGGAAGATGTGCTAGAGCCAGAGAATGAGAGGTATAATGAGAACGGAAACTCGGTCAAGCGACGAAAAGTGGACTCGTCCCCAGCGGTTGATCAGGGCGATGATTCCCGTCCATCCAAACCTACCAAAGCCCGGCAAGTCAGTGGTCCTTTTATCGATGAATCAGACAGCGATGAGGATCTGGACGACGATCTGGGTGCCTTCGGAGAAATAGACCAGGGGGAACCGAGCTTTAAGAGGACCGTGGCCGGAGACGAGGAAAAGAGTCCCACAAGCAGTGTTGATGTTAACCCGGCACTTAAAGAGCAACCGTCCGCTGTCGCCGCACCCTCATTGGTAAGAGAAGCCACGAGTTACGCAGGAGACGATGAATTCGCAAATTTTGACGATATAGAAGACGATAATTTCCTAGAGGACGACAATAGCCTTGATCCATTTTACGCGGACGAAGATGCCGGCGAGAAGGCAGATTTTCTTGACTCAAATGTCATGGATGATTCCTTAGGGATCAACGATGTTAGCGAATGTTCTGGTGATGAAGGCCCTATCTGTCCAATATGCCAGTCAGATCTATCAGGGTTAAGTGAGGCGGTAAGATGCCGGTCTTGGATTCCTATTTTTGTCGAACCTTGGACTAATTGTTGCAGGATGTGAGCCTGCATGTGAACGATTGTCTCGACGGGAAGCCTACGGCTAACTCAGCGGAAACACTTTCGAACGCTCCGAAGCAAGCCCCCCTATCGCGGTCCGATCGGGCTGCAGTTCCACGACCAGCTCAAGGTGACCCATTCTCGTCAGACGGTACAAAGCCAAACTCAGCTTTCTCGAAGATTATGGCTGGAAACGCTGAAGATGCCGCTTGGGCGACTGCTGCAGCAGGAGAGATTGCGTCTCGCGGGAAGCAGGCCTATCAACGGACTTGTCCGTTCTACAAGATTCTTCCTGGGTTTTCCATCTGCGTGGATGCGTTTCGCTATGGCGCCGTGGAGGGCTGTAACGCCTATTTTCTCAGTCACTACCATAGTGATCACTATATGGGTCTCACATCGTCCTGGCGACATGGCCCTATTTACTGTAGCAGGGCTACGGCTAATCTGCTGCGCCAGCAACTCAGAGTCGACCCCAAATGGGTGGTAGACCTGCAATTCGAAAAGAAGACAGAGGTCCTTGAAACGAATGGCGTGCATGTCACCATGATCGAGGCCAATCACTGCCCTGGGAGTGCCATTTTCCTTTTCGAGAAACAGACGGGATCCGGACCATGTGCGAGAGTACAACGAATCTTGCACTGCGGAGACTTTCGAGCATCTCCCACACATGTGCAACATGCGCTTCTGCGTCCGGAAATAGATGACCCTACTACGGGCAAACGCCGTCAACAGAAAATTGACGTTTGTTATCTTGACACGACGTATATGAGTCCTAAGTATGCGTTCCCCAGCCAGGAGGATGTCATCGAAGCATGCGCGAATTTGTGTGTCAGTCTCGACCAGAATCCGGAAAGGGGTGTCGGTCAGAGTCTATTGCAGAAGGAAAGCTCTGGTGCAGGGAAGGTTATGAGCCGATTCTTTTCTGCGATGAGCGGATCCCGTGGCAACTCAGAGAAACAGGCCGCACAGGCTCAGGGACGGTTGCTTGTCGTTATAGGGACATATAGTATCGGCAAGGAGCGGATATGTCTTGGCATTGCCCGAGCACTCAAAAGCAAGATATACGCCACTCCAGCCAAGAAACGAGTGTGCGCGTGCTTAGAAGACCCGGAATTATCCTCACTGCTCACCGATGATCCGACTGAGGCTCAGGTGCATATGCAGACGCTCTTTGAGATTCGTGCAGAAACCTTGGCCGACTACTTGGACTCAATGAAGCCGCATTTCTCGCGCATTGTAGGCTTTCGGCCGACGGGGTGGAATTACCGTCCGCCGGCAGGTCGAATGCTGGACAACCCGCCCGTCTCCACAGTGTTGCACTCACCGCAGTGGAAAACGCCGTTTTCGGCACGCGATCTGACACCTCAAAGAGGGAGTACGCGGGAGAGCGCGTGCTACGGGGTACCCTACAGTGAACACAGCTCTTTCCGTGAGCTGACTATGTTCTGCTGCGCCTTACGGATAGGGCGGATTATCCCGACCGTGAATGTGGGTAGCCGGAAGAGTCGGGAGCGAATGAAGGCATGGTTCGAACGGTGGGAGGCCGAAAAGAGGAAGAGTGGACTGTACCGAGTAGAGGGAGAACGATGGTAAATGTGCACCTACTGTTGTTAAGAGATGTACATAGTCCTAGGCTGCATATATGACCGGTCTCTCTACTCTCTGATATATCATGTACATATTTGGATATATAGATTGAGATGCTCCACACCATTTACTACCAGTACAAGTCCCCTTAAGCTCAGCTGTAAATATGCAAAGATCTGCAATTTATTGGGAGTAGTCTGTATCGTCTGCATCTTTGACACATTTGGGATCAGGCATCCAGGCAGGCAGGCCGGCCACGAGACCACTTGTTCTTCCTCCTCTCCATCACCAATATGAACCTCCAATTACAAGACAAGGTTTGTCTTAGCCACTTTTACCACCGCCAACAAGATGATCGTCAACCCCACTCTTGATACTAGCACCAAGAGTCAAAAACAGAATAACCGAGCGGTGAAGCGGTGGGGAGCGCAGTGTCGGGGTCGAAGATCGGCTGTTGGCCTAACCCCAGACTCCCGAACCCCAGATCCGTCATTTGGATAGCCTCGGGGTTCCCCTCTTCCGTTCCAATCTTCCAATCCATAAATAGACCGCATCACTGCAGTGTCTGCGATGGTTTGTTGGCAGACTATATCATCAGCAGAGTGCCATGGATTAGATTTTTTGGCTCTTTGTGATCGAGTTGAGTCTGTCTTTGAGAGAATCCTGGCCGTTTTCGTTTATCGCTCTTTAGCGTGCAAAAGTGTTTGTCCGAACTAGCTACCAAAAAGGTTAGTCCGCCCGGTTTTGAAGCCGTCGATGTGCGCTTAGCTGCAATTTGATGGCAGCCCTATCAGACCATTGCAACACAGCATAGCATCTACATCGGCACTGACTAATGGTTAAGCAATCCTGCTTGGAACTTGCAGATTTGCAGATTGAAATTTAAGATCGGCCCACTATGATCACCGAGCTCCTCACCCCGCAGACCACAGGTTTTATCCTGCTGGGTCTGCTCGCCGCTTACTACATCGTTCCGTACCTGCAGAAATGGCACCTACATGATATTCCTTCTCCGAGCTTTGCTGCCTTTAGCAACCTCTGGCTGCTCCTGCAGGCCCGTAGAGGTCATCGGTTCCTGAAGGTGGACGAGGCCCACAAAAAATATGGAAAACTCGTCCGCATTGCGCCAAGACAGGTCTCCATTGCGGACGACGCTGCAATTCAAGCTATCTACGGGCACGGAAATGGCTTCCTCAAATCGTATGTGGTATCCCCATGATTTCTTCCGAATTTCTACTTATTACCTCTATAGCGATTTCTATGATGCCTTTGTCTCGATCCGTCGCGGTCTTTTCAATACTCGCGACCGTGAAGAACATACCCGCAAGCGCAAGACTGTCTCTCATACCTTCAGTATGAAGTCCATTGGCCAGTTCGAGCAGTACATCCACCAAAACGTCGAGCTGTTCGTTCAGCAGTGGACCAAGCTCGCCAAGCTCAATGGTAACCCCCGGTCCGGCTATGCCACCATCGACGCTCTCAATTGGTTCAACTATCTGGCTTTTGACATCATTGGCGACCTTGCCTTTGGTGCTCCCTTTGGAATGCTCGAGAAGAGCAGGGATATTGCCGAGATGCGCAAGACGCCTGACTCGGAGCCCACCTACGTACAGGCTGTCGAGGTTCTCAACCGCCGTGGTGAGGTCTCTGCTACTCTCGGCTGTCTCCCCCGACTCATCCCCTATGCCAAGTATCTCCCCGACCGCTTTTTCAAGGATGGCATTCAAGCCGTTGAAAATCTGGCCGGTATCGCCGTTGCCCGTGTCAATGAGCGCCTCAAGCCGGAAGTCATGGCGAAGAACACCCGTGTCGATCTTCTTTCTCGCCTGATGGAAGGCAAGGACTGCAACGGCAACAAGCTCGGCCGCGAGGAACTCACTGCCGAGGCCTTGACACAGCTCATCGCTGGTTCGGATACTACCTCCAACACCACCTGCGCGATCCTCTACTGGTGCATGTCTACCCCCGGCGTCATCCCCAAGCTCCAGAAGGTCCTCGACGAGGCTATTCCCGACGACGTCGATGTTCCCACGCACGCCATGGTCAAAGATATTCCCTAGTACGTCCCATCCCACCTATTCCTCCTTATCTTTTCATTTTTACTTTTTGTCACTTTGCTAACTATCATTTCCAGCCTGCAATGGGTCATCTGGGAAACTATGCGCATCCACAGCACCTCCGCCATGGGCCTTCCCCGTGAGATTCCCCCGGCAACCCCCCAGTCACCATCTCCGGCCACACCTTCTACCCCGGCGACGTCGTCTCCGTCCCCAGCTACACCATCCACCGCTCCAAGGAAATCTGGGGCCCGGACGCCGAGCAATTCGTCCCCGAACGCTGGGATCCCGCCCGCCTTACCGCGCGCCAAAAGGCCGCTTTCATTCCCTTCTCCACCGGTCCGCGCGCCTGCGTCGGCCGCAACGTCGCCGAGATGGAACTGCTCGTCATGACCGGTACTATCTTCCGGCTCTTCGAGTTCGAGATGCAGCAGGATGAACCCATGGAGACGCGTGAGGGCTTCCTGCGCAAGCCTCTTGGTTTGATTGTCGGGATGAAGCGGCGGGCTGCGCATGCTTCTGTTTAAACACCACCAGTTGAGTCGAGCAATATGCTGGCTGGTGGAATTCTAGGATGTGACTTGGGAGGAATTAACTGTTGGAACGGGCCCGCGATAATGCAACGAATTAGCTGTAAAAGAAGAACCTTTCTCCTTTCTTCTCTCTTGTTTCTGTATACACAGTTCACTCTATTCGGTGTGATCATTCGCTTACGCATTGTTGATATCTTTCGAGGTGGGGTTTTGGGGGGGTTCTTTTTCCGTCATCTGCATGATGCCGTTGAGCAGCGCTCCTGCTGGTGCAGAGGGCAGTATAAAAAATATGAAGTCCTACAAAGTAATCTAAACTTCCGTCTCAGTAAGGCTTAAGTTGTTGTCAGATTATGAGTATTATGACCCTGAACTAGCTCCATACAACCATTAACGTAAGTCATCACATTATTATCATTGCCATGGGTTGCATGTCCAGTCCCAGCAGGACGACATAACAACCAAACAAGAACACTACAGAGCCTCCACAAACATCCTCACGGCTCAGACAAACACTGCTCCACCTGTATTTAAACAGGTCGCATGTTCTGAGTCGATGTGCACTGTGCACGGCATCAAGACCAAGAGGTGGGACCGAACTTCTCACCGTCTGGCAACACAACCTGGACGGCGCTACCAGAGGCATCCATGGTGTCCGCGGCGATGTTGGTACCCCACCAGCTTGGGAAACTCGTGTCAGTCAATTGAAGTGTGAGGAAGATCAGGATGGTGCACAGCGCCAGGCCGACGTCCAATCCTGCTGACAAAACGTAGGTGTAGTGCATCCACCATCCGCGGAAACGGTTGCGGATGTATCTGTTAAACACAAGACCTACGATACCCCAGCTGATGTAGTTCAGTGGTGTCGCAGGGGGAATCAGTCCTGCACCACCGAAGATGACGGGCGCGCTGAGGTACCGGATGGGACTCTTAGGCCAGTAGCGAGCCCCGAGGTAGATGGCGACGGGCAAAATGGCGCCAGCGAGCCAGAACCACATGAGGCCGGAATATATCTGACCGGGAGAAAACATGCGGGAGGGGCCGATGACACCCCAAATGATGGAAGCATTGAAGAATACGCGGCCGTTGGGACAGCTGTAGTGGTTGGCCTGTTCTGGGTCGCAGACGTTGTTGATTGCTCCAAGTGCCCAGTTCATCGTGCATATTTGGACGATCGAGGACCACAAACAGGCGACCAACTGTCCGGCGAAGGTCACGCGAGGCGGGAGCTTCATGTAGTGACCTAAGTTGTACTCAAGTCAGCTCTATGATCATGCTAAATTTGTCGTCTCTTCTGTTTTGACAAATGACATACCCAGCTTCATGTCCTGGCAAAAATACAGGCCCTGCGACATGGTAATGTACCCGTAGGTCTTGAAGAGCATCATCGCCATAGGGCGTCCCGGCTGCATGTAACCAATGATGAACTCCGTAATGACGTTCAGTCCGATCTGAATGTTGGTCGTCGCCTGTACGAGACCAATGGGCACAAACCACACAGCGGCGACGATCAAGGAGACGAAAAAGGCCCACCAGGACAAATGAGTCGGATAGCCCAGTACAACGCCTAGGCCCATTGCGATCATGACCAGTGAAAGCACGGCATACCACCACAATGGGACGGTCTTGAATCGGGACATGAGACGCCCGTGGACGTCTTCCTCCTCCTCACCGAACTTGCGGAACCGGGCCCACAGCTCCTTTCCATGAAAGAGCCCAGTATGAAGGAGTACGGCGATCATGGAAGCAAAACTCAAACCATAGCTCAGAGCGAATGTGGTGGACAGGAAAAGGGGCGAATACTGTTCGTACTTGGCTTGATCAAACTCATAGTTTGGGGTGAGAATTTTAGACACTTGGTACCGGTGGGCAGTGTTGTCGTAGCTGTTCGAGTCGCTAATGGGCAAGTACTTGCCGTACCACATACCACTATAGTGCAGGCCCATTGTGGTGATCCAGAAAAATATCACCATACCAATCAGAGTATTCATGTGCGCATGCCACGGAGAGATCAGGGGACTGAAGTTGAAACCAGAGACCTGTGTCCAGTCAAAAGTGATGGGAACGAGGGAAAGCCCGGTCCAACCACCAAAGAGCTGGTTGATGACCGGGTTCTGGGGCTTGATCCAGGTGATGAAAGCGAAGGCACTCAAGAACGGAGCAATGTATCCGGGGAACCAGTACCAAACGAATGATCCGATCATGCAGTACAGAAAGAGACGGTACTTTCCAATTGTCCATCCGGAAACCTTTCGTGGATCGGGCTTTGAGCGATCATGCAAAGCAGTAAAGAGCGCAGAGTTAATGAGGGTAGAGGGCCAGATCATGGCGGCTGGCGTGACAAGGAACCGATAGAAGAAACCAGCCAAGCCAAATCCTAGAGTCTGGGTAGATATGCACAACAGAAGCTCAAAGGCCCAACTGAACCGCTGCTTGTAGAAGGCTCTCTGAGCGAGCAGCACATCCGTCGCATAAGCAGCACCACCAGCAAAGGTAGCATTGGACATGATGACAATAAGAGCATGCTCCTTCTTGCTGAACGGTCCAGGGTTGAGGTTGCAATCGATGCCAAAGAACTTGAACTGCTTGCTGGGCATTACCTTATACCAAGCCACCCCAACCGGGTAGGCGACGACCTGGATCACGTACGAGGGGATGACGATGTATGGCTGGCGCATAGAAAACAGCATGTTGAGAGCTGAACCAAGCGTCGCGAACACCAAGCCAATAGTCCAGGCACGGATTGTGTTTGTGTGTCCACCTTCATCGTAGTTTGGAACCGCGGAGCGAACCTCGACGTAGGGCGAATTTTCCATAAGTTCGTGGGCAACGCCAGCACGAGTGCCCTTGTCGTCCGTGTTCAGGGCCTCATCGAGCTCCTCAACCACGTCGTCAGGGAGATTGGGATCCCACTGATGTTGCTCCTTGATATGCTTGAGATGCTTCAAGACCTCATCGGGCGCCGTCTCGTCCGCCAGGGAATTGTCGCTGACGGCGACGGTGGGCTCGACGATCTTCTCCTTCATCCTGAGAGGATGATCGAACGGTTGGAGTCTGTGGCAGATAACAGAGGAGGATCTTCAATGCAGGATGTCTGCAATGGATAAGAGAAGCAGTGATAGTGGAGCAACGCCGTCGTGAGAAGGATCCACCTCAGGTTGTTCCCATACACGATCGACAGGGGAGAGAACTGGATGATCAGAGAAGGATGAGAGGGGGAAGAGAAGGGGGAGGAAGGTCGGACGCGAAGCAGATGCAGCGGGTCACGTTATATAAGGAAGTGAGAGTGGTGCGCGGTTGAGAACCATCACTGACTGGAAACCATCACCCCAGCAGGACTCGCTATCCCCATTCCAATCAGATATCCGACGGTAACCCGCCATGTTATCTCTGGATACTTTCATTTACTATGATTTCAGCCACTCAAAGATCATATCTCAAGGAGGGATGGGTCCCGCCGTCCGCCACCGAGAGAGTAAGTCATTTGCTCTTGCCAGATGTTACCCTGATAGGTAACCAGTTAATAAACGCATGGTCTGATCGATTATTAGCTCTATGATGGGCGATTCCAAAGTGAGTCTCGACACGTGTGAAAAACGAAGGATTCGACAATGATATCTTCCCATTGGAGGAACCCGACCGGTTGGAAGTCTTGGGTTCCATCCATGAAAGACATGAACCTAGACTGCAAGTTATCGGCGAGACAGTCACGGAGCTACACTAGCGCCCCTGTTGCCATGGCCGGAAAGCGGGCGCAACCAGAGCTTCGTCTTTCTTATTTCTGGAGGGCAGTGCCCCACCACGCTGATGGCGCCAGAGAAACTGACGGGCTAAGGGAGAAATGAGAACGCTCAGAAGCTGTCCAATACTGATAGCAGCGTGCGGGAGCCCTAGTATCGCTCCGCAGTTCATTAGATGTTGGAACGACTTCTAATTGCCCCGCCGGAAGTCCGAATCCATGTCCAGGTCGTGCAAGGTCTCAGGGATACTCGACGGCGTCTTTGCTCAAATCAAATTGGTTTTTCACATTCTCCCCTCTTCCCAGGTTGCCTTCCAATTACTGACCGTGGGGTAAAAGCCAGGACCGATCGAATTCTACATCCCTCTTGCGGTCTTGTCGCTTAAGCCCCGATCGACATCAGCAGAAGGCAATACTTCGGGGCTATCCTTGATTACACTGAAGTCAAGCGACCAACGACAAGACTAGATGGTGGGGGCTGGCTGGGGCTATATTGGGCCGGCCATATATGCCAAATCCGGGGTAGCGTGGTCTTCTGCATCACACAGTAGCCCCTGGCTTGCTTCTGAACATTCCCATACCCACACAGCAAAGGATCATGTGGCTTCTGGACAGACGAGATTAGCATGGGGAGCAGAATCGCTGATTCCGGTGGCAACATTCGCTTATCTGAAGTCCAAGAGTGTATCAGATATGGCACTGGGTATCGATTGATGGGATCATGGGAAGGACCAGAGGAGGATGCGGAGGATTGGTTTGGAAGAAGACAGATGATAAGCTTGCTGCGGCGCTCGCCCAGGGCCACCCTTGAGGCTTGTCCGTGATAAGCCAACGATAACCGCCACCAATGATGGTTGAGAATTAGGAGCGGAGAAGCCCGAGGAACTTGGCCTTTGACCGTTCGATGCTTGAAAAGGGGGCAAATGGGCCCGCAGCGGATAAATCCTTGGGATCTTCGACTGCTGTAACCTCCCCCATATGACCAAGGAATTTATTATGCGATAGTATTACTTACCTTATGGCGATTTCTCAGATGGCCACGTCCCCGGTGTTACTTGACCCTTGGTTCAGCAGCTGAGACAAGGACAACTCCTGATTGTTATGCTTCTTTGTACACTCCTGTTGTTCGATTCCAGACCAATTTCCCCTGAGTCCCCTCCCAATCATTGACTTCCCGAGGTAAGACAGTAAGTTTCGCAAGCGCGCCTGTCTCCGTGCCTTTTCTGTCAAAGGTCCGAGTAATTTCACAAGTTCACAAACCAGCATAAATTCTAGTTTTAGTTCGGTCGTCACTTCATAATCGGCACTGTTCTGCCCAGATTAAAGAACAATAATCGCTTAGACCTTCTACAGCGGTATCTCTTGCGCTGGTAGATTGTCTCTAAGCTCTACGCTTGCCTTTTCCCAATAGGACGGGAGGTCTAGCCCGGCGCTAAGGCCGCTACAGCGCCGTTTCTAAAGGCATGGGAGGCAGATAAGGCACAGACCCATATTCTCATCCTGGATATATCGCCTGTTAACCTCCTGCTTTATCTGCGCTAGCTCAGGCGGACTAAATCAGCCAAAGTTGGGCGAGACACTGTGGACCGTCTTATCAGGGTTGCGCTTAAGTGTAGGGTAGGATAGTCTCATTTATGCGGGCTACGGGGAGACCTCTTTTAACTATCCCGGTCTTTATCTACAACGTCGGCGACGAAGTCAAAGTATGTGTCAGCAAGGTATCGCTCTGATCAAGCATTATTACAATCTACAAAAAGACCAAAAATCGCTTTCGGGTTGGTTGATTGGCAATCGCAGTCTCTGGCGAGATCTGGCTTCGATCTCAGAAAGGATTGCGCTAGAAACGCAGGATTATCTGAGAGGACTCCGACGGAGATTACTCGGCATTATTATGGAGGTGGAGCTCGAGAAGGAGAAGAGCAAATAATTTTTTCTAGCATTATTGACTATTACTGTTGCTATTGCTAGTAGTAGTCTTATCGACATGGAAATACCCTGACAACTACTCTGACAGAAAGATTTCCTGGGTAGAAAAAGGCTCCGCCGATTGCAAAAAGATGCTCCCTCAGGGCAATGCTGCGAACTTGTAAATCCTGAAGACCAATGCCAAGGGGATTTTGTTCACTATCCTTCCGCAAATGTTCACCTTACGTCTCGGGCCCCTGTTGATAATCTTAGGTATACGGGCCGGTGGACAGGAAGAATTCATCTTCGCACAAGGCCCATTCGAAATCAGCAAGGAAGTGGTCGTCGGCACAAGCTGAGTCCTGTCTCTCCGCGGAGTTGACCATCGTGCTGGCGGCCGAACTGGAGGGGTTGCGGGTGCTCTCAGCTCCTGAGATCATGGGGTCATCAGCCTTTGCGGGATGAGTTTCAGGCATGGGAGGTATAATACCATCCGCAGCCTCCCCCTGCGGAAGATACATAGTACGATATTGTGGCTCATTCTCGTCTCGCCACCACCAGACTGCGTCGAGGACGGGACTGAGAACAAGACGGCCCCGCACTCGGAGGGATGTGTACGCGCTGCCATCGGGCTTGCGGTAGGCCTTGGTGCTGTTCCAGAGCTGGTTCAGGATGAAGACGGCCTTGGCGGCACTATCGTTCTGCTGGACTGACATCTCCTTGGCGAGATTGATTCCGGCGAAGAACGAGGCCCTGGCTCGCTCGAGTTCCAGATCGCACGATGTGTATAGCTTGAGTATGCGGAGCAGGGACACTGAAGCGAGGAGGAGCCCGAAGTTTATCTGGACGGGGGTAGTCACCAGGCGGCCGGGTGTTTGACCTAAAGACTGGACGAAGTCAATGACTCGGCAAGCTGCGGCCAAAAGACGAGGCAAGGCGCCGGTTGAAGGTAGGGTTCCGGTCTTGTAGAAATGAAAGACTTGAATACTCAAGCGGCACAGAGCTACATGGAACCTGTCGACTGCTGTATGTGCGTCAGCGCTGTTCGTCCTTGAATAGATCAACCAGGCCATACCGGAAGTGAACTGGGTTTCCAAGTCTGTGATTTGGCTCTCATATGTGCGGAGAATGATATCCAACGAGCGCTCCTGTTCCAAAGATAAGTTTCGCACCCCGTTTTCGACTACTGCCGCGCTGCATCTGGTTACCAGATCCAAGCATTTGAGCTTCAGCACCAATCCTGGAGCAATTCTCTGGAACAAGCGATGGCTCTGCCCGAGTTCCTGGTGCATATCGTTGAGAGTGCGACCCAATTGCCCTTTGACAATGCAGGAACTATATCACTGTTAGCAACGGTAGCTAGCCTCGTGCTTAACAACTCACTTCTGATATGCAATCACGCAATGTGCCCACAGTTCCGATCGCCGAACCATATCAGCTTCGGTCGGTGCGGGAGTTTTAAACCTGGAAAACTCATGGCTGGACATGGGTATGTGCGTGCCGTTCTGCATGGCAATATGGAGCATCATGCCGCTCAAGGTGAACGTCACGTCCGAACGAGTTTTGTCCTTTGCAAAGGGCCAAGTGAGAAGCAGCAGCAGTCCCTGAACTGTGTGCCATGGTGTGGTTGACAAGGCTGAGAGTAAAGCCATCTCAACAATGCCCGCGAGAGGGCTGTCAGTAAAGTTGGATTTTTCGGGTAAGACCTGCACGCAACCCCAATAACAGCCCAGAACAAAAAAGGAGATTGTGTGTAATATGCATTGGGTGTCAGCCCGACGTCGAGGATGGGAAGGAACTGCGAATATTCACGGAAGAACCTGTAGCAGCACAATCAGCTTTAAAATAGACTTGGTGGGCCATCATCCAAACTGCTGCCATTGACTTACACTTGGTACAGATCATCGATCTCCTCTGCCTTGACCATTACATTATTCAAGGCACGAGGAACAGTCGGCTCTAGACGATGATTGTCCGGCTCGATATCCCCTTGGGCTAAAGGCTCTTCTAGACCTGCCGAGGATAGCAGCTGCTGGGCATACGATGGAACAGGAAGAGCAGCGGCACAAGAAGGAGGACCAGAAACCGGGGAGTTGGAAGAGCAGGGGCAGGAGGAGTAGGAAGACTTAATGCGACCTCGCTGCTTGCAGAGTGCACTCCCATCTCTGCTGCAGCTGTGAGCAGAGCTATGGGGGAAGCATGATGGTTTGGGGCCTGTGCAGCTTGTAATTGTCGACGGAGCTCATTCGCCTCATGTTCCAGTTCGGCTCGACGCCTGCGTAGATCTGGTCAGCCTTCAGTCAACACAAACCACACCAGTGGCGCAAAACATACTGGCGTTTATGCTCCCTTCGGAAAGGGTCTGAGATGACACACTTAATCTGGGACTTTCGGCATCTTGTGCATGGCTGATCGGGGTTCAAGTACGCATCGCATTTGTGCTGTTGACTGATAGTTAGTCATGAAGAAACATTTGAAGTAGACTATGCACTCCAGCATTCAGTAAGCAGAGGCATACCTTTTGTTGTCTGCACTCTGTGCATGCTTTCTTGGCTCGCTTAAGCGAAGATCTAAGATAAGCTTCTTTGTTAGCGTTGCTCATGGAACCACCCTGGAATGTTCGAGAAGGGGTGATGAATCTCACTGGGGGTCCATTTCATCTGCAATCATTCGCATGTATCGAGAACAACGTAGCAGAGACTCTGCATTCTGCTCCTGCACTGATAGTGTAAAGGAGCTCTCTCCCTGGTACTCTTCGCGATGACGGTTGGACTGGTGAGAAGAGCTACGAGTTGAAGAGGTTTGGGCCTTCGGAGATAGTGCCATAATGTCCGTAACTGGTGGAGAAAGTAAGCCTCAGGACTGCTGGCGACGATTGACATTAACTGGGAAGAAGGCTGCTTGGGCGAGATTTTGAGCTGAGGCTAAGGTAATCTTAGGATAGAGATTGAGTATTCACTTAGCAGCTCGCGACTCATACCACCCTTTAGCGAGGCTACTACTGGTTATGGGAGAGAGTCATGTAACACAAGATGTTTTCTAGACGAGGAATAGGGGATATAAGTGGTGATTACGGATCTTACGGTCTACGCGATTCAGACCTGACCTCTAAAAGCCTATTATAACTCGTCTTGAATATCATAGTTCAGCCATGACTCGGCCTTCCATCTCATTCATAGGTATCCCTCTTCTCGAACTTCTACCGGGGCTTGTTGACAATGACGCTATAGTTATACCCTAGCATCCAGGCCCGGAACCGGCACGGAGATAAGCAATCAGGCCCGGGTATATGTAACTCCGATTGGCTCCATATCATGTCGCCCGGCTTTGACCCCAGATGAAAAAGCACCGAGCAACATCAGGAAGTACTGTTGGGATCCATGAGTCTCAATTGCGAACGAATTTATAGCAAAGTTACATTTCCTCGCTATTAATCGTCTCGGAAAATGTATGAAAGGAACATCAGGCTGACCACCCGTCTAGCCATTCAATATTGTGTCTACTGATCTGCACATCTCCCAGCTCAAAGCCGCCGTGACTGGGCCTTTCGCTAGCCTATGGCCATTCGCTTATTATAGCGACGATCTTGCTTCTACAGTGTAATGGCGTATAGAACGGCCAGATCTAAGCTCTTGCCATGCTTACACAAATTGGCTGGCTTTGACGCTCTACGATCCTGCGATTCAGGAGCAATCTTGTTCCCAGCATGTCCAAAGGACACCAGGAAGATTGCATTACTTGAGACCGCTAGATGTCTGCTCTAAAGAGGAACTCGCAACCAAATGTGCAGGTAACCTGAACTTCCAAGTTCTCCTCTGTCTTGCTGAATGGATACAGCTCGGCCACCCGTCACATGTCTAAATGCAGAACTTCAGCTGTCACACAAGCCCTACATCTGTTAACAGGACATGTTAGACAACATGGCTTTAAGATACCCGATGCGTCTAAAATGTTAAGAGTGTGGTTGTCCAGTGTAGGATGAGCACACCTCAATCACATTAAATCCTCAATACAGTTGACATACCATCAAATGTTCGCTCTCAGCCTGCGACGCTGTGATAGGCGATGCAAGTCTCCGCGGAGATCCTCAAGGGTAGCAATGTTGATATCACGGTTGCAAAGACCTTGGAACCTCTTTTTACGACTGAGGATGCTACAGTCCCACACGTGGACCAGAGGCGCATTAGGTGCTATTGTCCAGCAAGTGACATGAAAACAATTCGCGCTCGGACAAAACTTGATTCACAGGTTGGATGTCTCAGCTCAGCTTGTCCCATGAACCGGACACCGTGTTGCCGTGTCGCAATCGACAACTCACTATGCATATTAGGAGTACATCCTACTTCTCATCTCCAGAAATAGAACTTGGGTCTGCAATCTCGACAATTGAGGAACATTAGATCCTCACAGCTATAGCTGTTGCAATTGCCTACGTCGTGCCGAAATTTGGTACCGACTGCGAGGGCAGGTTACTTATTCTCGTGGCTGAGGGGGCTTCGTCGCAAAGGGCCTCCAATGGCAGATCATCAGAGACATCTTCAATCTTGGCTGCTATCGGCCTAAGTGGTGGCATTTGCAGTACGTCTGCTATACCTGGACCGTCTGGCATACTGCCATGGAGACACCTGCTGTCTAGGTTATCTCGATCAAGAATCATTATCGATGGCTCAGAATAGATCGAAGCTTTTCTTATTCGTCTCAGTACTCTATATGCCCGTTCTTCTAAGAGATCTACTGATACGATCTTGGAATAGCAACCGCCAATTGGAATAAGCGACCGCCACTGCTTACCTTGTTAGACTCCGGTACATAGTGCACTGCTAGACTCTATCTAGACTATCAATAACTACCTTTTGCAAGCGCTAGAAGCCGATTGGGTAGATGGATATCTTCAATTGTACTCTCGACGAAGGGCTCATCAGAAACGAACCGATTTTCTCTGAACTGCCTTTATGACTAAGGTGGCAAGCATAATATCAAATGGTGCATTATCATCGCTGTTGTTATGCAATTGTCGCCGTCTCTTACCCTATGGCGGGATGTACTCACCATGACATCACAAGTCGCTTCATCCCAACTTGAGGCGACAGATAGATCCAAATAACGTACAACTACCAAGTCTATTCCAAAATTCACTGTACAGGTCAATATCCTGTTTAACTGTAATATAAGCATGAGTTTCGATCTCCCCTCTGTTAGCGAACTCAAACGCGCGGCCGAGGTTGGCCAGCGCATCACACCCGAAGATGTCTCCGTCATAGCACAAGCAGAGAGCGAGTTGACAGGCAAAGGGCCTGTGAGAGGAGGACCTGCCGGTTAGCTCTCCCGATCGTAGAAAAGATGAAAACATCCGGTATTGATTGCACTTTAGCAACGGCGCAGAGTCTGGCGATGCGGCAGATGAACTTTGACACGAAGTTGGATGAGGTCTCGAGGAAGCCGCAGAGCCATATCACCCAGGAGGATGCACGAGAGATACAAGCTACGGAGGTTAGTCTCCCACTCGCTGATGTTGTTGTTCTATGGTTCTGATGGATTTTCCAAGGGTCGCGCATTCAACAAGCCACCTGGTGCGGGCTCCGTCGCCGCTCAGGTTCGCTCCATTGCCAACCGCAACGAGGCCCTGGGCCTCCCACCCGTCAACGCAGGCGTTGATGCATATGTGACTAAGGATGATGCACGAGAAGCGCAAAGAGCTGAATCGTTTGTGTATGGAGGGCAGAACCCCTCGGGCGGGATGGCGGCTCAGATGCAGGTGAGCAGAACATATCGGTTTGAATTTTGGATAATCAGACTGACAAACTGCTACTAGAGCGCTGCCGATAAGATAGAGCATGTCAGAAGTGTCAGCGGTCAGGAATGATTAGGAGAGATCTTCGGGGCTGGAGACTCCACCATGCGGATGTTTTGTGGCTTCAGGAGAGGCGGTGTCTGGCCATCTTTTCAAGCTTCCTCTTTTGAATTCGGGATATGACGGCATGACATGTAGCCTCGGAACATTCGCAAGAAAAATGATTCATCTCATCGCGGAGTATATAGTTCTATAGTTTAGCCTTAAAAATGCCAGAATTTGGGTCTCATAACCTCATGCAAATTCTAGACAAGCCTTAGCGTTGGGCACCAAGACGGAGAAAAGTTTTGGTTGGTGAGCTTCATAAGCTGACACAGATGCTGATGGATAAGCCTCGAAGCACTGTCCAACTGAATTATTCTGTCGAACAACGGAGAGTATACTTTTGTAATGACTCGATGATCAGAACGCCCGTGGCTTGTTCAAGGACTTGACTCTCCTATCAATGATCGGTGCGGGGTTGGGAGGGGCCAAAAGCGCAGCTCACTGGGAGTCTGTGACCATGTGAGCACCGCCAGCTCCAAACTCAGTTTCACAGAAGTGGTAAAAATAGGAGATTATCCAAGCCACATAATAATTGCGTACTCGGCAATTATTATTAAGGCTGAAAGGCTCAAGAAGACCCAACAATCTGGGCCTCTGATGCTTTTATGTGTAAACTGCTCTTTCTTGATTTATATTCCACGACAGAAAGATTTCAAATCCCCAGTGCACTGTGATCACTGTATTGATACAACCTGACTTAACTGCTTGCTTGTTGATATCAAAGTTCGCATAGGCACCAAGTAGCTTTCTCCGGAAGGCGTCAGCAGTCAGCACAATGGTCAAACAGACTGTTTTCACCACCATTACGCCCCTCCCCTCGTACATCAGCAGAGACATAGTTGTGGAGACACTGCACAACCATAGGGAAATGATAGAGCTGAATCCTCTGGTCATCAATTTCGCTCAATGCAAACCTCCCAGCTTCGCGCCCGCAGACGAGTTCCACACCATTTGGTACGAGTTGACCGACAGGATCTCATATCTACCCGGAGGGCTTCTTCAGGGCAATGTCAGCTACAAAGGCTGTTTCCATGATCTTCCACGCGGCCTGCAAACACACGTCTACGCACCGACGGGACTCGATATTCGGGATAAATGGACTGTTTGCGGGAATATGCCAGGCGAACCTCGCGAGACCATCGAGCTGGGCTTACCAGAGGCCCCCGGGAGGGACTGTACCTGCGCGAGGACATCCAGATGCGATGCCAGATCTGGGCCACCAGCTTTGTCAAGAGGACCCTGAAGAAAGCGCATTCAACGCTGGTCGATCGACTGATCATGAAAGCAAACCTTCTGAAAGAACGTGCGGAAAGCAACTCTGTCTCCTTGGGTTCTCCGACCTCGTCTTCGCATAGATTTTCAGTAGCGTCCGCTGAATTACCAGTGCCGGAGTATGGTCAAACAATGCATTCACCCCGTGAAAAATGGCAGCAGGTTCATGGACCGAATGGTGCAGCCAATAAGAAAAATCCCTTCCCATCATCCAACGAGCTTCCTGGGTCATTACGGCCTGGACAACCATCGGGCCTGGCAACACCGGAAATTCAAATTAATGGCGTGTCTGAATCCAGTATATCGGGGCAGCGTACAGGGCTATCCCAGAATCAGGAGAGGCACTCGCGCCGATCGTCGTATCCGGGCAAAACCCTATATGAATTGGAATAGCAAGATCGACAAAATCTGGTCGAAAACGCCTGTGCGAATCTGAATGGTGGTGTTTACTTTCGCCCTTGCAATACCCCGCCGATTGAGGAAGCTATTAGCCGTATGGATAGGCGATACGCGAGCCCAGACTTTGCCTAAATCCAGATGGTCTCGGTTCGTACCAATGGATTCTCCGTCTCTTGAGAGTCGAGATAGACCGGTGCGAGTCACTTAAGAGGACAGAATTTGTAGTGCATTGTTGCGTCCGGGCTAGGTTGCCAGCCAATTGACCTGGAGGAAGCGAGAGGGTCCCGATTCGGAAAATGAGGTTCCAAGCGGACCGGCTCAATCTATCGTTAGTCAGATACTTCAAAGTGTGAATAAGGTATTAGTGGCTTTGCTGTCTTGCTTCAGCTCGTTGGACTGCTTGTCACCGAGTCTTTTTATGCAAGCGTGACAAATCTTTGGGCGGGCTAGGATTGAGGAATCCCGACAGGGGCAAAAGGACGCCAATCAGAGCTCATTGTCGGGTCAACGGAGATAGTTGAGAATGCACTTTGTCCTGTCGATTTGAAATAATATCATAATGTCCGAGTAGAATGTGGTCCCCGCAGTGGTCTATTGTTGATTATTCTGATCCATACCGCCGATTGTTGGTCGCTGCCCCTCATTCAGCCCCAACAGATCAAATTTGCAACTCCATGGGAGCTTTTGAACTAAAAATGCCCACTGACAAATACTGGTCAAATGGCTCAATATCAGGGCCGAATCAGAGGACCAAATGGCAATCCAGCAGAGGAGCTAGAATGCGCTACTAAAGCTTTTTGGTTAGTAGGAGAGAAGCGGGCAGAAATGAGCTGGGCGCGACAGTGACGCAACTCTCTCTGCTTCTCCCGCGGCACCCCTCCATCATTCTTCCCAGAGCCAAACATGACCGATCCTCAATTGACCCAGCGGCATAAGCTTCATTTGCTCATCATTGAATAGGGGACGCCACTAGTGGTTGACAAAATAATGGCTGGTGGTTCCAAATCATCAGGAGGAGAAGGAGGGGAGATTTGGGGGTATAAATACCCCCTTCATCGCCATTTCTCTACAAAGGTCCTCAACTTTGAGCACCTTGTTGACTCTATCGTGATACCTTTCGTCCAATTAGTTATTATCATTTGAACTAGCCACAATGCCTCTTACTGGTCACTGCCTCTGCAACGCAGTCACTTACACTATTGATGTGGATCAGCCCGCTCTAGTGGGATATGACCACTGCGATGACTGCCAGCGTCAGACTGGCTCGACTTACTGTACGTTCTCAATCTTATTCTTATTGCTTCTTAATTCTCGAGACATTAACGTATAATCGTTGTTTGCTAATGGTTACACCTTTCTGCAGCGCTCGTTGCAGTCGTTCCCAAAGACAAGCTGAAGATCAATGGCCCCATCAAGAGCTTCGCTAAGAATGGAAGCTCTGGAAAGGCTGTTCATCGTGTGTTCTGCTCGGAATGTGGTTCGCCAATAGCCCACGACCCGGACGCTGCCCCAGAGATCATCGCCATCAAGGCTGGGACCTTGGACACCGACATCAAGAAGAATCTGAAGCCGGTATGTGCATTCAGGAGGCGCTGCTATAGGCTTAAATATGCTAACTACATGTGTTTTTGTCTAGGATACCGAAATCTGGACCGTTAGCAAGCTTCCTTTCTGCCAGGAGCACCTGGCCAAGCCTTTTGAGCACATGCCCCAATAGATGGGACGAAAACACGAATCTTTTTTGGTCAGACTGAACCACCATTTTAATATACGACGAGCTCAGCAATACGAGAATGGAGTTTGGGTTTTGAAGACACCTTGTTGCTACAGGGGACGGTACTACTTTCACCGAAACAGTGGTCTCATATATTTGGAAGCGTGTTGTATTAACTAAATATATATTCCAAATTCCAAAACCGCATGTGTCGCAGTTGCCATCCTCAATCTACTCTGTCTTGAGGTAAACTCTTCAGGCTGTATTGTATGAACTTAAGGCACTCTAATTTGTTCAGTCAATCAGTGGATAATACTCAGCAAGCAGTGCAAACATGGGTGACAAGTTGCTTGGGGAAAATAATAAGGCGGACTGTAAATTCCCTACTAATCCCGGAACAAAGTGCGGAACTTTAGCTTGCTTGCTCCCATCCTCCTTCAGGACGTGCTCAACACACCTGAGCTATGGCCCGATCGGCACATTTATAACATACCTTTACTATAAAAGGAACACATTGACCAGGGGAATATCTCAAATGGATCCAGAAAACAGCCACCATGTCATCGGGGACCCTTCACATCAGAGACTCGCGCACCAACGCGGAGTATGAAATCCCAATCAGACGAAATGCAGTCTCAGCGATGGACTTCAAGAGGATCAAAGCCCCAGCGGCTGGCGCAGACCGAGCGGATCAAGTCGCCAGTGGACTACGCGTGCACGACCCCGGGTTGCAGAATACTACTGTGCTGGAAACAGGAATAAGTTTTTCGTACGGAGCTCTGAGCTTCTATATGAGGTGATGCACCTAACAAGCTGCGATTCTTAGCGATCACGAGAAGGGACTCCTTCTGTTTCGTGGGTATACTTTGGAGCAGCTATGGGACAGCGATTTCGAGGATATGCTGCATCTTCTCGTCTGGGGCAGTTATCCTACGGCATTGCAGAAGAAGGAATTGAGCCGGAAGCTCGCTGAGGAAATGACTATGGTTCCAAAAAGCGTGTACAGGACCATAGAAACACTGCCGTGATTCTTCCATGTCATCAGAAGCTTCGAGCCCCAGGCTAACAATATAAACCACTACAGAAGGACCACCTCGCCTCTACCTCTCATGTTAGCCGGGCTTTCAGCGTGTCTAGCATACGTCCCGGAGAGTATTCCGGCATCAACTAAGCCCGATCTATATCAAAGCAGTAGCAGAGAGGTCGACCGCGCAATCATTCGAACCGTTGCAGCCTACGCGGTCGTTTTTGGGTTGGTAAACTGCCATCGAAGAGCAATCCCGTTTGAACACCCCTCTCGCGACAAAGCTTACCTGGAGAATCTGTTCCAGATGGCGGGTCTGGTGGATCAAATTACCGGACGCCCAGACCCCACAAAGCTATCATGTTTCCGGCGCTTTGCCATGCTCAACGCGGATCATGGCATGGCTCTGTCTGTATTTTCAGCACTGGTCACAGCATCATCTCTCACAGACCCTATATCGTGTCTGATAACAGCAACAGGGGCAGCATTTGGCCCACTTCATTTCGGTGCTACCGAGTCAGCCAACCTCGCGCTGCGGGAGATTGGAACGCTAGAGAAGGTCCCCAACTTCATCGACGAGGTGAAACAGGGCAAACGAAGACTTTTCGGATACGGACATCGCTCGTACAAGGGAGTGGACCCCAGAGTTGCTCCAATCAGGTCCATTCTCAAGGATCTAGATACGTCCTCGAACAGTCTCCTAAAAGTCGCCGAGCGGATAGAGCAGGTTGCCTCGGCCGACGACTATTTCAGGAGTAGGGGACTATACCCCAATGCTGACTTCTACGGGAATTTCGTCTTTACAGGAATGTAAGAGTCCTCTTTGAGTTCAGCCTGGAGTGGTGACACGTTGGCTAAGGGTGTCTGCAGAGGGTTCGAACCAGACATGATTCCGGCCGCCATGATGGCTCAGCGCATCATGGGAGTAATGGCACACTGGCGGGAGTATATGTGTAAGTCTTTGCAAGAATCGGTAAGATATCGGCGAATTTCTGACTTGAGTACGTTTAGTGAAACGCGGCAAGTTGTTCAGGCCGTCTCATATCTATTCCGGGGAAGTCAAAGAGGATAAGCCTCTGCCAAAGATATGACGACGGATTGCAGACGTCCAGATAGTCAGTGTGAGCGAGGTCTATGGGTAGTTTATCATAATCAGAAAAGATGGTTTGAGGTCTTTAAATCCGACTAACGACGGGAGATCGAGGCCTAGAATACGTATAGTCACCCGGTAATATGACTGAAATGCGCCGGACTCTCGTAGTTTTGAGCATTTAGATAGAGAGAACTATGCTTAAGATGAGGTCGAAAACAGTTAAAAATAGTGATTCTGCCAAAGAATATGGACTGCATGTGTTTATGTGCTGTCAGAATAACACACTATGACAGGCCCGTCAAGTATCTCTCAACCACCAGCCACTGAATCGACACCTCTGCTTTCCTCTCATCCAGCATCACAGCGGTACTCGCTCTTCACCAATGGACAGAAACGCCTCATCATTCTTGCAGCTGCTCTCGCCTCGAGCTTTTCGCCTTTCTCGGCCAACATCTACTACCCTCTCTCAATTCCATCGCGGCAGATCTACATGTCACCAGTTCTCAGATCAATCTGACCATTACTACATACATGGTATTCCTCCATCCACTGGCTTTTACCTTTTTTTCCAAGTGGTGGTCACTGATGAAGACAGATATGTCAAGGCCTCGCTCCCTCCTTCATGGGCTCCTTCGCGGACAAGGCCGGCCGACGCCCATCATACATCCTCTGCTTCGTCATCTACATCATCGGCAACTTTGCCCTCGCGCTCCAACACAACTATATTGCTCTTCTAGTCCTCCGTGCCGTACAGAGCTGTGGAAGCAGCGGGACCGTCGCCCTCGCCTCTGCCGTGGCAGCGGACGTCATCACATCCGCCGAGCGAGGCATGTACATGGGGATCACCTCGCTGGGCAATATCCTAGCTCCATCCCTTGGCCCAATTCTAGGCGGTTTTCTGAGCCAGTACCTGGGCTGGCAGGCTATATTCTGGTTTCTTGCCCTCGCCGCGGTAACCTTCTTCATACCGCTCTTCCTCTTCTTCCCAGAGACTTGTCGTGCTATTGTCGGGGACGGATCAATCCCAGCTACAGGATGGAATCAATCAGTCTGGAACCGGCGTCACAAACAACATGCTACTGCTACCTCCAACCATGACCCCGAATGCCCCCCAGACACCTGCCGTGGTGCCCACCCACAGCCTCTAAAAAGGAGCATCACCTTCCCAAATCCCCTATCCACACTCCGCCTCCTCTTCCAACTCCCCACAGGCCCCCTCGTCCTCGCCAACGGCATAGTCTTCGCAAGCTACTACTCCGTCACAGCCGGCATCCCCTCCCAATTCAAAGCAATCTACGGACTAAGCGACCTAGGCATCGGCCTCAGCTTCATCCCAGCAGGCCTAGGCTCCCTCAGCAGCGCAACCTTCAACGGCCTGATCGTTGACTGGAACTACATCCGCCTCCGGCGCAAAGCCGGCGACCCCATCTCCAAAGACCAGAAGCAAGACCATGGCGCGTTTCCTATCGAAAGGGCAAGGTTGCAGATCGGGCTGCCTATGACGGTACGGTTGCCGTTGCACCTCTTTTACTTCAAGGGTTGTACTTGCAATTCACGTGCTGATAAGTAGCAGGTAGCAGCAGGCATTTCAGTCGCCTGGTACGGCGCACTGATCGAAGCGAAACCAGCGCTAAGCGTCGCGCTGGCCCTCGTGTTCCTCATCTCGTTCTGCATCACAGCCGCATACAACGTGATGAACGTCCTCATCGTGGATCTGTACTACAGCACGCCGGCCACCGCCATGGCGGCCAATAACCTCGTGCGATGCTTCCTGGGCGCGTCCGCAACGGCCATCATCCATCCAATGATACTGAAATGGGGGAATCGGACTACGTACTGGGCTGTGGCGGGGGCGATGTGGAGTGTGAGTCCGTTACTGGGGATGGTCTACTGGAAAGGATTGTTATGGAGACGTAGGCGCTTCGCGGAGATGTCAATTGCTGGATGAGATAAAGCGCATTTGAACGGCTTTATTGATATTGTTTATTTCCCGGAAGTGTTTAAGTTACACAGCACTCGTTTCGGTAGTTTTGGCCTCCTGCTGCGTATAAATTCATCTGTCAGGTCTCCGTCTCTTCGAGCAGACAGGTAGCCAATCTATCAAGATTTGGAGCATATTGCCCGTAGCCTGTATTCACCATGAACGGATTTATAACGTTTATTCTATTCACAGCCATATCCTCAGCACAGTGGATGCTTCCTCCGGGAACTCCCACTCTCCAGATGCGATACCCCTCGACCCCCTGGATCTCCCCAGGCGATACGATCAAACAACCAGGTACGTCCATCACGATTCCAAGTGACTGACATAGACGATGGAACTTATGCGGGTGACAACAAACAGATGCCCTCCCAATACCATGCATCAGCACTTTGAACCTCAACGGCGCGTGCACTTACCTCCTCCTCTTCGTCGACATCGACGTGGTCTTGGAAAGCTGCTCAACTACAGTCTTACATTGGTACCAGCCGCACATGTCGGCATCTGCTACGAGTCACTGTAATGGAAATAAGAATGGCTGGCTAGTCAACAGGACTTCGACTGGAGCAGAATACATCGCGCCCCAATCGCCACCGTATACACGCCATCGATACGTCTATCTTCTCTACGAGCAAGACCCAGACTATGTGTTTCCAGAATGTTTTGGGCACATCTTTCCCCCGACAAGAGAGGGAAGGGGAGGGTTTGACATCAAACAGTTCGTCGAAGTTGCTGGATTGAGAGCGCCTGTGGCAGGGAATTTCTTCTACGTCGACAATGATGCGGCAACGACGACGACAACGGCGTCGGGAGGATTGGTGCCCACCACAACGTGGTTCAGATCGGCCCCATGCAGGACTGAGGAACCGAAGAGCACGGGCTTCATTCCCATGGAGGCATATGACGGGGTCGATCGACAGCAGGTGGTCATATAATTCCATGTAGGACAGTCAGCGTGTACCAAGGCCGTAGCTGGAACTTTACGTTGCTCGATGAAGCGAATCAAATTCGAGAAGCGATCAAGTCACACTGTTTTCTGAACGCCCTGTCAAACGTAATATGCAAGAATAAGTAGAGACGTTGCTCTGTGTAACCATCAGGCACACATCAGCATAGTGCAATTTTTACAGCAGAATTGCAACGCACACGCAGACCATGCATGTATCGCTATCAATATCGGATTACTCACCTCGGTAGTCCAGGTCTCAGCATCCACTCGTCCGTGAAACATAAACCATGTAACATGAATGGCTAGAGGGCTGCAGTGCCAATGCTACCTCATGGTCTGTTCGCGCCCTCAATTGTCTCGGCTTAAGGGAATGGGAATAGCAAGAGATGCTCTAGTCCATCGACGCACGGAAGACCGTCAGTGCCAAATTGCAATCCACTCGTATATACAAACCACGGCAAGAGAATGAGTTGGCTGGAACAGGAAGACACCTACTGCCCAGAACAGTATCTACATTCTCGGTCGTGCCTCTCTTTCGTCGGGATGAACCGAGACAAACAGTCCAAGGCATCCCCTGATCGACTTCCCAAGAGCGTCAAAGTGCGTTCGACCTGCAACGCATGTCAGCAGGCCAAGATACGGTGTAGCCATGAGAAGCCGTCTTGCCGAAGGTGCCTGAAGCATAACATCGAGTGCATCTACAGCATGTCTCGACGGCTGGGAAGACCTGCCAAAAGGAGGGAGTCCCAATACGCCGGCCTCCCACCGGATACGCAACGCGTCGAACCTCGCCGTCACCAACGAGACAAGAAGGCGCCTGTTTCCAAGAGAAAAGCGAAAGAAGGCCAGGTCCGCAATAAGAAGGACGACGAAGTCGACTTCCCACAGAGACTTGCAGAAACAGTACCATATGACGCCATTGCCGTCGACCAGACTATGCTAGACGATATCTCCCTCGATGACACTAATCTGAGTACGCCGACCTTTGGCGAAAAGGATCAAGGGCCATCATTTGCAGGTAGACTACACTCTCTCAGAAACGTAACCAGGCAAATTCATTGACGAAAAATGTATCATAGTCGACGATGCCATCGATTTCTCCAGTGACAGCTGGCTGCAAGAATTTCTCTCTCAGCAAGGTCCCGAACTTGCCCAGGAGAGTGATCTCTTTGATGCACTAGCCCTCGAAAATCCCAAGAATGACGGGCCGTTGGCTGTCTTGAAGCATGGGTACAATGATTCGGATTCTTCACCGAAGAGCTTTCCCACGTCGTCGCCGGTAGGAGAGAATCATCCGCCGACAGTGAGCCTTTATCTCGCAGATGCCCCCGTGCCCGCCGAGACAATTACCAGCAGTACTCAGTGCCCTGCGACGACTCAAGCCTCTTATCCTGAACTCCTCAAGAAAGGCGCTTCCCTCAAACCTCAGCAGTTCTCAATGGCAGAGGCGCTGTCTGGAAAATCGTGGACTGCAACAGAACAAGCCAATCTGCTTGCCCATTCAAGAGCTTGGAAGCGTCCGCATGACGTTGGTTCTTCAAGTAATAATCTTTCTCCGAGCCTCACGCCCGTGAGTACTGCGACTGGTCGCCAGTGTCAATGTCAGTGCCCCGAACAAATGATCAGAGAACTCATCCGTATAAACATTTGTATCTCTCGAACAGGACAATCACCTACGATTGATTCCGTCTTGGGCTCTCAGCGAATCGTGCAACACTTGGCAGAAACTATCCTGCAATGTGCTCTCTGTTCCAAGACACGAGTTAATCTCCTCATGGTGGTGGTTGTCAGCATTGATAGTTTGATCACAACACTTGAAGACCTCATATCTGGGGATGGTCGTTTGATAGAAGGCGTCTTGCCTGAGTTGCACGATCGTATGCTTCTTCAGCCTGATTTTGGACAGGAAAGTGCGATGGATGGGAGCAACCGAAGGCACGCAAGTGGTATTTTCCACTTCAGGGCCGAGGTAGAAAATTGTCCTTTAATGGTCGGTGGCTTCTGTGTTCCGCTGGAGGAGAGATGTCTCTTCGTACATCAAGTGTTGTACGCAAGGCTGACTGGACTATTGGCCATCATCCGCCGCATAAGGTATTGTACGCAGCAGATTCTGGCCATATCTGCTTCGCGTGGAAGGTTGAGCATGTTGATGGAGACGGATCGGAGATTACAGCTGTTTATGATGAGGATGAGGATGTTCACCAGGTGACCATGATAGTTTGGTTCTGTAGCGATATACTTGTCTCTGCAGCAGACATAGTCGCATAATCTCTTCAAGCAATGCCTAAATGAATGATTTATTAATATCAATTTTCAATCTCAAGAACCGTCAAGGCCGATGTCTGAGAAATGGGTGATCGAATCAGCCTCGTGATCACCCTGAGTCGGCATGTTCCTAGCTCTCTCACTCAGCAGTGTGCAGCTTAGTAGAAAGCCAGAACAAAACTTACACCTGTCAGCATGATGATGTCCCTGCGCCGAGTACCACCGCTACTCTATCATTGATCCTTCGCAAACATGACTTTCGCAATGTTGCTGTCGAAACTGGTGTGACCTCCAGCTGACCATGGAAACGTGTGTGTACGACATTCAATCACGGTTGTTCAGGGGAGCAGACCATTCGGATCCGTCCAGTCAACTGCAGAGAATGGTGAGGTTGTCTTATCAATGTTCTAACGGGAAGTGTATTCCAAATGCTGTTTGGATTGGCTTCGATGGTAGAATGCGATTGTGCATGTGAATAGCACGGACCCACGGGAGTTACTGCAACCCTCATGGCAGCCATTGATCTTTCGGCTCTGAAGAGGACTTGTCCCTTGATTTGTACAACGGGATTCCTTACTCATCAGTGCCGATGAGGTTAGCAATGTCAGCACGCATTGTCAAGATATCTGACCCGGACGACTTTCCTTCTCTAGTATTCTCGCAATTCTCAACATCCGAGTCTTCACGACATCGCATCAACAATGGAGATGGAATATACGTGCCAATGTTCCATGGAAGTGCTGCATCTCATGAACGAGCTCCGTAGCATCCACACTGTTGTGGAACTTGGAACAGTCTTTGATTTGATTCATCGTGTCTGCAGCCAAGGCCAAGCAATCATCAAATGCAAGGACTGCAGGAGAAGCCCCCAAGCATCCATAATGACCTTTCCTACATTAGCAGAGCAATGTCTCCTCGTATTCGAGGCGATTTGTGCGGCGTACAGTATCAACCGGCAGAACACCTTGTTCGACCCAACAATTCTTGCCTTCGAACAGCAACTACCTCCGTTTATTTGTGTTAGAAGCGCCGTGCTACTAGGGCAAACGGAGCTCAACGAGGAGGAGTCAGTTTTGCTTGTACGGATGCTGCTAAGTCGCAATCTCATGAGGCTGCTGGGGCTTCTGGAAGCTCTCAGGGACGTCATGCGAGCGCGACCAAAAGAGACTGTGCATACGCACCGTACTGGGACGGTGTCGTTTCGATCCTGGGACGCTTCAATAGAGTCCATCATTCACCGGCTAGTGATATTCATGGAACAGTTTCAGCTCCAGTTCAGTGAGCCTTGCGTCCTGCTTGTTTCTCGTTTGCGGAATCTGACTGGCATACCTAGTTGAAACGACGTGGTTATCGACCCTGCGTGAGGGATCAGCTGTATCCTATTTTGAGATAGGAGGGAGGCGGAGGTTCATGTGCCTTTGAATAGAGTTTCATGTGTTTTCAAAGTGCTTTTTTCGGTTGTAAGGATGAGACGAAAAGAACTAAGAGCATACATGGAGCCACCAGTTTACCGGTTCAACCTCATTACTTCCCTGCTCATCATAAAATTCAGTGACCCTTCCCATGCTTTCCCTGTCTCTCCTTGTCTCCAATCGAGGGTATGATAGTCTCGTAAATTTGTCATGATCGATGAAGAACCTTGGGCGTATGCTTATTTGGGCCAAGGGCGCTCCCAAAGTCCAACCCACTGACCCCAGCCAATGACTTTGCCAACCATGGCCTCTTTGATCATTTGCTTGTTGACTTGTTCTCCTTGGTCGAACTGGAGAGGCTCGTTGAGTGCGATAGTGGTGAAAATGTACCGGTGCAAGCCGTGACCCAGAGGTGGAGCAGGACCAATATAAGAATTGCCGGTCAGATTAGGAACATACTTCCAATTAGAGCGAGTCAGTCGTTCTCCTGCGTCTTTTTTCTGTTTGATGTCGGCATGTGTTGCGGTGGTGGTTGTGGGAGGGATACCGTAGAACAGGCCATGATGGATCACGAGACGTGGAATTGGAAGGTCAATGTCCTCGCAGATCAGCACATACTCCTTCACGTCACCCTGAGGAGGAGGAGTCCAGCGAAGCTCAGGGAATCTACCCTTGCTGTCCTCGGCGAGACAAGTATGGAACTCAAGCAGTACTGAGCCGGTGGGACCACATTCTGGCGCTTCAAGGGTCATGTTGGGTTCGGGAAGGTCTTTGAAAGCAGCACTTCTGATGATCTGCTTCGAATCATGGCCACGAACGCGATATAGAAGCTTCCCCAGAGCACACTGGAGGTAGTCAAGGACCCCGGTCATTTTGCTGGCTAGCACCAGTCAACCCAGACGACGGGATAGCAATGGAGATTGAGTGCTTGACTTTGAGCAACCACTTCGAGAAGAGTCGAGCGTGAGCTTGATTTAATCTGATCCGAGAGCCAGTGAAAAAAATAAGATAAAGTCAGGGAAACAGACAATACCTGGGAGAGGAAGGATACGGAAGCTACTGCTGGGTTTTGCTATTTGTATAAAATGAGGAAGGCCTGAACCGGCCCGGTAGCGGGTGCTGCTTCCACTTCTCGATAACCTCATGAGGCACTGTGTTTGGGAGGCGACAGTACTGGAGTTCGGCGAATTATACGGTCTCTCTGCCAGTAGACCAAACAGCCAAGAATTTTGTGGAATGCATCTTGCAAACTCACCCCTTCTCATGTACGATCAGTCGGATTGATTGTGTGGAGTGGAACTTCTCTCCGACCAGAACCAACCTCAAGTACAGTTGGGAGATTTCGGGAGTATCGTATGCAACTACAACGTTGATGACTCCCTTTATCGACTCAATTGCCATGCATGCTCTCGATTTTCCCTTTGTTGACACATATTCGAGCATAATTATTGAGTCTCTGGCAATCAGAAAGATGCCCCCAGCTTTGCTCTAGAACACGTGCTCGGACGATGAGGATGAGCAATATCTGAACCTCAGACAAACATAGGCCAAGGCACCACTGGAGTTTTGCAGCTGCCATAGATATCCATGGATCAGTCTCGAGATAGTTGTCGGAATGTGTTTATTTCGCGTATACTTGGAGTCTCCATCATATAGATCGGACGAGCCAATCACAGCATGAATTCAGCTTCCGCAACATCCGGTTTGATGATGAATCAGCACAGAAACATGTTGCGTCAACAGTCAAGCAAGAAGAATGAGAAGAATGTTCGCAATCATGCATTCACCTTCGCAGTATTCCGCTCGCTCTGTGCCATGGTGGCCATTGTGAAGATATATTGAATCCTCATCCAGTTCTCTCGCTCCGTACTCAATATATCTTCATGGTTTTGGCCTCCACCCCGCCCGCGTCTCCCGGCGCGGAGGCCCAACAGCGCCCAGCTCGGTATCCCGGGGAGGATACAACCCCGACCAGTCGGAAGGAGATCTGGGGCTGGTACGCGTACGGAATCGCAGCTGAGGTCTTTGCTGTTTGTGGTGTAGGTACGCTGACTTATTCTTCAATCTACTCTGTCTGTGAGAGCTCAATTCTGATTAATTCGTTATGAAACAGGCTCATTCCTACCACTCACACTAGAGCAACTGGCCCGCGAACGCGGAACCCTGCTGTCGAGCCATCTACCATGCGTAGGCTCTAACTCGCCTTCTACAGCCCCTGGAAATGGAACGGCTACAGCAACGCTCAGACGCGATGGCACGGATAATGATCAGTGTGTGGTCAGCGTGTTGGGGTTGCAGGTCAACACGGCCAGTTTTGCCATGTACACGTTCTCGCTTGCGGTTCTCGTTCAGGCATTGACCTTGATCTCCTTCAGCGCGCTGGCTGACTACGGTGAGGACTAGCTTTATATCTTATTGGTATGACTGTGCTGACGATAATTATCTCTCGCGCAGAAAATAACCGTAAAACGCTCCTCCTCGCTTTCGGATTCATTGGCTCGATGACGAGCATGTTGTTCGTCTTCATCGCGCCACCAGTCTATATCCTTGGATCACTTCTGGTCATTGTCGGTGTGACTTGTCTTGGATCATCATTCGTCGTTCTCAATTCCTTTCTGCCTGTTCTGGTAGCCAATGACCCATCGATTCAGACCGCACACAAGGAGGAAGGGGAAGAGTTATCGCCCGTCAACTCAAGGCGAGAGTTTGGGCGATCGGAAGATCTTGACGAAGAAAACGGCAGGGATTCTGACGATCATTTTACGACCGGACATGGACCTAAGACAACAGCAGCGGGTTCGGCTTCACCTGAATTACAACTGTCCACTCGAATCTCCTCTAAAGGCGTTGGACTCGGCTATTGTGCGGCCGTTTTGGTACAAATACTCAGTATCTTGATGCTATTCGCGCTGTCAAAGACATCATTACCGAAAACTTCGGGGACTCTGCCTCTGCGGTTTGTGCTTCTTCTGGTTGGAATCTGGTGGTTCTCTTTCACCATGGTCTCTCGGCGGTGGCTGCGGGACAGACCCGGGCCTCCGCTGGCTTCTTCAAAAGGAGCAGCGCGTAACAGCCGGTGGCGCATCTGGCTGCGGCTGATTGGGTTTGCGTGGAAGTCATTGTGGAAGACGGTCAAAGTAGCAGTCAAACTTCGAGAAGTGATCATCTTCCTCATTGCCTGGTTCCTCCTTTCAGACGCGATGGCGACGGTATCCGGTACAGCCATTCTATTTGCGCGCACAGAACTAAAGATGAGCACGACAGCCGTCGGACTACTGTCCATCACAGCTACGCTGTCAGGCATGGCCGGGGCCTTTCTGTGGCCAGTGGTTTCGCGGCGGCTTCGACTCAAATCCAATCATACTATTATGCTCTGCATCGCCTTGTTCGAGGTTATTCCTCTTTACGGCATGCTTGCTTACATTCCTCTCTTCAAGAAATGGGGCGTGATTGGGCTCCAGCAGCCATGGGAGATTTTCCCCCTGGGGATTGTGCATGGCCTAGTATCTGGTGGACTGTCATCCTACTGCCGCTCCTTTTTTGGTCTGCTAATTCCCCCTGGTAGCGAGGCCGCATTCTACGCTCTGTATGCGGCTACGGATAAAGGAAGCTCGTTCACTGGCCCTGCGATTGTAGGTTTGCTGATTGATGCTACTGGTCAGGTGCGGTCGGGCTTTTTCTTCATTGCAATCTTGATCCTACTCCCCATACCGCTGATCTGGATGGTCAATGCAGAGAAGGGACGGCAGGACGGGTTAGCCATGGCAGACATATTAGAAAAGTCGCATGGAGAGCATGCCTCTGAGTATGGAGGCCCTTCGGAAGAGGCCGAGGGACTGCTGGCCCGCAATATATGATCGATTATGCGTCATGATAATGATTATGATAGAACCCTATATAGAACAGTCATATCCCAGTGATCCCCTTAGAGATATGGACTACTTTTGAACCACCATGTTTCCGAGTCAAATTCATGCTGCTCTCAGGCCTCAGTCATGGCTCATTGATGGTCGTTGGATTGAATTTTAAAGTCTAGTCAAAATCACCAGATTTTTACCAGGCAATCTCCATGAGATGGCCGCAGCCATGAGAACTGGGTTCTGAAAGTCGACGAAAATCGAGAAGAGGGTTTGGGGTAGCTCAACCGCAGTAGGCCGCATCCCCAAAGGTGCCTTAAAGACGCGTCGCCTCTGGTGAGCTCTGGTAGTGCTCCACGGCTGTCAGGAGCTGAGAGTTCTCCGAGATGAGCGAGAATGTTCATGTGGAGGCAAACAGGGCAGAGTCGCTTTTTGGTACCCATGTTCAATCACTGATACGAACGACGGCACGTTATGAGACGTATAATACATTGTAATTGTTATGTTTCTTCTATATAAGTAAGGATCAAGGATCAATCGAATCAAGGTGCGGTAGTCATCTGGAACGTCTTGTGGATGTTGACCTGATAACGGGCCCATGAGTCCTCAGGAGGGCTCAGTTCCTCCTGGCTGCTGTGGTCTTCGTTAAATTGGCTTCGCGCCATTGGCGACGAGATGGTGGTCACCACGACGCTGGGAAATTCCTCCGGGAGGTCGGGGCGCCAGTAGCTTGGATCGCGAGTATCCTTCTTCGGTGGATCATCCGGCAAGCTGGAAAGCGGATATTGTCTGTCGCTGCGATTGGCACTGCGTCTGCGACGACCGGACAGGTTGCCATCCAGAAACCAGCGGAACAGGGGGCGGAGAGTGACAAGGCTGCCGGCTGTGATGCCGAGTCCGGTTTCCATTATGGACCAGATTGCGATTTGGTAGGTGGAGTCTATTCGCTAGACGTTAGCAGGGTCCATGGGTTGTCTCAAGTGTATACTCACACAGAAAATCACTATCTTTGTAGTAGTGGAGGAACGGGAATCGGATAATCACTGCAACACTCGCACTGAAAACAGGTGATTAGTCTGTGTTGATGGCATTGGCAGCTGAAAATGGTTTGCGAGGTGATACTTACACAGCTCCCAAACCGAGAATCCCGCCAAGGGCGATCTTTGTCTTCCTGTTCATCTGCAGACCCCATACCAGCAGGGCGGGCATGACACCGAGAGTCAAGTCGCACAAAATAGTGAGCGAACTGTAGAGATAGGCAATCCCCAGAAGAACGTCTGTGGACAAGCATGTTCCCGAACTGCGAGGGTCCACGCGGAGCCAGAAATAAGACACGGGATTGCAGTCCAGCAGCAGAATGAGCCAGAACATGAGTCCAATGGTGATACTGAGGGCAATGACGGCCCACAGGATGATACGATGCAACCTTCGCACGGCTAAGCGCAGGAGCGCCACGGATATTGATACTTTGGCGACAGCAGAAGACCAAATATAGAGCATCTGACCGAGCCACCACCACTGAGGTGATTATCAGCAAGGATATCCAGGGTAATGCGGAAAACAACATACCAGTAGCGACCTTTTAAGCTCATCTAATGCCCCCAGAACCTCAAACTCGACCATTCTATGGCCGACTCCGCTTAGCGAGCCAATCATACAACATATTCCCAAGAATACGAACAGTGACTGGTGAAATGTCAGCTTCCTCGTCATCAGAATATTCCAGTATCGCAATACCAAGGCAAAAACCATGAGAGCATCATCCCATCCGAAGCCTCGCACCAAGTACAAGCGAACAAAGCTACGTAGAGCAACTGCCACGACCGAGATAACCATCATCACAACAGACACCACGAAGATCGCAAGTGCCCGGTCGACGAGGGGCAGAGAGCTGCCCATTGTGACGTTTTGAATTTGGCACTGGCCCAGCCCAGTCCTTCAGCTGACCGCGGATTGAATTTTCTTTTCGTTATCAATAGGAAAGGGAAAGGGTATTCAATCGAACAAGAACGCCCAAGTACCTTGACGAGTACCATAGTAGTAACGGGAGGAATCAAGACGCTACCAGCCTGAAGATGGCTTCTGGGTACCTCTCTAGGAACCCGACAGATTTTGATTTTCGGAGGTCATAACGAAGCCGGGCCTCTGTGTAAGAGCAGGCCCGAAGAGCTGTCAAGCTAGCTATATGGCATATGGCACAAAGTAACCAGCGAACGAGGGAGCAGATCTTTCGCTCTAGATCCATTGTCCTGCCCTGGGGTCCGCATTGGGGTTGTCGAGTGATACTTCCGACCTCCGCGATCTAACCTTTCATGGCACCAAATCCGTAGGCCAAGGTACCCACGCGGCCACGCCGAGGGGGTGAGACTCTCGAGGACCGTGAACTTGGAACGGAGGGGCAGAGATCTGAACGCTCTAGAGCCAAGGGGGTTTAGATAAAGGCTCCGGGCCACTTAGTCTCATTATTTCTGCATGAAATCAGACTGCTGAGGAGAGCCGAGGTTTGGGGTCATCTCAGGTACACGGTCTCATAATGATCACTAAGTAGTTAGTGATAGTTCGTGGCGATGATAATCTGAAACGCGGAAATCGACCCTCAAAGGCTGAGAGGAGTAGTCTAGGACTCGAGTCTGTAGGCCCTAGCGTCTTAACCACCACTCGGATAACAGACAGCGGGTTTCGGACTGATGATCCCTTGCAGTAACGGAGAGTGCAAATCGATAAGTATGCCTTTAATATTGATTTGCCGATACTGAAAAGTGAGAGAATGGCGGAAAGCAAGCAGATAGTCCTGTTGTCACTCCGGGTCGCCTCCAATATCACTCCTCTCCTTCCCTCGTCAAACTAGGCGACTGACGAAAACGTACCAGGCTGCCGGCAATGTCTCTGTGGATCTGAGGAGAGTGACCGAGCCATCTCAGGCCCCTAAACCCTCGTCGAACTTTAACGAGTCAGAACGCGGGACCCTATTCCAAGAAACGATAAAAGCTATCGATCATTGGAAACTGCAGTGGGGCTGTGCGGGCGATGAACAATACTAAAACTAGATAGAGCATCCCCTCCGTCTATGGTCAAGTGTTTAGTCGAACTTTCTTCGAAGCAATGCGGACCTGGACTCAAAGATCAGCGGCTCCTGAGACGTCTGAAAAGAGTGTTAGCCAATGTGGGACAATTGTGATGGGTCAAGGGTAAAACACTGAAGCTTCTTTCGCAAGGTGGTCTTAGTCACCTTTTTTTTTTGATTACTGATCCTTATTCAAAGGAGAGACATGATGGTTTGATGATTTTCGGTGAGTTGATCTGGGATTCTGGGGTAAGGACATGTATTGTAGAAGAAGAGATGGAGTTTCTGGTGAGCCGAGAAAGTATCCCCTCCCCAACCACACGACAACCTCAAATCATCCTCAGCAGAAGGCTGCTTTCCTCCTCAACTAAACAACCACGCTCTTAAGGATGTCCCGTCTGCTGAAGTCGGGAAGTAATATTAAGGTACCTGATATTGCAAGTTACATACCTGAATACCTTCATTGAAGACAAATATATATATATGTCTTCCGGACTGAATGACCCAGCAACACGCCATGAACGAATAGAGCCACACTATCATAGAACCCTGTCATCAAAATCAACACTAATAATGTAAGCAATGGTTACAATCCATGATATGTTCTTCTGATTGGCGTACTTCGTATGCGTCTACGTATCCCGGCCACAGCCAGTGCGACACAGATTGGCGGTCTAGGATCGTATCCCTTCGTCTTTAACATGGACTGACGCCCACACAACTCTCGCTATTCTTCACTTCATCATCAAACCAACGTCTACAACTCGCAAGACGCAATGGCCATCGAGCAACACACGTCCGAGTGGGACCACTTCGTCGCCAAACATGGCAACGTCGAATTCGTCTGGCTACAATTCATGTCCTATCGCAGTCTAGTTTATACGCGCATATTCCCCATGGACAAATTCAAAGCCATGGTGCAGAAGGGCAAATTTATCACCATCCCGGAGGTCGCACTCCTCCTGGGTCCCGGCGATGTTATCGCCGAAGGAGGTCTCGCGTCGGGTAAATTCTGGTTGCGGCCGGATTTTGAGACTGTGTATTGCCAGCCAGGATCCAATGGAACTCGAGCGGTCATTATGTGCGACTTTGTAGACGATGATGGCACGCCCGGCTTGCAGTGCGCGAGGTCGCGGCTGAGAGATCTGGAGGAGACGCTGTTGAGCGAGCTGGAGTGCTCCGCATTGGTTGGCTTTGAAATCGAGGTGATGTTCATGCGAGTCGAGAAGAGCGATGGGGTCAGGCGGTTCTCCATGGCCAATTACGAGCATTCGTGGTCCAGTATGACCGCCGAGGACGAGTCGATGCTGGAGATGCTGGAGACCATTGCGCGGACGCTGGCTACGGCAGATGTTCCCTTAGAGCAGTTCCATGCCGAGGCAGCACCAGGTCAATGGGAGTTTGTCCTGCCGCCTGCGTGGCCCATCCAGGCCGCTGACATGCTGATCAGGGCTCGTGAGACAATCAAACGAGTTGCAAACTCGTTCGGGTATCATGCTACAGTGTATTCGCGCCCATCATCTGTCCATCCCGGTAACGGGGGTCACGTACATTTGTCAGTAAATTCTGTGGGCAAACCAGAGAATTGGGTCCGAAAGGCAGAATCTTTCTTCGCAGGTATCATGAGCCATATGCCCGCCATCATGGCGTTCTCCTTGCCTCAGGATATCAGCTATAGTCGTGTCGCACCTGGGCTTTGGAGTGGCGGCGAATACGCCTGCTGGGGGTGGGAGAACAAGGAGGTTCCGCTTCGTCGCATCGAGGAGAATCATTTCGAGTTTAAGCTGGCTGACGGCCTCGCAAATCCTTATCTCACTTTGTCCGCAATGATCGCCGCTGGAATCGATGGGATGCGGAGTCAAGAACCTCTGCAGGGAGGTGACTGCGTGACATCTGCATCAGAGCTGTCGCCGGGCGAGCGGCAGGCACTGGGGATCAATACGATCCTGCCGAAATCACTCGACGAGAGTTTGATTAATTTGGAGAGGGACCTTGCTTTGCGCATACTGTGTGGCCCAGAGATCATCAGCACCTATGTGTTAGTCAAGCGGACGGAGGCAAAGATACTGCGCCAGATGGCGGAGGATGATCGAAAGAACTGGCTGATTGCGAGGTACTAAACAGACAGCCCGCCTTTTGACAAGTGAAATTATAGAGGGCTTCAACAGAAGAACGATGCCGGACTGCGCAGAAAACGCAGTTGGCTGTTGACAGTCTTGGTTCTATGGGAGGCTGGCTGCCTGTGGCGAATGGAGCGCAGTACTCAAGAGTTGTAAGATACTTCGCAGGTACCATGCAGCGACGGAGTTCTCAAGGTTCAACTACCCTTATCTGATAGTATCTAAAAGCAAACTCCCATGACAGACATGAGCAGAATATTCTGCGGTCTTTTGCCCGCCGCTGTTGTTTTGTTTGTGCGTATGACTGTTCCTCCTGCTTCTATTCGCCCCCATTTTCCCCTCTTGTTGAGCTGACCCTGTACGTTTTATGCGTCCAGTGCCCATTCCTTGCCGCTTGGTGCTTTAGTTCTAGCTTTGATGCGTGAGCAGCTTCTCCACGTCCCCATAGCCATTCTTTATAGCCCAATCAAGTGGTGTCACTGAGTATTGGCTGTCCCTGCATTCAGTGTTGGCGCCCATTTCCAGCAGGCACTTGACTACGTTTCTATGTCTATTCTTTGCTGCTAACAGTAAGGGTGTTTGACCGTGCTCGTCGTCATTTGCCTCGATTTGAGCACCTCTATCCAGCAGCAACTTCACAACTGCGGTATGGCCTTCTCAGAAGCCCATAACAGTGCGGTTTGTCCGAACAGTGTGTCCTGAGCTTCGATGTCCGCACCGTTGTCGAGCAATATACTTGGCCACTCTTTCATGGCCATTCTCCGCAGCAAAGTGAAGCGGCGTCTTGCCATAACGGCGCCCCTGACCTCTATATCAGCTCGCTGCTCAATGAGCACGCTGAGCAATGCTTCGAATCCCCTTTCTGCAGCTACGGCAAGGACTGTCTTGTCGGACTCAATGTCTTCTTCGAGAAGAATCGATGCTCCCTTTTCCATTAACTGCTTCAACATATCGCCTTGCCTACTCCAAACACCACATAAAATCGGTAGCCGGTCCATCACTACGTTGATAAACATCTCGTCTAACCGATAATCGAGCCGACCATTACCTAGGAGGGCGAACACTTTCAGATGTTCGTCTCCTGGTGTCGCTCTTTGGAGGTCGGTCTGTGTGCAAGACGCAGGATCACGAAGGTAGTCCGCGCGTTTAATCAAGAATCTCAGGTTTATTTTGGGTCCATTATCAAGGCCCATTCGAGCGCTCTTCCGCCCTGTAAGTCAGCGCCCCTGTCCAGCAATGACTGCACCACAGCTTGACGACCGGTCCACGCCGCCAGAGGCAGCGGTGTGCAGTCGTAATCATCTTCTCACTCGGCACTCGATGTCGGTACCGCTCTAGAGCAACTGGCGAACAACCGTTGCATGTCCATTTAGTGCTGCGTAGTGCAGCGGCGTCATTCCCACTATATCAAGCGTGTCCGTTGTGGCCTGCTTCTCTAGCAGTAAGTGTTCTATCAGTTGGTTGGTCCGCAGCAGGTCTAAATGTAGAAGTGTAGAAGCTAAACCGTTCAGGACGCATGATATAGCAGGAATAAAGCAGATTGAAAGACTCAGAGAGACTAATCTCAGCCACGGACAAAGCCACAAGCGAGCCACATGAGTTTAGGAATACTGATATCAGTGGAGTTAGTTGAGCTTGACTCTCTTGGCCAGTGGATCATCTTTCTTCGCTTAACTGATAGACTGCACAGATGCTAGACTCTTATATATGATATATATATATATATCCTTTTGCTTATCTGACATGTCAATATGGTAATACAATGATAAACAGCCGCTATATATAACTATGCTCCCCCCAGATCCCCACAACCCCGGACTCCCGTTGCACATGCAATTATGCCGGCACTGCATGCTTATGCATATTGCTTCCGGCACTGCAGCCAAGTCCATATCCAGCGCTGAAGCTCTAATGAATCTGTCAGTCCCGGTGGTTGTGATACTCTTGGCGCGGACATGCCCGCATCATCCCTACATCATTCCTTGTACTCAGCATCGCGGGGTGCGTCTCTACCTAAATCTGTCACTCTGCAGCTGTTCCATCCGGAGACATAATTATTACTATCATCACAATGGCCTGGAGTTGCATTAAGAACAGCCATTCCGTCAGCTCAAGACTGGCCGAGGCATTCTCAGATCGGCCGGGTCCGATGGCAGAGCCCGAACCAGCGCAGTGGAGCATCAACTACAATAGTGGACTAACAAGCGGGGAACAGCCTTTCCATTGGATCGAGGGTCCCGAGAATCTGCTATGCGCTTCTGGGCGTGTTGTCGACTGGAATTTGACTTACACTTTCGAATGCAATGATTCGTCTGTTTGCGGCTCCTATCTGAATCATGCTGCAGGGCCACTCAGTCCCCACTCAACTCTGGGGAAGACGGGGAAGAACATCACAATGGACATGACATCCCATCGTCTATCTGGGGAAATACACTAGCGGCAGCTGAAAAGTGAGCACCGATGATCGGCCAGCCGACAGCCCCAAGCGAGATGCTGGGGAATCCTGGTCCACTTGGTGTATCGCCTCCCCCCCCCGGCACCCGCCGATGACCGTACAAATGGACATCCGGTATATAAATGCAATTGACATTTCTGGCAATGGGTGACCGATCAGAGCGGGGCATTGAAGGCCTTATAGTTGTTGTGTTTCAGAATCGCCCGTCATTGAGATTGAGATACCTGCGGTACTTGCATATACTGCACCCTTGAGATGGCGCCCTATTTTGGCCTCCGTGGCTCTGATTTGAGTCGGGCCATCATCTGTCTGGTCGTGTGCCCGGCGTTTATCACCTATGGATACAACCTGAGCGTGGCCGGGGCTTGTTGACGCTCGAATCATTCGTCAAGACCTTTCCCCAGATTGATACGGTAAATACCACAGGGGCTCAGCAGCGTTACAACTCCACCATTCAAGGTATGTACATCACCGCATCAAACGTGGAATATGGACTAACGATCATAGGAACCGTCGTGGCCCTTTTCACGGTTGGCGGTATATTCGGCTCCCTGTCATGCATTTACCTTGGTGACCGCCTGGGTCGTCGAAAGGTAATCTTTCTTGCATCCGGCGTGACGATCGTCGGTGCAGTTCTGATGGCCACAGCATTCGACTTTGCTCAGTTCATCGTGGCCCGACTGGTTCTGGGTTTAGGGACGGGTGCATATCTGGCAACGGTGCCTGTGTGGCAGTCGGAGATCTCAAAGGCCAGTAAACGAGGTGCCCATGTGGTGACTGACGGCATCTTCATTGGCATTGGCGTCTCTCTATCCCTCTGGATCGACTTTGGCTTCTACTTCATCACCGGCAACTCGGTGTCGTGGCGCTTCCCCTCGCTTTCCAGATTGTCTTGCTGTTGATTGTGATGGTGTTCATCGTGATCTTTCCCGAATCGCCCCGATGGCTGGTCAAAAAGGGCCGGATTCAAGAGGCCCGAGAGATTCTTGCCGCGCTGGCCGATGTGGAGCCGGACTCGGAGTCGATCAGCGCGGACATTCGCGACATTGAGCTCTCGCTGTCAATCTGCGGCAATGGCTCGTTCAAGAGCATGCTCACAATGGGCGAGCAGCGGCTGTTCCATCGCACCCTTCTCGCGGCAGGCGGACAGATGTTCCAGCAGATGTGCGGGATCAACCTGATCAGCATGTACGCAACCACCATCTTCGAGCAGTACCTGGGCATGAGCGCGATCAATTCGCGCATCCTGGCGGGAGCCATGTGCCTGACACAGCCACTAGGCGGGTTCCTGGCCTTCTTCACGATCGACCGGCTGGGCCGGCGGCCGCTGATGCTGTGGAGTGCAGCCGCCATGTCCCTCTCCATGGCGATCCTGGCGGGGACCACCTCGGTGACGGACAACACGGGCGCAACCGTCGTCGCCGTCATCTTCCTGTTTGTCTTCCAATTCATCTTCACCGTCGGCTACTCGGGCCTGACGTTCCTGTACGCGACCGAGGTGGCACCGCTGCAGCTGCGCGCAGCCATCAGCGCCGTCTCCACGGCCGCCGTGTGGACCTTCAACTTCCTCCTGGCGCAGGTGACGCCCGTCGGGTTCAACTCGATCGGGTACCAGTACTATATCATCTTCGCGGTGCTCAACGCAGCCATTGTGCCGATGGTCTACCTCTTCTTCCCCGAGACCAACGGCCGCACACTCGAGGAAATCGACGAGATCTTCATCCGGTCGAAGAGCATCTTCGACCCGCCTCGCGTCGCGCGCAGCCTGCCCCGGATGCATTTTGCCGAGGTGGTTGATGTCGCGACGGACTCGGGGGACGACCAATTCAAATTAACCAAGGCTGATCCTTCAGCCTTGATGTCGCGGGTTGATTGAATTTGATCCTGAGGGATTCTCCAAGTGTCGGACCAGCGGTCCGCTGGATAAATGCAGGACATATATCATTATCAATCAGAGGATATTAACCCCGTACTTGATTTGGGAATATGAGACGCAGATCATCTGGTATGATATGATTTGATGAATGGGATTGACGAACAGTATGACAGATGCAGAGCATTCTAGACTACTTTATTATAGTTTATTTGACTTCCGAAGGATTCGATGAAACCCCGGTGTGGTCTGGTCATTGCGTCAATTTAGCCGTTTCAGCATGAGACTCTTTGTATATAAAGCAGACATCACTCTCTATATCACTTCACGTCAATCCAGCTAATCGATAACTTGAATTGAATCAACAGATATCATCTCAAGACAAGATGAAAGCCTGGCTATTCTTCCTCCCCCTCGTCCGCTGCGACGTGATCTGGAACGGCTTCTTCGACGCCAACTTTACCGTCGACCACTTTGACAAATGTACATATACACCTCCTCCACCCCCCCCTTCTTTCACTCATATCATGGATGTATACTGACAATGACAATGAAATAGGGTCCTGGTCTAACCAAATCCCCCCGTACCAATGGTACATCCATGGCTCGCAGCCAACCCCTCACTACCTGGGTCTCTCGGCTGAGTTCAAGAACCCGGCTTCCAAGGTCGATGCCCAGGGCATTCGCATCACCATTGTACTCCCCGCCCCCCTACTAACCTGTCCCCTTTCTATATCTCAAGAGAAACTAATGAGGAAAAAGGACAACACCGCCTCCTGGAACGGCCAAACAATGATGCGCAGCGAGATCATCCCCCAGAAAGCCGCAGGCGTGAACCTAGGCCAGGGACATTTGTACTATCACTTTTCGGTGTCGACTAGAGAAACCAACGCTCCGGATCCGAGTCTGGAGCATCAGATTGCTTTCTTTGAGGTAACCCTTCCCCCCTTCTCCCCCAGCTGTCTAATTGTGTGTGTGTGTGTGCGAGGCAGCCAGGCTGATGAGATGTTAGAATCACTTCACCGAGCTCAAATACGGCCGGCTCAGCGGTACTGCTGACGATAATACCCTCCGTTGGATGGTGGGCGGACAGACGAAGTGGGCGACGCAGCTGGTCCCCGGGACGTGGTACAATTTCGCGTATGATGTCGATTTCGACGCGAAGACGGTGGGCCTATGGGCGTCGACGGGGGCAGAGGCGCTGAAGAAGGTCGTGGAGAATATTGGGGCGAATACGTTTACTGATTCTCAGGATTGGCATGTGGGTGAGCTGAGGCTGGATAATGGGGCCAGCGCCCCTGCGGAGGATTGGTTCTGGTCGGGGGTTTATATTGAGAGTGGGAAGGTGACTACGGATGTGGCTGGGCCCTGGTGATTATTGATTCATTGCGGAGCGAAGGGACGCAGAAGCGTAAACATAGGGGTGTATTTCTTATATATAGTGGAACTGAATTGAATGGAAGGGGGATAGATAGCATCAACGAATGCAGTACCCTCCGTCAATGAGCAGGTCCGTCCCGGTCATGTAGGAACTGGCATCGCTGCACAGATAGACATAGGCGCCCTTGAGCTCCTTCGCGTCGCCGTTGCGGCCCATGGGGATCATACTCAGCCACAGGTCCTGCGTCTTCTTGTCCACGAAGTCCGACAAGCCGGTATCAATATACCCCGGCGAGATACTGTTAACCCGCGCAAAATCCCTCCACTCATTCGCCAGCGACTTGGCAAAGTGAATACACCCCGCCTTGGCAACATTGTAACTCGTCTGCTCCTGCGGATAGTTCGCAATGTGGCCGGACATACTGCTCGTGATCACAAAGCTGCCCTTCCCCCGCTCCTTGAAGTGGGGGCCCACAGCCTTCGCGCAGTAGAACGTGCCCGTCAGATCCGTCTGAATCACCTCCGCCCAGTCATTGACGGAGCCATCCAGGATTCCCGCGCTGGCGGTGCGCCCCGCATTCGCGACGAAGGCGTCGATCTGCCCGAACTCGGCGATCACGTCCGCGACCAGCTTCTGTACGCTCTCCCAGTCGCCCACGTTGCACTTGTAGGCCTTGGCCTTGACGCCGTAGGTTTTGGCGATCTCTGCGGCGTTCTTCTCGCCGCCTTCCGGGCGGGAGGCGTATGTGAGGGCGATGTTGGCGCCCATTTCGGCGCAGCCGCGGGCGGCTTCGATGCCCATGCCGCGGGGCCGGAGGCGCCGGTTACCACCACGGTTTTGCCCTTGAGGCTGAGGAGGTCGAGGAGGGAGGAGGCTGCGGGGACGGGAATAGGCATTTTGACGGTATTCTCGTTATAAAACTGGTAAATGTTTGGATGGTTATGGTTGTAAAAATAAGAGAGAATTGAGAGAAGAGGGGTAGTTAGTTATATACCCCGGAATGAGCGGAGCAGTGATGGCATTGATGATGTCATGAGGTGGGCTGACAGGGTACTGAAAGAGTACCTTCGTGGTTAGCAAGCTGCCCCTCATCGCCATCAGTAAAGCATCAGTAAGGCATGATGAAAGTCTTTCTAATGGGTCCTTTGTTGTTCTAATGCATCTGATTGCTCCGTGAGGGGGTTGCTAAGTCTTAGTCAATCCTTCCTAAGCCCTATCCACGTTGGCACACGTTGGCACACGGTGCACTCGTCCCCCCATTCGCTGGCTGTTATTACCTAAAGCAAGCGTGATCCTTACCAAGAACCCAGCGTGAATTGAGTTGGAGAGGGGTAAGATAGGTACCAGCGTTGGGGTAACAGGCCAACAGACAGAACAGTGGAACCTATGATGGAATGCATATTCCTCGTTATGTAACCCAGAGTCTATTAAGTATATAATACAGATAGATATAAATCAACTAACTGGTTAGACTGTCCTCGCTTTCTCCCCGCTTCGTAGGATGGCTCCCTGTAATAATTGTGGTTGTGATGCCCTGATACTCTTCGTCCGCCATTCCCGTCCATAGCCGACGTGCATCGTCAACCCCCTCATCGGGCTTTGACCGTCGCGTGAGCCCCTTGGGCATATTTCCGGATAGAGGAAATGAGCCTGGTGTTCGTTGATGACTTCGTGAGGCCGAAGAGCCATCCCTAAGAAAGCGAACCAGAGGACGGAGGGTCGTCAGCGAACCTGCCGTGATACCAAGTCCGGCTTCGACGTTACTCCAGATTGAGATCTATAAAAGTCAGAGTTTATTTCATCATCCTCAGGAGTGATCGCTCACTTGGTAGGTCGCATAGAAAAAGTCGGGGTCCTTGTAATTGTGAACAAAGGGAATTCGAACAATGACTGCCGCGCTGGCAATGCATCCGATCCCTAAAATCCCCGCAATGGCCATCTTCGTCCGGGCGTTCATCCGCAGAGACCAGATTATGAATACGGGCAATATTCCAATCGTGAAATCGGTGACGGCCGCACCCACGCTGTAGGTATACGCAATGGCGATGAGGATATCCGTATCGATGCACGAGCCCGGCTTGGTGGGCTTGGTGGATCGGTTCCAGAAGTAGTCGGCTGGTTTACATTGGAACATGGTGAAAAAGAAGAAGAGAAGGCCCACAACCAGGGCCAGCCCCATGGCGGCATACAGGATGAGGATATGCACTCGGTTAATGGTGATGCGCAGGAGGGAGATGATGATGGAAATTTTGGCGACGACACAGGTGATGATATAGAAGACTTGACCGAGCCACCAGCACTTGTACCTGTTAGCATATGTGGTTGTCCTTCGACCTAAACATCAATCATACCAGTAGAGCTCGACGGGCATAGTCCGGGTGCAATTGAAAGTAATCGGTCTTCTGGCCCATCCCATACGAGCAACCAACGAGAGTGCAAATGGCGAATGCTAGATTGAGGGCCTTACTTGTCAGCTCGCCGCTGGGCGAAATCAATTGTGGCGCAAAAAACCTACCATGGCGGCCACCATCGTCCAGTCATCCAGGCCAAAAGCGCGCACCACTCGCGCACGAACGAAACATCGCAGGCATACGGTGACCAGCGACAGGGCCAGAAAGACAGAGGTGGCGGCGACAATCGCCTCACTGCGACCGTTAAGCATGGTGATGCCGAGACATGGGTGATGGCCGGCGTGAAGAGAGTCGGCTTAGAGAAAGCATGGGCATAGAGAGCGACCGAGTCATTAATAAGGATAATCTGTTGATAATCGGCAGAGAGAAAATTCTAGTCTAATTGATTAGCCAGAGTTTATTATTGCGAGTTGTGCGGCGTGCCACGGTGCCATGCCACCACATGCGCCTCCTCCCAGAGGCCCAGGCTTTTGGCGGTTTTATGGTACGGAGAGCGGAGTACTCCGTCGTAGGGTCATGCACACAACTATTGGACTCGCACTATACGGATTACTGCGTAGGGCTCAGTAGATTGCTGGTTTTGTATCGATTCTGAGAGATTGGGATCTGGATAATCGACGCCATTAGCAGTGATCTAACTTGCCTCAGTGAGGCATGCACTTGGTAGGAAACAGACCATGTGGGATCGATCCCCTATCCCCTCCTCGTTTGGTTCATTACCCAGTCGGTATATTGCAGATCGAGTCATTGGAAACCAGCCACGAATGAACGCGTTTCTAGTGGGGATTGATGTCCAAACCATGGATGTCAGAGGCGTGCCCTCACCTCTTGACCAGCAGTTCCTGTGTGGATGTCGATTGGTCTGTGTAGAGAGCGGCGTTGAGAGCCGCAGCGGGGGAAGCTCTTCAGGGGAAAACATCCGGATCTAACAAAGTTAAACGCCAGCAGTCCCGACAGTTTTATTACTTAATGTGACATGCAGTTTGGACTCGATACGAGATACTTGGAATGAAACTGCTGCTGCAGATCACTGAATCATGTCAATTCCATTTTTCCAATAGCTTCGTCGATTCTTCAATAATACTTAGTAATATAATATGGTAAACCCCAGTTTAATTCGATCTGCTTGTTGATCTGCTTCTGATCTGCTGCCATCTAACTTTCTCTACTCATAGTGCGCTTCATCCCGGTCAACGGGATATCTTCGGGAACATGACGATTCGGCATTTGGCTATCAAAGACAAAGAAAATTGATCTTACGGCAATTATTGGATTATATTCAGAGTTTGCACCATGTGGTCGCACTGGTTTCCTGTCAAAGGCTGCCTCTATCCGTACTATCTAGAGGATTGGCTTGCTGCCTCAGCTAACTATAGAATGGCCTCGGGAAATTCCCCGCACTCTCTTGATGTAATCTACCTCGGCTGTCTGATTGAGATCAAAGCATCAAATTGAATATCTTCTATTGAATAAATATAGCTAATACAGTACCAAGATTCAAAGTCTGGAATATTAACAGCAGATTTATCAACATGCCTGGTCTTACTCTGCATCTCCTTGCTCTTGCTCCCTCCACCACCGCCGAGTCTTTCCTTCGCCAGCTCCGCCAATCCTCCGCCGTCAAGGTTATTCTCGCCTCTCGTCCACGACACATCGTTATTCTTCCGACCCTCATTGACTCCAATCTGCTGAGGACCACAAAATGGGACCTTCTTGTTCTCCTTCAACCTTCCTCGGTGACCAAAGAAGCAGCCCTTGAATCACTTCCGCCTAACCTACAACCCCTCGTGCAACAAGAGTACCGTCTCGCCGTTGGCATCCCCTCAAAACTTCTATCCGGCTACGATGAACGCGACACGTCTCTCAAACGAGACGCCTCCTCCATCCCTCTGACAGGCTCCCTGGCCAATGCCCGCCAGAAGTCTTCCTCGAAGAATCTGGAACTCTCGCCAGATCTACTCGCCTTCATGGACACTCTCGCGCGTACACACAATGGTCCCGTCACCATGCTGAATCTGCTGCATTTCCACCACCCCAACGGAAAGAAAAGCTACTACCAATACGGACAGGCTTTCATCCCTGTCGCTAGTAAGCGCGGCGGGAATGCAAAGCTAGTAGGAAATGTGATCAGACCCGCTTCGACCGCCCCGGTCGACTCGCGGGGAAGCGTAGATCGACCAGAGACAGACTGGTGGAACGAAATCTCGCTGGTGCATTATCCGTCTATCAGGCACTTCTGCGATATGCTGGCTGGAGAGGACTATCAGGCGATTAATGAGAAGTATCGCTTGTCTGTACGTTGCCCCTTCTCTTTTAAGGTCTCCCTCGGGCTAATGCCATCCAGGCTCTTCGAGATACGTTCTTGCTTTGCACAACAGAGTTCGACGTGGAAACTTCACCTGCCAAACTATGATTCTGTATATCTCTTCCGCCGGTTCGGTATATGGGTCATGTCAAACTACAGACAACAATTTGATCACTGTCTTTAACTTGCCAACAATCCACCTACATCAATGTCCCCAGCTCTATGCATTACTGGCGCAGGAGAAACTGCGACCAGCTGACTCTTCGCTGATTGCTCGGCCAGACGCATACAGTCCAAGGCCACACTGACCAATCAGTACGAGATGCGAGAAGATGAAGACTACTTACCAGACATGCCCCCATGCCAACCAAGGTGAAATTGACAATGGTCAAGAATGTTTTCCTCGGCGACGAGAACCAAAGACCCTTGTTGATGAAGAGCCAGAAGGCACCACATAGTCCATCTACGTAATTAGCAAGGCATCTCTTCTGTTCTCAAAAGGATACGCACACGAGAACCAACTGCAGAACAGTGACGTCTGTAGTATTGTTAGACATGCAACCACTCAGGTATGGGAAACCTACAACCAGGCTCAGCAGGTTATTGAACTCAGGAACTGCTTCTGCGATGACCCAAGCTATCGTCCACAACACCACCGAGATTGCCACCCAAGTCCCTATCGAGAACAGACTGCGCTGGTGCATATGCTCGGTACCCCGGAACAGGCGGACATAAATGTACTTGCAGGCGATGTGTCCATTAATCACCCCGGCAATCACAATCTACAACGTCAGTTTCCAGCAGATCAAAATGCTATCGGCTTGAAGTCCGTACCGTCGGAATCGCAATTCCATACGCAACCTTGGCCATCAAAGGGCTGGATGAGCCCAGTGCCGGTGACGCAACGTGCTGACCAGCAAACCGGTAGACAACCACCCCAGTGACTGTGTACAAGGTCGTATTGATGATTTCAACAAAGCACAGCGTCTTCGGCCAGTCGGTGGGAGTTTTCATCTCGGAAATGTAGCCAAAGAAGGCTGGATGGGCCGCTGCCGTTGTTGGTCAATGGTTCAGCTGCAGTCAATCAATAGAGACTTACCATATGCGAACACGATATCCGTGACTGCGAGAAACGCTCTGTACAGACTAGTCGACCTAGTCATTTCAACCTTTACGTTCCGCGGCCGTTGGACACCAAGCGCAATCATCGTGACCAAGACTGCCGTGACGATACTGGCAAACGCTGCGGTCATCGGTCAGCGTCAACTCTTCACTTCATCATAAGGCAAATCTTACAAATAACTGACAACCATGACATCTTCTTAAAAGTCCGCGGCAAGCTCAATATAAGCGAAATCAGCAACCCCACCACCCCGAAAACAATACTGCATGTGCCATGATCGGTCAGTGTGTTCATCATGACAGTGAAAGTGAGAATGTGGCCCCCCATCACAAACACCAGGCAGAGCAGCAGCCCCGTCCCCAGGACCTCGCGCCCGATGCAGCCAAAGAGTACCTCGCCCCCATCCGCAATGCTATGAACATGGGGATATCGCGCCTTGAATTGCCCCATTACACAGCCGGTGTAAACGGTGAGGATAGCAATGCTGACGATCAGTATCACGCCTCTTTGTCAATTCACAGTTAGCCATTGATAAAGGGCCGGGGACGGGAGACGGAAGACCAACGGGACGATTCCCAGTGTCGCCACAGCTGAGGGAAGCGTTAGGATGCCTAGAGATGTTCCCCCAGCCAGCATGACTAGCCACCGGCGTTAGTCCAAGCAGAAGATGACAGCAAAGGCCGCAAACCTATCGCGCATCTCCTGTTCACATGCCACATTCATCAGACTTCGTGTGCTTTCTGCTGAACCGGGGCTGACAAACCACCACTCCAACGTCCGGTACCTGACCTCTGCACCTTCTTCGTCTCCGAATGGCTCTCTGTCTGCAGTTTCGGGTTGCTCTTTGTACGTTTCATCGCGATTGAGGGGTACCGCCGGCCGCGTTTCGAGGTCGAGGTCGGATGTATCGGGCGACATCCTGCTGTTACCCACTCTGGGGCTGTTTACCAAGTCAGCAAAGCTGCTTCCACGAGGGGCTATGGCATCTGGTCTTGCTATATATCTCCAGAAGTGAAATTGATGACTAGGTAACATCAGCCAGAGATTGCAGTGCAACCATTCATTTGGCCACTGCGAAGGAATCTCACAATGAAACATCACGTTGCCAGCGAGTGTTCTAGACTGAATTTGGATTCCTCCTTGCGTGGATGGTGATAGGCCCTTGCATCTATATCTGACCGAGATTCGAACGAAGCGTCCTTGTGGTAATCGACCAGGCGGATTTTCAATTCATTCCCTGCTCACAGTAGATCTAGATTGAAATCATGTTCGGGCGAGAAATCATGGTTCGTCTTGTAGTATTTGCAAGAAGGGAAAATCTGTCTATCATCTATGTCTAAGCGAGGGTATCATCAAGTCACAATGTCATATCAGTCATTTCATAGTCTCCGGGCACACACGGTCCCGAATGAACAAGCCCACCCCGGAGAGTTCGCAATCCCGGCGCAAGGGTCCCACCATCTCATAAACTCGCGGCTTGATTACCTTTTCACCAGCCGCAGAACCCTCGTATCCAGAATCCTCATATTCCTCCTCATCGTGGAACATTCCCTCGATCTCCAGCTTTTTCAAGTCCTTGAAACGAGGTGACTGTCCACTTTTACCGTCAACACCGCCATTGTGGCTCGCGCCAAGCAGCGTCCTCAACTGATTCACCAAGATCGCCAGCGAATTCTCCTTGCATCCTTCCACATACAAGGACTCCACTCCAGCCGGCAAGACCTCCGTCAGCGGAACCGACGGCTCAGCCTGGTACCGGATATCCAAAAGATTCGGCAACCGGATCCGCACGTCCTTCAGGTTCGTAAAATCGGCCAGCGACCCGAACCACTCGTCGTGCGTCTCGTTGGCACCCGTAATGGTGAAGGGGAGATGCACACCGCAGGTGTCCAGCCAGAGTGTGTGCAATGTGTGTTTGCTGGCAGACAGCGAGCGGTAAAAGGCAGCAGGCTGGTAGCCTTCGGCGAGCAGATGGCCGTCTGAGTGCTGGTATTTGAATGATCGGAGGGCGGAGCAAGCAGCGACAATGCTGGTCATGCCTTTGGCGCCGCTGCTGGAGTTCAAGACAATCTCAGATATCGACGAGGCCGGCGGATCTTGCTCTGGTTGCGGCTGCTCGTCCGCGGAGGTCGATTCAATCATTGAATCGACTGTGATGGTGCGCATTGACGGTAGCTGGAAGAACGGAAGCACCTGAGATGGGGCGTAGGTGCCTTTACTGTCCAGGGTATCGTCCAGATGACCCAAGGAGACGTCTAGCAGAGCACGGAAGGCAGGCTGCGTGTCAAACGGCTTCTCGCGCCGAACGGCCCGCTGCATCATCCGGTCGAGATACTTGTTCTCCTTGGGATATACCAACCGCAGCTGCTGAACGTTCCTCACCAGCGGCAGGAGAAGGGCCATCCAGGCCTCCCCGACATCTTGCTGCAGATCGTGCTCCCACTGGACGTATTCCTCGTCTGAGTGGCTGATTTCTTGAGCCCAATTGCGAAACACTTGCATGTCCTCTGCAGCCACGCTGGTACTTTCATACGTCTCAGACTGCGTCCGCCACCCGCTCAAATCCAAGGTGCGAACCGCCCGAGCCAGCTCGCGGTGTCGCAGCGCGGCACTCAGAAACGAGCGCGTCTGGTTACAGTCTTTCAGCGCCACATACTGGTATACTAGTCGACGGAACAAGCCATGAAAATGACAGCACACGAAGAGGAGATTATAGCGGTCTTGGTGATCCTCCAGGAACTCCCCGATTAGAAGAAGGACATCATTGGGGAGGGAGGGTGGCATGTTGCAAGTATTCACCAGTGATTAAAACGTCCTTTAATCAACAAGTACTGAAGACATCCATCCTTAAATGTGATGCCATGAGGCAAGTTTCTTGACTAAGCTTCAGAAATTTAATCCACCGTGGGCCGAAGCTTACCTGGAATTACCACTTCGGGAAGCGGAGCAGCAATAATTTTGATCTGTCCGCTGAGCAATTGGCCAATGGGCATAAAACAGCGGACATGTGGGCGGAATTTTTTGATCCATGTTTTCTGGAAAAATAGAAAGAGGAAAATCTTCATCATTTCTTTTCCGCATAGTGGGGGGTGTTGTGGATCGTTTGCATTGCCAAATCATCATATTTAGTTACTCTGCACAGAGTTGTTTGACTAAGATTGACGGTCTGACTTGCTCAGTATTCAGTAATCAGAACCAGTAGCCAGAAGGGGGCAGGCTGATTAGGCCTAGTATTGCTCTCTTGCACCTGTGATATCTAGCAGTTGATGATTCACTGTGTACCTGCATTACCACACATTGCAGAAAGCAAGCGTTAGTTATACTCCGCTTCATCGTAATCACAATGGATGTGTTTTAAGGCGGACAATGAGAAGAACCGTGAACCATCCTCGGCAAGCCTGCTTCTTTGGGATGTATGATGTGGATCTTCCGCATCTGCAGCACTTATTTGTTCTTAGCACCAGCTAGACTGATCTGGCGATCACTAGATCTTCGTCTCCTCGGAAAGTACCAGGGGTATTCACGGAAATACTCCCGTATGCATCCCACAACTACCTCTCAGATCAGTGGTTATTATAGGACAGGAAGAGGTTCGCTTTAAGGCCTGGCATTGTTTGTTGGGTATATGCAAATTCGACAATCTGGTCGCAGAACGAAGATGCTGATAGAAAAAACTAAACTACTCTGTGTGCTACCTAAGCAGCAGTTCGGAAATCGTCCGGCGAATCATAACTCCACCCGTGGCCGATATCTGGGATCGACAGAGCGAATCTACACCTTGGCAGTTATTGGTCAATCATTTCATCATTACGCTGTTCAGTGAAGAAGGGATATGGACAGATGCTACACTACAAGAGTGCAGTGTGCTTGACTATGTACAGCACTCGAGTCGGCAAAAGCACGAAGACCGAATCGGCACATCTGCTGTTGCTGCAGCGAGTTTTAACTGCTGCTGGATGATCCGTGCCTCTGCCGACCGTCCCAGCCTCGTCAGACACTCGTGATACCCATGTAACGACCACACATTGTTCGGATGCTGCAGGGCCCGCGGCAGAGTGTCGTCCATCCCCAGATCGGCACCGTACACTTCCGCAGCCTTCTCTACTTGGCCCTGCTCGAGCAAAAGAGCGCCATACGCATGCCGGGTGGGCTGCATCCAGCCCCATGGCTCGTCGTAGGGAAGGCCGTCGTCCAGCGCGATGGACCGTTGCAGGTGCTTGAAGGCGGCGTCGATATTCCCTCGGCGGTATTCGATCTCCCCGTCGAGCATGGCGTCCGCAATGGCCAGAATATCACGGCAGGTGTTGTTGAATAGTGCCCGGCTGGGCGGGACAAGGTCGAGAGATTTCTGGAATATTGCCCGCTCCTTGTCTGCCTCGTCTACTTGGCCGAGGGCAGCGTATGCTACACCTTTGGCGTAGTGGGTCATTGATGTAGTCACGCAGTAGAGAGTCTGGTCCTGTGGCAATTCCAGAGCAAGGATATCCTCCCAGCGCCCGAATCGGATAAGCACGTGCACTTTCACAGCGAGGAAGCCCTCGAGCCAGTCTGCCATCGGGGGGACTCGATCCGTAAGAGTTGTTCGGGAATGGAGGCCTCCAGCTCCGCTGCCGTGTCCAACGCTACCCTTGACTGTCCGGCGAACATGGCCGCGTAGATGCGGAAATGGTAATCGTGAGACCGATAGAGGGTATAGAAGTTGACGGGGCCCGCACGAGCGAGGAACTTTTCGTCCGCCCGGATAGCTTCCGAGTTGGAGGCCACTGCTCGGCGATAATCGCCACAGAGAATGTCCAAATGCGTAGGCATGTGATTCAGGTGCCCTGCATCAGGTACCAGACCCGCAGGTGGTCGGCGGCCGTCAAGGCGCTCTCCGGGGATCCTGACATTTCCATCAGATGGATGTACAAATGCAGCAGTCCTGGATGAGAGAGCCCTCCCCTCTGTGCCAGCGCACGATCGAGGACAGTTTTAATGTCTAACGTACGCGCGTCCGGCGCGGGTTGTCCAGTCTTGATATCCCAGAGCGCCCACGGCGTAAGATTCATCAAGCCATCCGCATACAGCACCGCGACGTCTAGGTCATCTGGGTGCTGTTTATATACCACTTCCATGGCATCTGCGTAGCCCTGGTTCCACGATGAGCAGTCCCCGCCGGCCGGTCATGCGGGTACCGATACTGCAGGGCGTCGATCAGAGCCGCTTCTACCGGCGACGCTGTTTTTGCATTGGCCTTAGCATCTTCTGCGGCCCTGCGAGTGCGCTGCACTGTCGATTCGAGCTCCTGCTGATCGAAGACCTCCCATGGTTTGTTGTAGTTTGGACCGAGGGCGTAAGCGAGGCCCCAGTATGACATGGCACACTTCGGATCAATTGCGATGGATTTCTCGAAACAACGGACCGCTTCTTCATGGTTGAAGCCGTATGTCCAGATGAGCCCCCGGTCGAACCATAGCTGAGCTTGATGATTAGCGGTGCTCACGCGTCGGTGATATGATCCGAGGTTGTAGTAGGGGTCGGAGGTGTCATCCGGAGATCGTTCACGTTGTTTGTTCATTATGATCAGATGCTGAGTTTAATACCCATTACCGCAAAATTTTGGAGAACATTTCATTGATACGAACATGTTCAAATGACGGTGTTGATAAACGAGGTCGTAGGAAGTGGGGTAACTCGAGCGGGATAACATCTCATGATCCAAGTGGTATTTCAACTTCCTGCCCTGCTCTCGCTTGCAATTCGTCATGCCCAGGATTCTGGTAGAATCGTTCACTGGCTCGTCCTTTCTGTTCAACATAATTGCTCGAGCACTGCACGATGCCGTTTGACGGTGGAATATTCCATGAATATCAAGAAACCCTCCAACACTGCAAATGAATGCGCCATTAGACATCTTGATATGTAAACACAGAAACCATACGCCTATCGAGTAGACACGCTATCAATGTCGGTAAGGTCTCACTCAGAGCTCTTGATGCATTGGAGGAATTCTACACGCAGAACCGTACTCCAACCGAAGTGGCAGACAGCGCTCCGTGGTCCAAGGCAATAGACTTAGTTGAAGCACAGGCTGCGTTACACATCTAAGAAGTATTGGAGAAACGTGAACCTTGTATGCACATTGGAAGCCCAGGTCGAGATGAGTAACCTGGTGGTGGTTTAGCGCACGTTGGTGCGATGGTCAAGAACATCCTGTGTAGATCTTCCAGCCGAATACCAGCGAGATCTGCAGCTACAGCACCATTGGAAGCACGAGTGAACTTATCATCCAGCCATTACTTACTGTCGAGAGATGTCCAGAGGCTTCGCATTATTCGTACGATTATATGATGGTATTACCATACATAACTGGAGGAACTGACTAGAGCAAGCCCATGTCTAATATGCCACACATTAGGTCTCTCGTTCTCTGTCCAGCCTGAATCTGCAAATCATATTCAAAAGCAGTGGTTAAAAACGCCTTGTACCAGAGAGATCAGAGAATAAACAAGAGACCGAGGCTTGCCGTAGACCTGTTAATCAATTGGTGTATAGCCCTTCCTCGTTTTTGCGACATTTGCCTCGTTCAGGAGCGATTCCGGTTGGTATAGGTATCCTCGTCCTCAGTCGGTATTCCATCAATGACGCCCATTGACACCTTCTCTTCTCTATCGTAGTCCCAAATCCGTCATCTCAACGCTGTCTGCCGATCCCATCCAGAGAATGTTGTTACACCTAGTTCGTGTCAGTCAGGACATTTCAGCAAAGAGAATGCAAGCTCCGCAGTCCCAAAACGTACCGAATCAGCACAAGGCCAAGTGTACCCGTGTTCTTTCCATCGATGAACTCCTCCGTATCCCTCAGGAGCACATTCATGTACGAATCGATGCTCTCCAGCTTGCCCTTGTACTCTGTCTGACCCCACTTGAGACGGATGATAACCTCAGTGCCGACCCTAGAATGCTGTATTAGAAATCATGTGTGCTCATTCGGTCGTACTGGATAGCGATAAAAGCGCAATCGGAGGGGAACTGGGTAAGTTGAGAAGCCGTACCGAGCTTGCAGAAAGGGCCGGGGGTTAACTGGTTGGAACTGCAGTTATGTCAATACATGTCAATAAGCAGATTCCGCGAATCTCGGGCAAATGAAAGAATTGAGGAGGAACGAACACTCATCGTTGTGATGTGGAGCGCCTTGAGATTGATTCACCAGGAATCCGGATGTGCGAAACAGGGAGGCCCTTCAAAAAAAGGGGATGGTATGTATAGTGTGTAAGGAGTCTTGCTTGACCAGCTGGAAAGAACGAAGTATCCGAATTGAAAGTGCTGGACTGGTCGCGTGTTGAGGTGAAAAGTGGTTGGAGCTACCGCATTACGCCCAATCGACCTCTGAAGGTCCCAGACCGCGAAAATGTGATGCTGCTGGACGCGGCTCTCAGCCAATCACGTGGCGAGTTGCATCACCGCCTTGAGAACATCTCTTGAGCAACAGGGGAAGAAGTCGACTGAATGGAAATAAACAAGTCAATGACTGGAACTTGAATTGATTTTAGTTTACCCGATTCATGGTCCTCTTACCCGTTGTTAGGAGGAACAGACGACTAAGAGTACTGTGTCCGCCGCAGGCTTCTACATAAGAGACGCACTTCACCACGTGACAAATGAATTGAAAGCTCGAAATGAGCTGAATGAAGATACTGACACAGAATGCTACAGAAATAATCCCCTCGACGTAAAATCGTCGGCTAATACATCTCAACCTCTTCCCACCTGCCAGCTGATTTCCTTAATGGAGACCTCCTCCCCGGCTTTCTCGTCATAATCATACCATTCTCCCTCGGACAAATCTATACCAGTGAAAGGCGTGGACGAATCAATGCCCTTTGCCTCCCAATCTCCCTGCGCAGCCTCGTCAGAAATCTAGCCCGGCCCAGGGAATGATGATAAACTTACATCAGGCTTGAACTCCGTGAACTCCAGTCCACGACAGTCGATCTCGATCACTTTGCTGCCCTTGCGCTTCTCATCTCCTTCATAGGCATGCGGACCGTTGACGATCGAAGCGGAATGGGTTTTCTGATTCAAACATGGTTAACGAATAGCTTTATAAAAAGCTTGCCTACATCCGGTATCTCATCATCTGCTTCGGTCTCCGTAGAACCGACCGCAAGAACAGACGAGATGGCTCGTAAAGGCAAACCGAGCACATAATTGCTAGGAAATGACCAACCTGGCAAAGCTTGCATTTCCACACAAAGTTGGCCTCGCCCCGACTTCCGGGGATCTCGTGTTGCTCCTGTATCGGTAGATGTTAGTACAGTTGCTCACCACTGTTTGTAAGAGGGGTGTCGTGTGCTACGCAGACTTACAAAGCGATTGAAGCTGACCCAGTTCGGATGCACCTCGCGGCAAGAAGTGCATTGTACCTTGAAGGTGTAAAAGTATGGCTCTTGCTCCGTGTCCTTTGGCCGAAGGTCGGTGACCCTACATTCAGTGATGAGCTACTGTCATGATGCGTGCGGGGAAAGTGATATAGGCAGAAAAGGCAAAATCGAGGGAAGGATGAAGGATATATGTAACTCGCCTGTGTTATCTTACCCTGTAAGCTCAGCAGAGAGGAGAAGCGAAAGCATTTTGATTTGATTTGAGTCTTATCAGCCTTTTTCTTAAACAGAACCTAGCGAGGGAGAAATGCGATGCAGAAGTCTTTAGGTGGGTGTGTTCTGTGCGTGATGTAGTTCTAGAAATTCCATCGTCTTCGGTCCACTGCCTTAGGTACGGTCGTACTGATAAGATTGACCGCCTACATGCACCACTGCTGGAATTCTCATATCTTACTGAAAGCTTTGTTTTTGGGCTATCTTCTATTTAAAAGTGAAAAGAAAAGCGGATACATGGATATCAACGCCAGTAATGCAAATCGTCATCGCTCGTCCGGAACGAATCATAAGACAGAAAGGAAAGACAATGGACACAAAATCAAAGATACACAGGATTTCAACAGAATAATTCCGCTTACAGACGGCTTTGCTGGTCCTGGCCAAGGGGCTTTGTGGAGAAGGAGTTGAAGAAGGCGTTGAGAGCGTCAACAGTGCCGCTGCCATCCACCAATTGCACAGTGCAGGCAACGTGACTGTCAGGACGAGTAACAACAACACCCCCCTTCTCAGGGTCGAAGCCCAGCTTCTCATGGGCGGCAAACTTGGCGAGAGGCACGCGCACGTCAGGAATGTCATCGGCGTAGATGTGGTGGTGGTAATCGCGGAGGATCTGAGGGATGGCCTCCACATCAACCTCGTTCTTCTGAGCAGCGTAGATCAGGCAGATAGAGAACAGCTTGGAGTGAGGCAGATGGCGCTCAAAGAAAGAGATCTCATCGATGCGGCGGTAAGAAGACAGGAATGATCGCTCCTTTTCAAGGTTGGCACCAAAGTCCGTGATCGCTTTCTTGGTATTTGCCTGTTTACCGGCAAAGATGAAGATGCGGAATGCTCCGTTTGCAGGGATTTCCTGCTCGAGGTGTACAAAGTTGGCATCCGCCAAGCGGGTCACAGTGGTAGGGGTGAAGGCGCGGCCAGGAGTCAGTTTAACACCAGGGATGTTGAACAGAGGCGACTGAGCGGGATGGCTTGGACTCCAATTGAAAACATTGGGCTTGTAAGCAACGCCGTATCCGGAGGTGAATTCGCAGGAAGACTTAAAGGTCTTGATAAACTCATCCTCCTCACCGCCAGCAACGGCCTGGGTGTGGCTTGCAGATCCGACCTCGCCGGCTGTTGGGCGACGCTTGGAGAAGAGGGCTGCATACTTGTTGTCGAAGTCCAGCAGCCTTTCAGCAATGTCCTTGCGCTCGCTTTCGTACGTGCTCAAAATGGAACGGTCGGCTAATCCAGATTCGACGGCGTGGAGCTTCCAGGCCATGTTGAGTGCATCGTGGAACGCTGTGTTCATACCCTGACCAGCCTTAGGGCTGTGGGTGTGGCAGGCATCGCCTCCCATGAAAATACGCTCGTCCAGTGTATATCTCTCGGAGATACCCTGACCGATTGGGTAAACAGAGTACCACTCGACGCGGTCCCACTCCAGAGTGTATGGCTTGAGAATCTTCTTTGCCGTCTCCTGGACTTCCTCAGCAGTGGCGGTCTTTCTTGGGTTGAAGTCGGGATCGGAGGAAGAGGCGATCTGGACATAGAGACGGACCATGTTGTCCTCACGCGGGATAACCATGATGGAGCCGGCATCTGAGTGGATGGTGCACTTAGTCTATTATAAAACGAATTAGCAAATGAAGCCATTTTCCCGCTATTGGGTGAAAATCTGTCCTTACCTCGATATCAGGAAAGTTTGTTCTCACGACACCGTCCATGACGCCCCACACATAAGAGATGGGATCCTTATGGTGGATTTTGATGCCGAGCTGCTCTCTGACAAAACTGCGAGCGCCCTCACCACTGAAGAGGTACTTGGTGCGAACGGTCTCGATAACGTTTGTATCAATGCTCTTGAGCGCCACCTGGACGGGATAGTTCTTGTCCGCGCCGTCGTTTTTGAAACCGATGATTGTCCAGGGTCTCTCGATTCTTGTGCCAGCCTTCTCAATCTCGTCAATAAAGACTCTCTCGATCTTGCCCTGGTGGACGAGGGTAGTGAAAGGGTATCTTGTGTCAATGAACCGAGGGCAGCTAGGCCAGCTTCCGGTGCGGTGGATACCCTTGCCTTCGGGAAGAGGATCCCAAAAAGCGACATCATACACCTTAGCTGGCTTGTAAGCCATAATCTGACGCTTCAGACCCAGGTTCCGAAGTATCTCCGTTGAGCGAGGCTGAATACCATCGGCGCGGCCAGTCGCGGTAGGCACCGGGCGGTTGTCGATGTGCTTCACTTTGTAGCCCCAGCGGGACATGCAGAGAGACAGCAGAATTCCAACAGGGCCGGCGCCCACGATGACAATGTCATATTTTTCTTGGCTGTGTGCCATCTTGGTCAATTGACTTGAATATCCTTAAACTGTTGAATTTGCGGGAGGAGGTTGAGGGTCCGCCAATGACGTATCCAAGCAAGGAGTGTATGTATAGCTAATAATCAATAGCACAGCATCACCCGTATAAGAGTAATCCTGGATCTAAGTAGGTGAGATAGAAAAGACAGAGAGAAGTAAAATAAGCCATTTCCAAGAGGGTAGTAGGCGCTCATATATAATTCGAGGCAGCTGAGGTAGCGGGTGAACAGTGTCAAGCAACGGAGGACCACAACGGCATTCAGTTTCGGCTGGATGGTAGAGAGCAAGTCATAAGCGACCCTAAGCTGCAACGCACAGGCGGGTTTGGTCCAGCAGTCGAACTAGAGGGACTCCCTGTAATTGGGGATTGCGGGACGTGCGGGCGTGGATGGGAGCTGGGTCTGCGGGGAGGCCGGAAGGCAGATGGTGAGTGGTTAGCAGGGGTGACTAATGGAGGAATGCCGTGGTCCATTCCGAGTCTCTGACCCTGGCTGCGGCTAGGAGGTCGGCAAGTGGAGAGTTTCACGTGACTAGGACCCCTCGGCAGCGTCGCCCGGGACTTCTGGGCGGTTTACCATTTGTCTCTGATTGGCTCCATGGAAATCCCGACTTTATTGCCATTTACTTCAGCTAAACGACGTATGAGCTGCTCGAGCTTCGAAGGATATCTATAACTTCTGAGGAGCTTGAACCCGATTGGTCTTTTCTATAGTCTGTTGGCCTAACGCTCAGGAGGATTTCCGGTGCAAAAGTCTACGTAGCCTTGAGTGGAATCGCGTCTGATCCCGAGATGCCGCTCAATGGCCGCACTATGGGAACTGGCAACCTTCACGGACGTCCTTGAGATACCGTCTCGATTACCATGCATCGGATCGACCGAATATGGACACATAAACTGGTATTCACCCTCAATCCTGGCATCTCCATTGGCCATTGAGAGGGAACTTCCGAAGACCGCCTACCTCTCTACGATGTGCGGGTATGGCGTGTGCTAACATACATTTAGCAGCTCTCTAGCCGTGTTTTCTACTAATGTTTCTTCCCCAGGCATTGTGGTTCGGCTTCCCGGAGTATTTTGCGTTTTAGGGAGACATTTTACCGCATGGAGTTCGGCTTGCTGGATATTCGCGGCTAATCCAGTGGCAGTTGCTAGATCTCTGCATCATCCTCCTTACCAGCTGTCGTATTCTGGGGTCTCCTGCCATCGGGAGATAGGAATACTTGCTCACAGCAAATAAGGTATACATATCTTAGATGCGTAGTGAATATCGTTATCAAAGCTCACTTTGGACTCGCTTTCGCTTAAAGAACTCCAGACGTCATCTTGTTGTTTTGGGGCATTTACAAGATCATGAATCACAAGGCAAGTACAGATTGTGCAACTCAAGGCCTACATCCATTAGTATTCGTTGGATCTATTGTAAGTGTTATTCGATAATAGTGCGCCCTTTGGTGGGAACTGAGCAGTTCCTGAAGCTCACTGAATTCATCTCTACTCAAAGGCAAAGGGCCCTAATGGCTTTACCCCTGTACCAGATCTACATCATAATAATTGAACGAACATATCAGGTCACATTGCTATTGTCCATAAATTACTGAAATAAGAAGTCAGAGTCATGTCAACTCGTGGCGTCATCTTGGTTCTTCGAGACAACGGCCAAAACCACGATTTTGTGGTACTTCCCTCAATAACTACCTAGTCATAATCCGGTTCTGGCAACAAGAGAGAAAGAAATGCGGATCCACTAGTTCTTTGTGACCGGGCAGCTCTCTGAGCATATGGTCTTTCCTGAATGTGTTCCTGTTGATTGATGAAATTTCAGCGCTGAATGCCAGCAAAATATGGGACAATAGAATTGTTCTATTGCTACGAGAAGTTGTTGAATATAAATAAAGAGAAAAGAAAAGAAGAAAAAGTTAACAATCAAACTACAACCTTACTCCGAATAAGCATTCCCTAATGCCATTTAGGCAATGGACAGAATGCTATTGTTGCGAGTCCACTCTCATTCACCTCAGGATTTCCTGAATAGGGCGAGAGCGACTAGCAAGCAAAATCATTTTAGCCTGAGCAGATTGTCTTGAATAGACCCATCGCACTGACAATAGCATTGTATCCCAGCCAAATGAGAGGATGCCTTTATCAATAGACAATAAGAGGCTGACTGCCACGAGGCTATATCAGTCTCCTACACCTTCTTCTCCTCGATGCACCTTCTTTCGAAAATTACATCGACTCTCTGCATCTGCCTTCTCTTGTAATCCTTTGCACGTACAGTATCTCGTCTCTGCTATCAAGCAGTACTTCGCTGTCAATTCGCTCCCATCCTACATACCGCTTCATCACCATGAGTGACGAAACCTACGAAGTCCCCATCATGCTGAGCCCTGAGTATGATCCTCTACCCATTCGGAAATGCATATGCTAATCGCCCAAAGTATCCATCTCTCGTATGAGGATATCGCCAAGCTCAATCCCTTCTATGAAAAGTACAGGGAATTCTGGAATACCTCTCCTGATACCACGGCCACCACACTCTCTTCTCTGGATACTCAGTCCAGATCCCCTTCTTTGCAGTCAGTTCACGCTAGCACTGTTGCACCACCGTCTCCTCTTGATATCTCATCTTCTCCTTCACTCCACTGCGCCGAGCCTTCTGCTGGTCTCCACCTTTCCGCAATGCTCGATGTCCCTCTGCATAAAGGGATTCAGCGCAAACCATCTGTTAGGGTCTACGACGAGGATATTCCCGCTAGTCAGCAAGCCACTTTTGTGCTTGAAGGGTACAGCAACCACTCCTTGTCTCCTGTGAACGAAATAACGGAAATATGTGATTTCCATTCGATTGATCGTCATCGCTTCGGCGACACGACCCAGCAAGTGAGATCCTCGCACAAGAAGCTTTTCGGAACAAATGGCTGGCTCGGCTACGCCGATGACTTGAACACTACGCCGCTCAAGAGACAAAAGTCGAAGATCTTCCGGGATTTCGGAAAGAAGATCAAGCATCAGGTGGGAGAGATGGTAAGTGCTCACAGTTAACTTTTTTGATATGATCACGTACAGGCCCGCTAATATGATATACAGGCTGAGGATATGGCAAAGGCTTACCCAAAGGCATTCGCTGGTGCACCACGCCGGCCAAGAATTGTTCCTGAGTCAGCAGTCCCCATCTCTCTGGACCCTCCTACACAGGCCAGACTGTACTCGGAGATGGAAGTTATGATCTGCGTGACCGCAAATACATTCCTCGTTCGACAATACGAAGCCGGCCGTATCTCAGAGGAATCAATCAAAAAGGTTACCAACTTCTGGGGCTCCAAGAACAGACCTCAGGTCGTCGAATTTCAGTTCGATCAGGCCACTCAGCGTCGACTGATCTTGTCTAACATCCGAACACTGCGCTTCGATGGAGAGAGCTCAGCCAACCCCATCCTTCTACACTCCAATCTTCACAACTGGAAAGCAGTGGTGAAGGAGATGAGTGTCCGCACCTTCTGCGCCCCGGACAGTGCCATTCGGAAACACATGCACGACATCCACAAGCTCCTCGACATGCTCGGTGCGCACGATGCCACCTTACTTGCTTTCGAAGAGCTTCAGATGAGCACATTAGCCTTGATGAGGCAACGCCGACAGATGAACTATCATCTTGAGCGAAGCAACAGCACCTTCTCAGGCTCCAGCAGCGGACCCACAGAAAGCAGTCGGCTCATGCACTAAACTGAAATTGCGTTGAACAAGTGGAGTTGTGGGCTGGACAACACTGCGAGTAGATCAGCCGTTGACTCTTCCTGAGTCCGAGGTCTTCTCTGATTTATTTGTGCCTTTCTCTTCTTTTCCAACCTGATGTTGGCATGCACGTTATTAGGCTCTGTTTAGTGTGGCTTTGCTTTTCTTCGATACCCTCTTATAGCAAAGCACAGAGAAAGTCGTTCAGATCTGACAGAAACCTTTTATCTGAGCTCTCCCTCAATTCATAACCAAAGCGATGAGTTCTCTTTGCATTGCTCTCCAAAGAAACTGAATAGTTGAACGTTGCGGTCTCCGTGTTTATTTTGCCAATGCCCAGAACATGCCCAAGCACGTGGCCGACGTCATAGGCTCCCGCGTAGGATCACAAGCAAATGACCTCGCGCAGCTTCATCGACTGCTTTTCACCTTCGCAGCAGACGATTTTATCGTTCCTGTCGTTTTCTGAGAATAGTTGTAATGAGATCTGTCACCTATCATGACAACTCCCCGGTTGCTGCCGGACATTAAACTCTTTTGAAGCTTTCCTTTGTCCCAGTCCCCTTGTTGACACGAGGCCAGCCAATGGGAAATTGAGTGTCGGCTTTGATGCTATGGCATTGGCATATCAACCGGCATTCTCCAACTCTAGTGCACGCAGATTCTTTCTTTGATGATAGCTTAGGTCTTCTCTACTCGCTTCCACCTTCTGTTCACGGAACTAGCTGTCCAGAACATCTCACATGATGGCTGGTCCTCTTCACACCTACGGACCGACCTGTCTTTTGGCTGACGATGACCCCGACCCTTCGACATGGTACTCTCTATCTGAGCCGCCCAAAGTTCGGGCGCAGTTTTTCTACACCTCGTCTCTACCGATCGATGATCCCTTAAGCGCACTGCCTCCGCCGTCCAGCGGTCAAAATGCGAAGAATGAACGGGCACCACCGCAGCCATTCTCTGTCAAGGACAACATAGCGCTCGAGGAAGCGTGGCGGCATCTTCGACAAACAATGAAGGAAAGGGCGGCCGGGTCAAAGAAGACTTCAAGCATCCCGAGAAATGCAGGTATAGCTGTACCTGGGAAGGAATCGGCCAGTGACACGGAGCGGAGTAGGCATACAGGCAGCCGTGGAGATGGAAGCCTCACTGGGATTGATGAGAGTCCGCCTAATGGCCATACTTCGTCTACCAATGACCAACTGTTTCACAGTAGCAGAGGAGAATCCCATGACGGAGTCGGTGGGGCGGGTGACGGTGTCTCATGGAGCAGATCGCAAGTTGGCTCTGCACAGGACGATGGGTCGGACAATCACAACCAGAGACAAAGGGAACTCTCCTTAAGCGGTCAACCCCATGCTGCAAAACGCGATGCAGGTACACCCTCAGCGAGCGAAAATCCATCAATGGGGGGATTCGACGGTGGAAGTCTACCGGGTAAATCATCTCACGATGCGAGCATTAGCGGCTCGCCGTTTGCCAGAGCTCCTATTGCTCAGTTACATAGCCCCCTAGGTCGCTCGGTTGAAACTGTCTCCTCAAAGGGTGGAAGCGCGAATATCCTGGCTGAACCCTATCACGTTGGGTCGCATCATACTGCGACGAAGCCCTCGGACCTGAGAAACAGTGTTGATCAAGACAACTCGTCAGAAGGACCTATAATGGAAGCTGGAGCAGTTGATCAGGAGGACACTTCTCAGTTGAAGGTCCCCGTCGGTGTTTCCCGACTTCACCTGGTGGAGTTACCGAATCTAAAGGTGGCATTTCCCTCAATTAGCCGAGTTCAGGATCTGACGGCGCTGATTCTCCTATAGATGAAACCCATATACTGGAGTCCTCTTCATGATGAATCGAATGTTCTGCGTGCTACTTGGTTTTACAAGAACACAATGCTTCCAGTAGAGACAGAGCTCGCCAACAAGCTCGAGGATGGATACATTTATCTGAAACCCTGGACGGACACATGGCAAGATGAACTCAACAGCTGCGTTGAGAACGGAGCCGACGCGGAAATGAAAATCGTGCACAAACTGTGGCCGAAACCCGATACAAAATCCCACAGCACACCTACTTCACGCCCTGGATCTAGCGCTCAGGTAAGAAGTGCGGGTCCGGATTCTGACTCGCCAACGTTTGAAGAAAATCGAGCTGCTGGTGGAGCGACTGCACATGCTGAAGCCGCCAAGCCCTTTTTGAATTCGAGTGTCATATATGTCGATGGTAGGAATGCTCAAATTCTCAGACCCAGCTTGCTTCCTTCAGTTTCAAGAGGGAGGCGACCTCTCAGTTCGATTCGCAAAGGTCGACATATTGGAATACCCGTGGTTCGTGGCTTCAGCCGTCGCTCATGGGAACAGCTTCATCCATCTAAACCCAGTCCTGTAGATGTAAGAAATTACCTCCGAATCCAGTCGCGAGCGATGTCCAGGACGGATGGTAGACAAGTCTGCTATGCCTGTGCAATGGAAGGATCGCGACCTACTCCGACGGACTTGGTGTTGGTCATCCATGGCATAGGTCAGAAGCTATCGGAACGTATGGAGAGCTTCCATTTTACGCATGCAATCAATGCCTTCCGCAGAAATATCAACATGGAGCTCAACAATGAGCCGGTCTGGCATCATGTGCGCCAGGGCCATGGCGGGATTATGGCCCTACCCGTCAATTGGCGATCGACGTTATCCCTGGCGGATGTCAGCCTCGAGTCTGAGATTTCTGATGATCCAACTGCAAACCATTTCTCGCTGAACGACATCACGCCAGAGACAATTCCGGCTGTCAGGTCGTTGATCAGTGATGTCATGCTCGACATTCCCTACTACTTGTCACATCACAAGCCGAAGATGATTCAAGCAGTTGTCAAAGAAGCGAATAGAATATTTCGACTGTGGTGCAAGAACAACCCCGGGTTCCAGAAGCACGGTCGTGTGCACCTGATTGCACACTCTCTAGGAAGCGCTATGGCTATTGATATTCTCAGTCATCAGCCGACCAAGCTACCAGACATTGATTTCGCAACGACGAGCGTTCACAATGATATTTTCGAGTTTGACACGAAGAATCTTTTCCTTTGTGGTAGTCCTGTCGGCTTTTTCTTACTCTTGAATAAAGGTACGTTGGATCTATGGATTACACAGGTTGTTCTACGGAACACCTGCTAACAAACTCTCCAGCGAACCTCTTGCCACGACGAGGTCGAGATAAGCCCGGCTACGAAGGCGAAGATCGACTTCGGGGTGTTGCAGGCGAGGCAGACACTTATGGTTGTTTGGCCGTTGACAATCTCTACAACATCATGCATACTACAGACCGTAAGCCCCTCCTTATTTGCCATTGCAATTGGGTGTAATGTTGACTCCATCAGCAATCGCATATCGTGTCAATGCCGCAGTGGACGTTGACCTTGCCAATTCTCTAAAGGCCGCTTCAATCCCGGGCACTTCATCCTCCTTCTGGGAATCCTTCGGCAGTGTCTTTCGCTGGAGCACGTCTACTGCTTCCGCGCCCATTCGTCCTGCCACCATTACCAAGCTCCCTTCCAACGTGGAAATGGAGACACATGATTTCACACGGGAGGAGATTGCAGAAAAACGCATGGTACTCCTTAACGATAACGGCCAAATAGACTATTTCATTTCCGGCGGTGGTGGACCACTGAACATTCAATATCTGAACATGCTGAGTGCGCATAGCAGTTACTGGATCCTAGCAGATTTTGTTCGCTTTGTCGTCATAGAGGTAGCCCGCGAGCAGGGGAGGGAATCGACATTGCCTGCATTCAGGGCTAAGAAGAAGGGATGGAAGATACATAAAGGTTGATAGATTAGAGATAATGACTCTGTGACTGGCATTGGCGTTGGGCGGAGATACCTACATATTGGCGTATTGCAGTGAAGCATCCTCTTCTGGGGGTGCTGAGGAAATATCAATCTTTATTGTGTTCATTCCGAGTATCATTGTACCTTAGCCACGAGACTACCATACAAGTTCATAGCATACTCATCGCCTTAGACTAGGCCTCCGGCACTACATTGCCGAGCATCAAAGCCTCCACTAGAGTACCCTTCTCCGCCTTCCCACTTCCCGGCCGAAGCACCAGCAGCGCATTGGCACTCGCAAGACTTCCCACTCTTGAGCTCCGCTGGCCAACACCCTCGAGACCGGTACTCGTGGCATACAGCCGGCCATCGGAGCACGAGGCAGTGACAATGGCACGGTGGTACTCTGTGCGCTTAGGATCAAGCGGAAACGGATGCGCCAGCGTGACAGACACAAGAGGCAGCCCCAGCGCAGGCGTTACTCCTGGGGCAGTCTGTCTCTGCCCCATTCCCATCATCTTGTGCAGCGAGGGAAGCACGAACAGATTCAACGTCACCAGCGCCGACGCGGGGTTCCCCGGGAGTGAGAAGATGAGTTTCGACTCGCGCTCCTGCTGCGCGGAGCCCGTCAGCGACGAAGGCTTGAATGGGATCGTGGCGAACGTCGTCGGCTTCCCCGGTTTCATTGAGACGCGGCCGAAGTGGATAGTGCCGCCGAGCGAGCGCTCGATGGTCGGCTTGAGCAGGTCCAGCTCGCCCATTGAGACACCGCCTGTGGTGACGATCACGTCGACGCTGGCACTTGCGCGCCCTACGCCGCGGAGGGCGTCGCGGAGGGCGTTTTCCAGTTCCGTGGGTGGTGTGTCGCGCGCGATCCCCAGGTCCACTGTGGGAAATCCCCATGAGGACAGGCAGGAGAGGAGCGAAGGGCGGTTGGAGTCGCGGATCTGGCCGCCGTGGAGTTTGGCTGGGTCGTTGTGTTCGACTAGCTCGTCGCCGGTGCTGAGCACGCCCACGCAGGGCTTCTTGTATACCTTGACGGTCTTGGTTCCTGTTGCTGCGAGGAGGCCGATTTCGCCCCCGACGGATGTGATGAGGTCGCCTTTGGAGAGGATTTTGGAGCCTAGGGCGACGTCACTCCCTGGCTCACGCACGTTCTCAAGAGGTCTGATGTCGCCTGTGAGGATTTCGATGGTGGCCTCTTCTTGACCGTCGGGTGTCGAGGACACCAGGACGGTGTCTTCTACCATCACGACTGCGTTCGCGTTGGGTGGGAGGGGTGCGCCGGTGGTTATTCTCGCAACGGTACCAGGTTCAAGAGGCGACAGCGTCCCTCCTGGGTTCGCGTGAGTGACGGAGGCTACGGGGAAGATCCCCTTGGTACTAGGCCCGGCCGTTGGTGAATCCGGTGCAATAACGGCATATCCATCAACAATGCTGGCGCGGTAGGCCGGTACTGCCTCTCCAGCGTAGACATCCTCAGCGACGACATAACCAACAAGAGAAGATGTCACAGGAACCTCGATGATAACCGGCTCTGGCGTGTGCTGGCTGATCAGTTTGAGAGCTTCGTCGACCGAAAGCATGGGGTAAGGAGATGAGCGATAACGACGGTTTGGTCCGGCATTCGGGTCGTTAGACTGAGGTCGTTCCGAAGGGGACGTATGCGCCCTTGGGACTACGTGTCCATGACCATGAGAATGCCCATGATTGTGGTGATGGTGATGGTGGTGGTGATGGTCATGCGATTGTGCTTTGCCCTCAGAGCTTTGGTTCTGAGAAGAGACACCAGCTTCAGCTTCTAGCTTCTTGACTCCACCTGCATGGAGAGCTCTGGAGTTTGCACCAGCCGCTTGAGTACAGGCATGCGGTAGGAGCTTGATGATAGCCTCAAGATTCTCCTTGGCTCCTTTCGGGGAACCTGGTAACGTGATCAAGAGCGACTTGTCTCTGACACCAGCAACAGGCCGAGACATCATCGCAACTGAAGGAATGGTCAGCTACTGCACTGAGTAGAATGATGTCTCCAGCCTTACACGGTGTCACTTTAAGAGAGGCGGCAAGCATGCCATGTCTGAGTCATGCCGTCAGTATCCATAGTCCATAATAAGTAACTTCGACAGCCGGCTTACACAATGCCAGGCGCATGGCGATGAATGAGAGGCGATACAGCCTACACAAGCCATTAGCTTCTCGTTTGGGTCTCTCAGAACAGCATAACAGACCTCGGGTGTATTATCCTTGACAGCAAACCCCGTACCACCGCTAATCAAAACCAGGTTAAACCAATCTGGACCATCTGTCCAGTTGCAGATCGTCCGCTGGATATCTAGCACATTATCTGGCACGATCTTGATGACGGGAGGGTCCCAGCTGTTCGACCCCTCGGCTGTAAATGAAGCGGTCAGAGTATCGCCGACCTTGTCAGTGGATGGATCCTGAGAAGCAGTATCCGAAACAACCAGAATTGCAGCCCTCAGTTTGCCGTCGGCCATCTTGGGTGTAAATGCTGCAGTGCGTGACTAATTCGTTGCTTGTTGGAGGTGCGGGGATACCTTACCTCTTAAGTAGTTCGATAAGCGGAATCGGAGATATATCACGAAGCTTCAGATAGCGGGGAGCGCTTTTGTGGTCAACTACCGTCATAATAGGTCCACGCTCCGCGGAAGTACAAACAAATGAATGATAAGGAATCCTCCATTAATTGCGCATATTCACAAAGCGCCAGAAAGGAAACAATACTGCCTCAGATATCTGAATTTGCCATCAATCCTGGACAACTCTTACTGTACATCATAGCGGACATCATCACCACAGCGAACAGCTAAATCATCAATGCAGCTCTCTACATACCGGAGAAGCTCTACAGTCAACCCAAATCCAGACGCCTTAATGCTTTATATAACAGACAGATAAAGGACGAAACAAGAAATTTAAGAAAGGGAAAATTGGTACGAGTGAATCCGGTCCGAATGAATCCAGCTTCGTTTCACGAGAAGTCTTCTGTCGAAGAAGACTGTTGTTGGAAGCCGAACTTAAGCCCCGAAGTCTGTCGCTTTTCCACCAACCAGAAGGCCGATAATAAGACCGAAGAGACCGAGGACAGAGCTGAAAATCTCGATGACGAGGATCTTGACGAATCTGTTCATAAAGACATTACATTATTAGCCATGCTTCCGAAGGTGGGACCTGAGGGGAATGGGAACGAACAAGCTCGGGTCAGCCGCATCGGCCAGAGCTGCACCACTTCCGTTGATGCCAACAGAGATACCACAGATCAGATTGCATGCGCCCACTGTGATACCTCCCCAGAAGAGTGCATAACCCGTGTAATAATTGCTGCCGGAAAAGATCTCGTCGCCCTCGACAAGGTTGAGTTTCGATGAAAACACGATAGCCATAATAACTCCGTAGATAGCGACGACTTCACAGAAAATGATAGAGATCAGATTCTTTGTCCGAATCCGTGGTGCTTTGACACCTCCGCCGACAATGGATGAGCCCGTTAAGAAGATACCCCTGATGACGTAGGTCAGTAACTGACAGGATCAATGCTACCAAAACCGAAGTTGTATAGCGGCTCGTACCATGCTGCTCCGACAACAGACAACCCTATGCACAAAGCAATACCAATATTTGCCCAGGCGTATGGTGAAACGGACTCGAGGAAGTGGCCAACCTAAGAGATGTCAACGAGACCAGGTCATGCGGAGGGGAAACGAAGGTATCAATTCATACATTGAACTGTTCACCATCACCATGAAATAGCATGTCTGGATAATCGTGTTAGTACATCCAGACATTGCGCGAGATTCATGGTGTACTTACACCCTCCTATCACGAGGAGTGACACGGTTGCAGCCCCAGCTCCATAATAGAGGACCATGGCGATCTTCAACCCTTTCGCGCAGCCTGTAAACTCGAAATAAGAATATCAAGCTGCAGGGGTCTCAAATAGAGCTGCAGATAGTTGGTAAGCGATAACGTTGGAGCTCTGTTTGGCGCCAGTTCGTCTTGCTGAAACACCAAACAGGTAGGTCAGTCGGCTGAGATGGTGGTTCGGCCCGAGTTTAATCCGTCGGTCGGCGGAGCTCGTAGTTCACCGTACTGGCTCTAGCCTGTCAAAGCAGAGACTAAAGCCGGTCTGTCTTAGGCAGGCTCTTAGCCAGATACCTTAGACCAGCTATTCACGTACCCCAGACTGACCCATGGATCAAGCTCCTCTCCAGGCGACCATCTGAACGACTCGCACGGCTGATCTGGCCGCGACCACATCGGTGTTAAAACGGAAAAGCTTTTTGATTTTATACTCTCATATCCCTAGCCTAGCGTCCTTCTTCTCGATCTCTTCCATCCCCGCTGAAGTATAAAGACTGAACCCGCGGCTACCTCTACTACCCCTTATTCTCTTGTCACCGCTCCTCACTCACACAACTCACCATGGCTTCCTCCGGGGTTGGGTCATATTCGAACCCCTTGAAGAAATTCAAGTGTGTTTTTCGGCGCGGAAGCGTATTGTCCTCTGACCCCAATCGCTAACAGATCGATAGGCTGGTATTTTTAGGAGAGCAGAGCGGTACGCACAACCTTCCGGGAGCGATCACACGGGGTTAAGACACGATAAGGGTGGCTTCTGACATATTTTGCAGTGGGGAAGACGTCTCTGATTACCAGATTTATGTATGATTCGTTCGACAACACATACCAGGCGACTATCGGAATCGACTTTCTGTCCAAGGTAGATTTCACCACGCTCACTGACATTTTGCGTCGGGGTTCACGAATACTTTTACGGTTGCCCATCACCGAATATGCGGGTTAGCTAACCTGTCCTCGCGCATTAGACGATGTATCTGGAGGATAGAACAGTCCGACTCCAGCTCTGGGATACGGCCGGTCAAGAGCGATTCCGATCTCTGATTCCTTCCTACATTCGAGACTCGAGCGTCGCAGTTGTCGTCTATGATATCTCAAACGCCAAGTCATTCCAAAATACCCGGAAGTGGATTGATGACGTTCGTGGTGAGCGGGGCAACGATGTGATCATCGTGCTAGTAGGCAACAAGACCGATTTGAATGATAAGCGGGAAGTGACTACAGCTCAAGGCGAAGAGGAGGCAAAGAAGAACGGACTGATGTTCATCGAGACTAGCGCCAAGGTTGGCCACAATGTGAAGCAACTTTTCAGGAGGATAGCCCAAGCCCTTCCCGGAATGGAGGGTGAAGCAAACAGAGAATCGCAAAGTGCGTTGATTTTCCGCAACTGTTGGCTTGCTGCTTCTGAGACTGACTCCTCTTCGTACAGTGATCGACGTCAACATCAACCCCAGAGAGACGACAAGCAACGATGGATGCGCGTGCTAGTTTTATATCAACCTTTTGATTACCTGTCTATAATTGCTACTCGCTCCTTTGATGATTTGATCTCAATGACGATAATTGAGATTGTCCATAATATTTTACCATTCTTAACATGTACATTGCCTTCTCCATTCCATGTTTCAGGTTGAACAGCGTTTTTAGATTGAAGTCTTTTCAATTTTGCGCCTCTCCAGTGTGTTGGTCTCAAAGTGGTCATCGCCGGGTTGCTACAAGGCAGAGAATGGTGTTCTACATGCACATCATATGAGCGTATCATTGCCCCATGGACTCATCGTCAAGGATTTCTGTTGCGTCGGCATTATTGGAAGATTATCCACCCCTTTTGTGTGTGCCGATGTGCATTGACCTCGTCAATTGACAAAAGGAGGCTGATATTTCCAAGCCTCATACATTCAAGTACAATTGAATCCAGTCTCTGGCCATCTAGTCGGGCAGGCAGAAACATTCGCTCTCAGATGCACTACAGCCGTCCTACTCAATACCACAAAATAGCTCTAAATGTGACTTGGTGTTTACCCTTTTTGTGGCAGATGCCAAGCCATAGAGGTTGCCTGATGTTTCTTACTGAACTACAGAGTAGTCTACCGCTGAAAATGACCATAGATGCATCCGGAGTTGAGATTGGAAATAATGTAACACACTGGTTGCAAGAAAATGGAAGAGTTAATTCTATCTACCACATCGTAATGTCGAGAAAGACTTAGGATTATGAGAATAAGATAATAATGTCGTTGTCATCATTGCCATTCAATCAGGGCTCACTATTATTCGCATTACGGTCTTCTTGAGTAGTCTTAGCCTCTGGTAAACGAATACGAAAAGGTAGCGATCAGCGGGCGGATCGCCCGGAAAACCAAGCCCGCCCCTGTGCAACAGCCGCTTAGGTTGGGCATTCCAACAACCCAGCACCAGCCTCGTCTGCCATCTTTCATTCTCTTCATCCGATCCCGACTTGTCGTTCTACCATCATCTTCTTCTGTCATTCCATTCCCTTTCCTCTTTCTGCCGTCCTTGAGCCACGAGCGGTTTCCCTCACCGACCTCATCGGCGGCATCCATCATGGGGTTTTCAACCCGTTTCCTCCGCGTGCCGCGGCCAGAGGTACGTCAATTTTCATCGCATGACCTCAAAACGAAGGAACTGCAACACTCTTGCATTCGTCTTTTGACTGATCTGTCAAGTGTGCAAATGCTAATTAACAATGACTCCAATAGACATTTCTTTATGTGATGAGCCTGGAGACAGGCGCTTCTTTAATCACACTTTCCCTGCTGCTGAACAAGATCAGCGGTCTCTATGGCCTGCTCGCCTTATTGACCGGCTACCATCTGTCGCCAGTCCAGCTCTCTATGTACCTCTATTCGCTTATTGCGCTCGGTCTTACAGCATATCTTTTCCCGCATATTCGGAAGCAGTCGCCCCTGCAGTGCCTCGCCCTCGCTTGGCTCTACCTCTTCGACACAGTCATCAATGCCGCATACACAGCTGCGTTCGGTGTGACATGGTTCCTCGTTATCTCACAGCACTACGATAACGGGACCGCAAAGGGACCGGGCAGCGACACAATCTCCCAAACCGCCGGCTTCACCAACCCCAAATACGGCTCCTCGTCCACCAATGGAAACTCCGCACGAAGCCCGGACGGCCTCACCAACGCCGTCACCCAGCCCGAGAGTTTCCAAAGCATTATGTTCATCTGCTTGCTATGGATTATCCGCATTTACTTCGTGTTCGTCATGCTCGCCTTTGCCCGCCAGACATTACGTCTCTACATCGCAATCCCCCGCCACACACAGCTTCCCACGCACAGCCGCAATACCTCCGTTGCTAGCGTTGCTAGTGTTGCTGATATCGACCGGGAGCCGTTCTCGCCATATAGTCCTGATGGTCAAGGCTGGCAGGGCAAGCTTGGCCGCCTTATGATTGGCCTTGGTCGCAGTTACTGGCTGGGCGAAGACGAGGACGGTGCCTGGTTGGACAGCATGGGTCGCAAGTTTCGTGCTCGCGGTCAGGAGCTTCCTGGTCCTTTGGAACGAGAAAGAAGGCGCCGGTCGGGCACCGGGCCTCCACAGCCCTCGCAAGCCACAGTTCAGGCCGCCGCACTGCAGCAACCGATCCCGGAGAATCTGAAGATGCATGACTGGACTGACGGCCGGTGATTCGCTTCGGTTACCAGCATATATCGCTGCCTAGCAGCCGGCACACTTTGTTCACATAGTGACACGTGATGTCATCTGGTCCTGCCACCCCACGTCCTGCCTAATTGCTAGGGGTCGTGGCCGGCCCTCGTTGCGCTCTTGTCCTTGTATAGAATCAGTCCGACAAGGCTCGCCACTGTTGATAATCCCTTGTTACCCTTGGCTCAAAGTCGTTGTGACGTTATTTGTTCCTGTTACTTATTTTATATGCCGAAATGATCTACATAACATGGTTGGGTGGGGACTTGGGCTCTAGGGTGACTGCTTGATGATTCATGTCTTTTCCCCTTCGCTTTTGATGATGTCTTCAATGGAAGAGGCGTTCGGGTCAGGTTTTCTCGGATATGGCATGCGGATGTAATTGGTGCTGACACGTGGAATCAGAAAGTAGAGGGGATCATGGATCTACTCTGGTGGACGCCTGTTCCCTCGGCTGTGGATGGCTCGGGAGTATAGGCCCTGTATATTTCATAACGATATGGGTTTAGCATTTAATATGGGCGTCTTGAGAAATTCATCATCATCAATTGAGACAGTTTCCGTCTTCAAACTTATTGCATATAACTTCGCAGCAGCTGACCAAGCAGCCAATCTGTTTTGAAAGTGATGGCATCCATGAGAGAGGTCATCCAGTCACTACCTTAGTAGTTGATTCCTGATTTATTGATATGACACCAAGCTCTCGCCCGAGAGACTGGCCTGAGGCACCTTGGTAGCGGCGAACTGTGCAGAATAAGCAAGGCGCGACAGTTAATCATCCATAAGAATCTCAGCGTTTCAGTCTGTTACTTAAGAGAATTCCACTATTAGACATTCATTTTACTCTAGTCTAAACTAGATATATGACAACGACGGACAGTAGCTCTGCTTCAAAAATAACAGAATCCCGATACTTGTTGACTGTCCTTCTCGTCAGATCATTAGCTCGGTGACCGATTCAAACACCGTCGCCAAGACGTCAAAACGTGAGGAAGAAAAACTGACGTGCTCGAGCTGACAGTCACGGGACCCCGCACTTCCACCGAAACGGCAAGTTTGCTCCTGGGCCGGATGAGTGTTTGCATCGATGTCGTGATCGTAGCCCAATCAGAAGGCTGATGATCCAACCCCCGATGGCGGAGAGGACGGTGTACTCAGTGCCTTTTTTCCCGTTGTCTGCTTTTTTTTTGGGAGATAATTGTGAAGAAGTAGGAGAGTTTTTACTTAAATCTCATTTGAGTGCCTTTCTTTCCTTCCGCATATTCTGTTTGTTCTTCTGTCAAGGTTGCATTGAGTGGGAGTCGCCCTATGCGGTGATATCTACATTTCTGCACATATAGTTCATCCCACCTTCTGCGCAGTGAAGAGCGCAGTGCACATCTACCAGATATGGCATCCATTTCATCTGCTGCGGAAGCAGGTTAGTTCTTCTTTTCCAATGCATGCTGATTGTCATGTTCCAAATGGAACGTTCTCCCTACGATCAATAGCTAATTATTCAAAAAAGCTGCACGAGTTGCCTACCTTGTCAGCGACACTATCCTCTCTGTTCAGCCATCTTTGCAGACAGATTCTCTGTTCTCAAAGCCCCTCAAGGCTCTGAAGGCGAGCAATGCTCGTAGCATCCTCCCTAGATCTGCACCCGAGGTGAGTGAACTCGCAACATGCCTAGTCATGGAGATTTTGCAGAATTATGATTGACACTGTGGACAGGTGGTAGCGGTACGCTCTAATGAAGACCCTCTACTTTCTGCCTTCCATCCACTGCAGGCAGGCGACGCAGTTTCCGTCGTCACCGGCTCTTCTGTCCTGCTCTCGTCCGTTCCTCACCTATACCGCTTAGCGAACTCTCCCATTGTCATCCATGTCGCCCTGGAGCCCTCCCCATTCCCAGATTACTCCGTCATCAGCTCGATACGCCAGTGTGGCTTCACCTTCTTGCATTCCGAGACAATCCATGAGGCACAGGATATTGCCATTACCGCCCATGCTCTAGCACACAGATCCGGAAAGGGTGTCATTCATTTCTTTGATCCTGCCAACTCCGCAAACGAGGATGCCATTGAAGCGGAAAATGTGGACGTTATTAGGTCTCTGCTCAACCTGGGCAGAAGCACTGCGTCCCAGTCTGGAGCACAGACACTATATGCCGACTCCGGTCGTGTAGCCACCGTGTCTGAGGAAGTTGCGGAGAGCTCCGCTGCGCAAGGTGGCATTGCTTCCACCCTCGCGCCGCCAGCCCAGACTCCTTCAAGCGTCAGTGTTGATAACTCATCCGTCGGATCGTCACGGAGAGATAGCAGCACGGACAGCCATGCCACCAGCTCTGCCGCCACAACCGTTGATGCTGCCGCTTCCGTCCGTCCAGTCAGCGCTGCCGACATCTTCGAGTGGACCGCCCAGATCTGGAGGATTCTGTCCCAGAGCACTGGACGCACCTACCGCGCGATTGAATACACTGGACCCTCGGATGCCAAGTCGGCCGTCTTCATCTTTGGCTCTACCGGAGTATTCGTTGATGTTCTCGCAAAGGCGGAAGCCAACAGTGAGCTAGAGAACATCGGACTCATCACTGCTCGTCTTTACCGTCCCTGGATCGGAGGCCAGATTGTGAATTCCATTCCGAGCTCTGTCGAGAAGATTGCCGTTCTCGAGCAGGTTCGCAAGACTACCAAGTGGGGTCCCTCATTCATGGATCTATTGTCCAGCTTGACCCCTCTGCTGGCAGACCGACCCCTCAAATTGTTGGGTACAGACTTGGATATGTCGAGCCTTCTACTGCAGTTCAGGCACTGCGCGGTATCGTCCATAACTTGAACTCTTCCTCCCCTATTCAGAACCTCGAGATCGGCAGCGCCAAGGTTCCCGCCGCTGAGCCCTCCTTGGAGCAGCCTCACGTTGAGAACGCCTACCTGAAGATCCTGAACCAACTATTTGCTGAGCGTCTTCACATTGCCAATCAGTTGGGCTCTCAGGATGCCGGCGTTTCTTTCACTATCGCCGCGAGCCCTGAATATGGATTCGGTTCGCTGATCGCCAGGAAGGAGCGCCGTCAGCGCTTCGTCCGCGAGGTCGAAGAAGCTTCAAAGTCCGCTGACTTCATCTCCGATTCCTCCAAATCCTCGTTGTCTAATTGGGCGCTGAATGTCAAGGACGCTTCAAAGGCGAACAAGCTGGCTTCTGAAGTGATTGACACTCTCTCCAAGGACGAGTCTCAGCTAGCCAAAAAGCTCCTTGAGTCGAGGAAGCTCTTTTTTGAAGAGTCCCAATGGCTCATCGGTTCCGACGCGTGGGCTTACGATCTCGGCAACTCTGGTGTACACCATGTTCTCGCCTCCGGAGAGAATGTCAACATGCTTATTATTGACTCCCAACCTTACTCGGAGCGTGCTGCCGCCGATCCGACTCGCAGGAAGAAGGATATCGGATTGTACGCCATGAACTTTGGCAATGCTTACGTCGCCTCTGTTGCCGTTTATGGCTCCTACACGCAGGTTCTCCAGGCAATGGCCGAGGCCGAGCAATTCAAGGGTCCTTCGGTCGTTGTCGCCTATCTGCCCTACAACCAGGAAAACGACTCCGCTCTCACTGTTCTTCAAGAAACGAAAAAGGCCATTGACCTTGGGTACTGGCCTTTGTACCGCTGGAACCCCGAGAATGAGGCGAAAGGCGAACCCAAGTTCGCTCTCGACTCCGACCGTCTCAGACGGGAGCTCGAGGAGTTCCTTCGCAGAGACAACCAACTCACCCAGCTCATGAACCGGAAGCCCAAGTTCTCTGCTGTTCTCTCCGAATCATACGGCACTGAAGTCCGCGCCCTACAGAAGCGTAAGGCCAAGGATTCGTATGAGCAGCTGCTTGAGGGTCTTTTTGGAGCGCCTTTGACAGTCCTCTTTGCTTCTGATGGCGGCAACGCTCAAACCCTCGCCAAGCGTCTCGGAAACCGGGGTCGTGCTAGAGGACTGAAGACCATGGTCATGGCCATGGATGATTACCCGGCTGAGGATCTTGCGACCGAGGAGAATGTGGTTTTCATTACCAGTACTGCTGGCCAGGGTGAATTCCCTCAGAACGGTCGCAGCCTCTGGGAAGTCATCAAGAACTCTGGTGATTTGGATCTCTCCACTATCAACTACTCTGTCTTTGGTCTTGGTGACAGCCACTACTGGCCTCGCAAGGAGGATAAAATCTACTACAACAAGCCTGCCAAGGATCTCGACGCGCGTATCGCTTTCCTCGGAGGCCGCAAGCTCACTGATATTGGTCTCGGTGATGACCAGGACCCAGACGCTTACCAAACCGGCTACTCTGAGTGGGAGCCTCGTCTTTGGCAAGCTCTCGGTGTCGACAAAGTTGAAGGTCTTCCAGAGGAGCCCGCGCCCCTGACCAACGAAGACATCAAGATCCAGTCTAACTACTTGCGCGGTACCATTGCTGAGGGCTTGTTGGATGAGACCACTGGTGCCATTTCCGCTAGTGACCAACAGTTGACCAAGTTCCACGGCACCTACATGCAAGACGATCGTGATGTCCGTGATGAGCGCAAGGCTCAGGGTCTTGAGCCAGCCTACAGTTTCATGATCCGTTGCCGGCTTCCTGGTGGTGTTGCTACTCCTTTGCAATGGATTCAGATGGACGACATCAGCAGCGCATACGGCAACGAGACCATGAAGCTCACCACAAGACAAACCTTCCAGTTCCACGGTGTCATCAAGCGCAACCTTCGTTCCGCCATGCGTGCTATCAACAAGGCCCTCATGACAACCATTGCTGCTTGCGGTGATGTCAACCGTAACGTCATGTGCAGTTCTCTGCCCGAGCTCTCCTACTTTCACCGCGAAACCCACGCAGTCGCTAAGAAGATTAGCGACCACCTGCTTCCTTCCACCACCGCCTATCACGAGATTTGGCTGAAGGATGATGACGACAACAAGGTCCAAGTGGCAGGAGATGCCGTTCAGGACCACGAGCCCTTGTACGGTCCCACATACCTTCCTCGAAAGTTCAAGATCACCATCGCCATCCCTCCTCACAACGATACTGATGTCTATGCGCACGATATTGGTCTGATCGCCATCAAGGGTGCTGACGGACACCTTGAGGGCTTCAATATCCTCGCCGGTGGTGGTATGGGTGCAACTCACAACAACAAGAAGACTTACCCTCAGACCGGTCGTATGTTTGGTTACGTACCAGCTGATCAGGCTCACATTGTCTGTGAGAAGATCATGCTCGTTCAGCGGGACTTCGGTGACCGCAAGAACCGTAAGCACGCTCGTCTCAAGTACACCATTGACGACATGGGTGTTGAGACCTTCAAGGGCAAGGTGGAGGCTCTCCTTCCCGATGGGTTGCGTTTTGCCGAGCCCCGCCCGTTCAAGTTCGCTTCCAATGTCGACACCTTTGGCTGGCAGAAGGATGAGACTGGCTTGAACCACTTCACCTTTTTCATCGAGAACGGTCGTATCGAGGACACAGCTGAGTTCACCATGCGTTCGGGCTTACGTGAATTGGCCAAGCTCGACAAGGGAGAGTTCCGTCTTACAGGTAACCAGCATCTGATCCTCTCCAACATCAAGGATGAGGACTTGCCTGCTGTCAAGGAAATCATGGCCAAGCACAAGCTCGACAACACCTCCTTCAGCGGTCTGCGTCTGTCTTCCTCTGCCTGTGTCGCGTTCCCCACGTGTGGCCTGGCCATGGCGGAGTCTGAGCGCTACCTTCCTGTGCTGATCTCTAAGCTGGAGTCGACCCTTGAAGAAGTTGGCTTGGCCCGTGACAGCATTGTTATGCGTATGACCGGTTGCCCGAACGGTTGCGCCAGGCCCTGGCTCGCCGAGGTCGCCTTTGTCGGCAAGGCCTACGGTGCCTACAACATGTACCTGGGCGGTGGTTACCACGGACAGCGTCTTAACAAGCTGTACCGCCAGTCTATCAAGGAGGATGAGATCCTTGAGATCATGAAGGTTCTGCTCAAGCGGTACGCACTTGAGCGCAACACCGACGGTGAGACTCCGGAGCGCTTCGGAGACTGGTGTATCCGGGCTGGCGTCATCAAGAAGACCACGGATGGCACCAACTTCCACGAAGGGGTATGTTGACCTATCACTCACTATTCTTAAGGCTTCTGAGCAGTTACTAACCTCATCTAAAGGTTGCTGAAGAGGATGAAGAGGACGAAGAGTGAATGATGATGAAAAGTTACGCTTAATCTCCTTGTTGGATAACAGGACGCGTACTGTTTTGATTTTACCTTTGATGATAAATGTCCCGCTCCGAGATATGCTCGTCATGCCTCCAGATAAACCTGTCATTGTCCTTTGCATTGCATTTTAGATCAAAATACATCTTTAATTGCGTCGCTTGGCGTAAAGAACTAATGAATCAGGAGTCCCTTTCGTAACTGGCCTTCAAAGGTCATATCTATTGTCTCTCTTGGATAGGTGAGGCCAACGCTTCATACAGTAGGCGGTGTACAACCAAAAATTAATTTCTGCCGCTTATCCTGCAGTCACTTTTGCAAGCTTCTCCAAATGTAGAAAGCTGCAGATCAGGAATTCGAGCCATCCGAGAAGCCGTTCAAACATTCTTTTCTCCTCTAGTCTGGTTGAACTTCTGGACACATCGTCCTTTATTTCCGCAGTGACCGGGGCGCCCAGGCATCAATCCCTTTGAAAATTTGACCCGCCAAATTTACCCCTCATGGACGACTCAGATCCCGTCATCGCATCCTACGATGTGTACCTTACAGACTCCGAGATCTCCAGATTCGTTCTCCAGTACTTAGACCGATCCGCCGAACATCCCTACGACGAGGGCCACGAACAGAAACCGACTGCGTTCCGATTGAAGCCGAACACCGGTCTCGTGGAGGTTGATGTGCCGATCCAGACACGAGTGAACTACGATGTCAGTAAGGGACAGCGATATGGCGATGCCATGAGAAGGTCCCGCAGCGCCCGGGATGGAGGCTCCCACGGCTTGGCTGGCGGGTTCAGCTCGGGGGCTGCTGCGGGCGGCGGGAAGGTGAAGATGGAGGGGAACGTGGATGTGGAAATGGGCGGGATGGATAGCAAGGAGGGGTCTGATATTATGCGGGTGCAGACGCTTGGAGGGCGGATTAAGGGTCCTGAGGATGGGGACCCGGTGTACATGCTTGCGGCGTTCCGTGGACGTGGGTGGTCCCCCTTTGCTTATTCCTGTGTCTTGCAATGAAGAGGAATTGCTGACGTGGTATTTGCAGAGAATTTGCACCTGTCTCCTGTTTCTGCTGTCGTGCAGTTGCACCCTCAGCTTCATCATATAGATGCCTTGGATGAGATCCCTGCGAAGGGGAGGGGTAAGGCCCGGAAAGAGGGCGAGGAGGAGCAGACTGAGGCTCGCGCGATTGACGTGAAGATCAAGGCGGCTGAGGATGCGGAAGCGGTCATGGTTGCGGGCAACCTGGAACTGCTTAAGAAGATGCAAGATGAGAAGTGGACTACGTATGAATGGGTGGATGCAGAGGTTGGTCTTTCGACTGTTGTATACCGGGAGAATCCCAGATGTGCTAACTTATTCTCAACCAGACCGAGGAAGCATGGCAGACGTACGAGAGCTACATGATCCAGCAGGACCTGGAGAATGTTCCGCAGCTTGAGGCGGCCATTGATAGCGAAGACTATCTGGACAGGATGAGCGCACCACGTATCGACCCAGCTCGACCAGAGATGACGGGATGGGCGATGAAGCAGAACCGGAAGAGGCAAAAGGAACATGCTGGCTCTGTCGGAGTCAATGCGCAAGGGTGAGCGTCGATATTGCACTTGAAGGGATGAATTAATGTACGATTGCCACGATGTATAAATATTCCATTTGTAGAACCTGGCCATTATGGATCATAGAGTGGCTACCGCTATTCTACGTCCTAATCTTCTAATTCGGATAACTCGACCATTCAACAAGTGGTATTTCGAGCTCACTAAGGCTAGACACCTAGTACCTACCTGCGGTATTAATCGCCAGGCGTATGACACTCCTCAATCACTTCCTTTCTCATGCACTTTCGCTGAGGATAACTACATGAAAAAAACAGGAAATATTCAATTGCTCCCGTCGCAACCACAAACGAGCCGACATTATTCGTAAGAGATCAAAAGAACCCTAACGAAACAATAACCATTGTGGCTTCCTATAGATCATCTTTTTATCGATGCTCCCCTTGATAGGCTCCATAGTATCTTTGCCACCTTAATCCGCCCAATCACGAAGCTCTAAAAAATTACCACCCAAGTAGCAGCTCACGTGCCTTATCGCCCATCGCTCCAACTGATTAGGAATAGCCGGTATTTTTCTTCTCTCCGGGCTCCCGTGTTCCTGGAGGCGGCCGACAGTTTGTTCTGCTTCTTTGCAGATTTTCATCCTCCTTCCCTCATCCCATAATTAATTCAATTCCTCTTCCTGTCGTTCTTCCATTTTATCCGAGAAGAGCTGCCGGACGGCTTGTCAGTTCGGATTGTCCCAGTCCGCCTGGCAGAGTCGCTTTTCTCCCATCTGGTCTGATTTTTTCGTTTCTCAGGCCGCCTTCTCCGTCTCCAATGAATCCGCGCTTTACTTGCCATTAATCCTATACTCTATTCCGATTCCCTTCTATCTTTTGATTTACTGCCTTATAATTCATTCTTTATCTGTCTGTCTGTTCGTTTAGCGGTGTTCGTGCATCATGTTGTCCCGAGTCGCTCGCCAGAAAAATGCCATCGGCCTATTGCGACAGTCGAACGGACGCCGTCTACTGCCTTCAGTGGCAGCGCTGCGATCCCATGCCAACTCCAGCAAACCGGCATTGCTGGCAAGTCCATCCGTGACCACTCCACAAGAACAATCTCGTCGACCTTCGTTTCAGTCCAATCGGACTCTTGCCACTGCCGCCGATCAGTCTGCCGTCGACCAAGGATCCTATGCATCGTTCGACGACTCACTTTATGCGCCAGAGAACTTCTATGACCCATCACAGCAGTGGTCTCAGCTGTTCCCTTCGCTGCCTGCTAAAGAACTCGATCCTTCGTCCCTGATCATCGTGGGCGAGTCATTACAAACGAAACCCAAAGTATTGCGGAAGGTGAGAGGGATCGGCGGCGATGAGGATGAAATGCTGGCCAATTTGGATGTGTCTCTCAAGGTTGGACGCTTTGATCGGGCTGCTACGCTCATTAATCGATTGGGACAACATTACCCTGTCGGTTCATCGGAGTACCTGGCTATTCACAATCGCTATTTGGAAAAGATGGTATCACACATGATTGTTACAAGGCAGCATAATATGGTACTGCCGATGCAGAGGTGGTTTGAGCTTGATATGCCAAACGGGGGCGTGAAACCGGACGCAACAACATATGCAATTATGATACGGATGGCACTTCGCATGCTTCATGGCTCGAAGCGAGACAGAGCAGTGCGAAGATATTGGCAATTCGCCAAGAAGGATAATATCGAGGAGGAAGTGCTGGCAGTCCCTGTTCTCTCGGAATTGGAGCTCGGAGAACTCTCAGAGGTTCGTACTTTACATCTACTTACGGTGCTTCCCTTCAGTTTTAGTTACTGATTCTTCGGGTTACTTTAGATCTGCTCATCTGACCTTCAACGCGTTGCCATCGGCAGTATTGGATCTGAACCCACACCCGCTGTCGCCGTCAGCTCGCAGATGGATAACTTGGCGGAAGTTAGACCGGTTGAGCAAAAGGGTCTCGGGCTTTCCTCCCTCAAACAATCTCTCTCCCTCTTTCTGAGCGAATCTAGTTCCTCGGCGCCCACCGACCCCGAACAGAAGCAGGCTTTTGATGAACTCAAACAGCGTCAACTGGAAGCTGACTCGATACGGTCTGCTATGGATCGTTGGCGTCAGGAGTTTGATAACAGACAGAAATTGGGCCTTGATGCCACCGCTGGTGGGAAGAAATTAGGGTCCATTATGACCGAGTGGCACTCTAGCCTCGTTGCTAGGATCAAGGAGGAACTTGAGCTTGTTGCTGAAGCGGAGGCAAATCCCATTCGCACTCTTGAGCAGAAAGAGCGCTGCGAATATGGCGTGTACTTGCGATGTCTGGATACAGACACTTTGGCAGCGCTCACCATTCTGGCTGTCATGTCTACTTTCAGCCGCGGTGGGATGGAAAAGGGTTTGAAGGTTTCTGCAGTTGTTTCGACGATTGGTAAAGATCTTCAGGATGAATTGATAGCGGAGGCTGCCCTCAAAAATGAAGCAGGCGCAGACTCTCGGCGACTCAAGGCACTGAAGGAACTCCTCGCGGGGCGCAAGAAGAAGGACGGTCGTGCCAAATGGCATGCGCTCGTTCAGAAGATGCAGCAAGAGGATGCGACGATCATGTGGTCGCCACGAGTGACTGCAAAGATCGGCGCGGTATTGATGAGTCTGCTATTCGAGGTCGGTAAGGCACCGGTGACTATGGAAGACCCCGAAACCAAGAAGAAAACGGTCACGATGCAACCCGCCTTCCAGCATGCTTATCAGATCACCTGGGGAAGGCGTACGGGCTACCTCCACCTTCATCCAGCAATCGTCCAGATTATCGCCAAAGAACCGACTGCCGATCTTCTCGGTCGGCATTTGCCCATGGTCTGCAAGCCCCGACCCTGGAAGGGCATGAAGCAGGGGGTTTCTTGTTGTATCAATCCGATATTGTGCGGACGACACCCGGTGAAAGTCTCCAACCCACGTACATCAAGACTGCCTTGGTAAACAACGGCCTTGAGGACATTCGCCGGGGTTTGGATAATCTTGGCAGCACAGGGTGGACCATCAATCGCGACGTCCTCAATGTTATGCTCGAAGCATGGAATTCTGGAGAGGCGGTCGCAAACCTTGCTCCTCTAGAACCCGACCTACCACTTCCGCCCAAGCCAGCTCCCGAAGCGGGGTATCACGCTGAAAAGGAATGGGATACTCTGGTACGCGAAGTTGAAAACAGGAGATCTGGATTGCACTCGATGCGGTGTTTCCAGAATTTTCAAATGGAACTCGCTCGTGCGTACAGGAATGTCACCTTCTACCTTCCGCATAACATGGACTTCCGCGGTCGTGCTTACCCACTTCCCCCGTATCTTAATCAAATGGGTGCAGACAACTCCAGAGGTCTTCTGCTGTTTAGCGAGGCGAAGCCATTGGGAGCCAGTGGTTTGAGGTGGTTAAAGATTCAGATCGCGAATCTTTCGGGTTTTGACAAGGCTAGCATGTCTGAGCGTGAACAATTTACCATGGATCACTTGGACGATGTGCTTGACTCGGCGGACAAGGGTCTTCACGGCAGACGCTGGTGGCTCAAGGCGGAAGATCCCTGGCAATGTTTAGCTGCCTGTTGTGAATTAAGAAATGCCCTTCGCCATCCGGATCCGACCCAGTACCCGTCCCGCTTGCCTATCCACCAGGATGGTTCGTGCAATGGATTGCAGCATTATGCGGCACTTGGAGGTGATAGCGTCGGTGCCCAGCAGGTCAATCTCGAACCATCCGATCGCCCGTCCGACGTCTACACCGGTGTTGCCGAGTTCGTCAAACAAGAAGTTGCGCGGGAGGCGGCCCAGGGTCACCCTATCGCTAAGATCCTTGACGGAAGAATTACAAGAAAGATTGTAAAGCAGACAGTCATGACCAATGTGTACGGCGTCACTTTCATGGGAGCCATGAGGCAGGTCCGCAAGCAACTTATCGACCATTACCCCGACCTGTCCTACGACGATAAAAAGAATGGTTCTTTGTACATTGCCCGCAAAATCTTCGAAGCTTTGGGTACGATGTTCAATGGGGCGCATGAAATCCAGCACTGGCTTGGAGACTGCGCGAGTCGCATCACAACGTCACTGTCCCCCGAGCAGATTGAGCAAATTGCGAAGGAGGCTTTGACGCCTTCGTCTTCAGGTGGATCCGCAGCGAAGCTCAAGGATCCGTCTGAGAGATTTAGGTCTACAGTTATCTGGACCACGCCTCTTGGACTGCCTGTGGTCCAGCCGTACCGCGTGCGAAAGGCTCGGCGTATCACCACAACTCTTCAGGATCTCAGTATCGTCGATACTAATTCGGAAGACGTGGTTTCGAAGCGGAAACAGTTACAGGCTTTTCCGCCAAATTTCATCCACTCTCTTGATGCCACTCACATGATCATGTCTGCAAACGCCTGCAACCAAGCCGGCTTGACCTTTTCTGCGGTCCACGATTCGTTCTGGACGCACGCGTGTGATGTCGACTCCATGAACCAGATCCTTCGGGAAGCCTTTGTTCGTATGCACTCGGACGATATCATCAGGAGACTCGCTTCTGAGTTTCAGGTTCGGTATGGGCAGAACCTGTTCCTTGCGAAGGTTGACGCGAGCACGAAGATCGGACGTGCGATTCGTGCCTTCCGAAAAGGCGAGAAGAAGAAATCGGGAAAAATCCAGGAGCTTCTGGACGAGTACAGGAGGCAGCAGCTCTTGAAGTCGGATGACCCAGAGTTGCAAGCGCAGGGTCGCGCCATGGTCACGGCTGGTAGCGTCTTCGAACAGCTTGGTGGAACCGATAAAGATCTGGCGATTGCGAGCTCGCTCGGTGAATCAGCCGTGGGACATATTCCGGAGGATTTGGCCGCAGCGGAGCGGAAGACGCCGGGACTAGGGATCGACACGTCGGATCCTGCGATCGAGAGTTTGTTTTCGGACTTTCAGGACCTGGAACCGAGGGCCGGCGAGGCTGACAAAGCCACCGGGGCCGAGCTGGAGGATGAAGTGTTGGCAGAAGACGGTGCAGGGAAGAAGAAGAAAAAGGCGGCGCGGCAGCATGTGTGGCTCTGGCTACCCCTGCGGTTCCGCGACGTTCCCGCCAAGGGTGCCTGGGATCTAACTCGGATTCGAGACAGCCAGTATTTCTTTTCATAGACGTCTGTGTTGGTGACTTGCCAGGAGTTTTACGCATTGGGCTGGCGTTTGGGTGGCGTTTGCTTTCATGAAACTAAAAGCAAGACAAGCAAAAAGAGCAATGGGGAGGGCAGATCTCTTTGCGCTTATTGACGGCGTTTGCTCATTCTGTTCCCCTGCATATGCTGAGAGCTGATTATCATTCGATTGTGATATCCCGATGTACATTTATTTGTGGCGTGCACCTCTCCCCCTTTTCATCTTATTCATTGTATATTATCTCATGGATGCCCGCATTATGATGGGGAAAATGTACAGTATAACATGACCTGGAAAGCTATTGCTTGTATATATCAATATGCATTTGTCATCGTTATCCTCTCTTCCCTCTTCTGAAAGCACACTAAAGACAGAAGGTGACAATGGTATATACGTACTGTCTCAATATGGAAATGGCTGTGATGGGATGTCGTGTCCCAGACTTGGCCGGACCGGGGTCATTTAGGCAGAATACGAACGCCACCAGGGAGGATTTTGAGTTCGGCCTGGGGTATCGGTATACCCAGGGCAAAAGAGCAAAAAGTCCATGACTCGATGGTTAGGTTATGCAGGATATTGTTTACTTCCGCGTATCGCCAGATTTAGCGAAGGAGACACCAGAGCTGAGTACGCATGAGGTAACAGTGTGGCTGCAGGCTTCGGCATTTTGAGAACGCTTCAACAATTACCCTCATCGAAAAGGCACACAGGTATGCAGTAGGGACTACGGTAGTTTGATTTGATCAGAAATGATCCTGGATTGGATGGATTCCGTATCCTGCTATCCTGCACGGAAGACTCTGGCCAATTAAGGACTGTGCAGTGGCGACGTGCAGTCCGGCATTTGTACAAGTAGTGCGTCGGGGGTATGCATACCTAGTCCATCATGGTTGTCGTCCAGGGTCTGGCTCGGACTAATGGGAAGGACCCCGGAGTCAATGAGAAAACAAAAACAAAAACAAAATGAAATGAAACTAGAATAAATGCGACAGTGGCAACTACGAAAGGTCTCAACTCCTTCTCATCATGAGGACAGATCGTCCTCTTTGCTTTGGTTGTCCATTTGATTTGTGCATCAGAACAGGGGAGAGAATATCTATGGATGTCTCCTGACCTGGGGTGCTTACACCCTACAGCAGAAACTCCACGGGTAATGCATGCAGTCTGCAACGGGGAGAAGAGGATTGGCTGGAACGCATTTCAGGCACCTGGAGAATTTGTAAGTACCTACCTATAGGGAGGTATGGAGTAAGGCAAGGTACAGAGGTTAGAGATGGTCGATGCGTCGTTCTGACATCGTTGGGCTTCGCTACTGTTTTTGTTTGACATCTAGGGCTAAGTTTGGGGAATGGAGACCATCCGTCATAGTATCAATTATCTAGTCTACGTACTTTATGCTTTTCTGTGATCATCGTCGATTAAGTTTCTCCTTCTTCTAAGCGAAGTTTGGAGTAGGAGCTTGTGATTTTTGTGAATTTGAGGTCTCGTATCATCGTGTTTGCCAGCGATCAGTGGTGTAGATATTAGTATGCTCAGAATCATACCCCTGGTAAGGGTGAGATATTATTCCTTCGACGGCTTCTACTCATCGGTCCAGTAAATAACCATGCCACCCCCGGTACCATCTCTTTATTTTGAATAAATCTCTGAATACTGGTGCTGGTACTGGTACTGCAGTGATTGTTCTGACGATCCGGAGACCCGTCCGAAGGGAACATGACCATGGAAAAGACTGAGCAGGCCGATGACTACAGAGTACCTTACTCCGTCTCCGAAGTAGGCTAAGTAGTACTAAGTACCCTCACTCTCGGTTTCCCCGCCTTTTTTCCCTTCTGGCCGGTGTGGAATTTTTACCCTGGAATTAATGTCGATACTAAGGGTCCCTACACAGCTGCATCAAATCCACTCCTCATCGAGTCTAAGAACTTGTCTTTTCCCACATGAAACTCTCCTCATCATCCTTCACTTCAGAATTCCCCTCGCTGACTGGCTAATAATAAGGCCAGTAAGTACTACGTACCTAACCAAGATTGCACGTTCGTCTTTCCCCACTGCCGACCAGCACGAGCTGTGGCCCGTTCCAGTTCTAGTTCTCCTCGCTAAAACTCGACCCAGGCAAAGGCATTTATTATTTCCCTTGGTTGATGGTGGTTCCATACTCGATTCGTCTACATCCCCGGAACTTCCCAGCCTGGGGCTCCCTCTAGTCTTAGTCTATGGTAGTCTGTCTCTCCCCTCCCCCATTCATTCAATTATTATAATTATAATTATTATTATTATTATTATTATTATTATTCAAATTTCAGCCTTTCTTCCCTTCCTTTCACTTCTTACTCTTTCTTGCTCGTTTTTCTCCATCTTTGCTTTTTGCCCTCATGGTTCTTAGTGCCTTTCTTCTTCCTCCAGGAAGCGCTATAGAGCTGATCCTTCCTTTGCCTGTCTGACTGGCACTGGACTAACTGGGATCTCGTTGGTTAGCTGCTTTCTGTGTCTTGATTCGTTTCTTCTCCGTCCGTTAAATTAATTATTATCTACTATTTCTCCTCCGAGCCGACTCTCCTCTCTCACTGCCTTAGCTATTATTCTTCTATTCTCACATCACGGACTGGTGGTCTTTCGGCATTGAACTCTTGACTTTGCTGATTCGGTACCTTCTTCCCCTCTTCATCTCACCCCGCGCGATTGTTTTGCAACGGTCAGCGCTGCTGCTCAGTTTATCAAGTGGTAATCCTGCCGATCCGATTGCTCTCAACACGCTATTTTCGTTTTCCGACATCGACTTCTGGGGCCGTTCGGGCCCTTGAATTTCTCCACATCTCCAGGTTTTTGCTGCGGTCCTCTCTCCGTCTCTATGTCTACAGAGAGGCCGGCTACTCTGCTTCACCCGTGAGGATGTCAACCACCTCACTTCAGCATTTTCCTCATTCCTATTCTCCTTTTTCTTCCAGTCTTTCTTCGAATCGAATGGCGCAATCACAAACTTCCGGGCTCGACACCCTGGCAGAGGGTTCGCAGTATGCGCTCGAGCAGCTGCAAATGTCGCGAGAAGCTGCAGGCGGCGGCGAGGCTACAGACTCTATGGGCAAGCCTAAGGATCAGTATCAAATCGATAATGGCAATCACCACAACAATCATTCCCTCCCCAGCTTCAAGAATCCTTCACAACGAGATCCCCTCGTCGAGGCTCGTTCGACAATCAGGAAAAACTCGGCCTCGGCACCTGTTCGACGGAGAATCAGTCGCGCTTGTGACCAATGCAATCAGCTACGCACCAAATGCGACGGGCAGAACCCGTGCGCTCATTGTATCGGTAGAGTTCCCAACAGCTACCCAAAACTTGTACTGCAGATCGCGCGCCATACTGACAGTAATGAGTAGAGTTCGGGTTGACCTGCGAATACGCGCGAGAACGGAAGAAGCGTGGAAAGGCTTCAAAGAAGGACCTCGCCGCGGCGGCCGCGGCGTCCACAACTCCTGGACAGCCGGATGGCAACTCAGGCAAGGAAGATGCAGCAATGGTTGGAGGACACACTTCTCCGGATAGGCGACCGGCGCTCAATGGAAGATATGACTCGGCATTTGACGCGCCTCGGAATCTGAATGGCTCGGCACAGCACTCTGAGACATCAGGCATGGTCGGTATGCAGAATTCTCAACATCTGCCACCCCATTCTCAGCCGTCCATGGGCGGTGGCCTGGAAGGCTTACCTCTGAATGGTTACAACGGGTTGAACGACTCGAGCCGACCCTCGATGCCTGTACCAGAACTCCAATCACTGCATATGCTACATAACTCGCATACGAACCCTCGCTCCCCGTCCTCCATCCTGCCCCATCACAGATACAACGGCGGGTACAATGACAGTGCATATTCGCTCATGAATCCACAAGAGCCGAACTCGACCTCGATCAGCCACTTCCGCCTCGGTAGTTCTACAGAAAATCCACCAAATTCGTTCCTCGGGCTCTCTCCGCCAGCTCAGTCGCCCGGCTGGTTACCTCTTCCTTCTCCATCTCCTGCGAATTTTCCTTCGTTCAGCATGGCCTCGTTTTCTACGACATTGAGATACCCCGTTTTGCATCCTGTCTTGCCTCACATTGCGTCTATTATTCCCCAGTCACTCGCCTGCGATCTCCTTGACGTCTACTTCACTAGCTCTTCCTCGTCTCACCTATCCCCCCAGTCGCCGTATGTGGTTGGGTACATTTTCCGAAAGCAATCCTTCCTTCATCCGACAAAACCGAGAGTCTGCACACCTGGCCTCCTGGCCAGTATGCTCTGGGTTGCAGCTCAGACAAGCGACGCCCCGTTCCTCACATCGCCTCCATCAGCGCGAGGCAGAGTCTGCCAGAAGCTACTCGAATTGACTATCGGTTTACTCAGGCCGCTGATCCACGGCCCTGCGCCCGGGGAAACGTCGCCCAACTATGCTGCAAACATGGTCATCAACGGTGTCGCTCTAGGTGGCTTCGGTGTCTCGATGGATCAGCTGGGTGCTCAAAGTAGCGCGACCGGAGCCGTGGACGACGTGGCCACCTACGTCCATTTGGCGACAGTCATCTCTGCAAGCGAATACAAGGCAGCCAGTATGCGTTGGTGGACAGCGGCGTGGTCTCTCGCGCGGGAGTTGAAGCTTGGCCGCGAGTTGCCACCAAACACTCCTCACCAACGGCCCGATGCTGAGCGAGACGGGGACCCAGACGCCGATCTTTCAAAGCGGCATCCTCCGCCTCTCATCACGTCCATGGGCCACGGCCCTGGAAGCACCGTCATCAACATTACCGAAGAGGAACGAGAAGAACGCCGACGTCTTTGGTGGATACTTTACGCGACGGACCGTCATTTGGCGCTTTGTTACAACCGTCCTCTGACCTTGCTAGACAAGGAATGCGAGGGACTCTTGCAACCGATGAATGATGACCTGTGGCAGGCCGGCGAATTCGCCACTTATCGCCAGGCAGGGCCTCCAGTCGAGTGTACAGGCCATAGCATGTTTGGGTACTTCCTCCCGTTGATGACGATACTCGGAGAGATTGTCGACCTGCAGCAGGCGAGGAATCATCCACGGTTTGGTCTTGCCTTTCGGAACAGTGCCGAGTGCGAGGCGCAGGTCCTCGAGATTGCGCGCCAACTAGATGTGTATGCACAGAGCCTCAAGGAATTCGAGACGCGATACACTAGCAGTCTCGCTCTGGGCGCGGCAGAGACTGAGGCTGCTATGGAAGGGTCTCATCTGAACCATGTGAGTCCTTCGGGCCGGTCGAGCAGCACAGTTGAATCACGCGTGAACGAGTCAATCGTGCACACCAAGATGGTGGTCGCCTATGGAACACAT